AAATATGTTTTGCGTAAATGTAAATAATATGTAAATAATATATTTTATACATTAGCCAAGCGGATTTAGTTTTGCATATTGCTGATATCACATGATTTTAGAGAGATATAAATTATGTATTTTTATTTAAATAAGCAAATTTTTTCTTTTTATATTATTAATATATTAAATTTTAATTATCAAAAGTTTGAGTTTCAATGAGGACTAGATGCAAAATGATAAGAATACTAAATTTCTTTTTCTTTTTTTTTTTAAGTAAATTATTTGCTGAACATTTTAAATTATGTACAATTATTTTAAAATATGTGTATAATTGATGCTTCTGAATGCTATTAAAACTTTTTTATTATATTTTTATTATAAAATTATATTTGTTGATCTTTATATATATTTTCTTTGAAAACTGATTTACTTTTCTGGAATTTAAAAAAAATCTGTTTAAATAAATAAAACTAACTACGACACTATTAAAATATTATTAATTAATTGAAATCTACTTGTGTCGAATCTACGAGTCTAGTGAAATAGAAAACACTCATTCGAACGTGGCTTGAAGAGAAGGCGATAAATATAATATATTAAAAAATGATATAATATTCGAAAAACTTAAAATTTTTTCAACGGAGCGCACATCTACTTAATGTAAACTCTGTCAATGCAACTAATTCCATGCATTAGTTTAATTAATCATAATTAATCGTAAATTCAAGGACATATACTCTGATAGGCTTGTCTGATATAACATAATCGAATTAAATCTACTTTATAGGTATCACAGATAATCTCCATTGAAAGGATATACTCACGCTCCAACGACCACACCCAACAACATGTCTGATAAAATTTATGACAATAAAATACGTGACTCAGACAATTTGGCCATCAATGCAAAAAAACAAGATACCGATATGCAAACTTCTGAGAATCAAATATTTCGGGAATTGATGACACTTTGAGTTTTTTAAATAGAAACTTTTCTTTTTAATGCATTTTTATAGTTAATGTCGAGACATTTAAAAAAAATTGATATGATTAAATCTTCTTTCGTTAAAAACATCGTTAAAATCATCTAATTCCTCATGATCTTCACAAAATGACCAAACGCCAAAATAATACTATTAATATGCATTAAAAATAATATTGAATATAATAATTTTATTAATAATCGCGAAACACGAATTTATCAAATTTGCCCCCTTGACACGAACTATAATCAAAAATTTGTCAAAAATTTTGACAATTGTAACCTACAATGATACATAGAATTTCGATCGATATAAGCACTTTAATTTCGGTTATAGCATAATTCTATCATATTATCACTCGAAATACAATGTGAAAGATACATACATACATACTAGAGCGGTTTGTTCTCGAAATAGCTCTTGTATCTTTATTTTATCGCGCAAAAAAATCACTGGAATGTTTTGTTCACTATGAATGCAAATCGGTCCACGTGGGGAAACTGCATGAAAAAAAGATTGAAGGGAACGCAGTACAGTATACGATGTTGCTCGACAAAAATCAGCTCGAAAGCAGAGCGAAGGCTAGAAATCTTACAATCTGAATAATAATTAATAATCCGAGAGTGAGTGGCTCGCGCAAGCACCGCCTCTTTTCTCTTTGATTAATGGAACCACCTCCCTTATATCATAATTAAGACGCGGGGTGCCGACGGTATAAGGGAAGATCGACGGTGACTTTGAGAATGGTGGAACGTGGATGAAAAAATGGGTATTTTTCTTAGAATGCAGTTTCTATAGAACACGATACTATTGACCAATCGAGGGAAAGGAAGCTTTGTCATGATTGGTGAATTCTGACTTACATAAGATTTTCTTCAAACGAAATGCTCATGTGCGTTATTATTTTTTGCGGACACTGAGGTAGGGATACGTTTTAATAACAGACGTTGGTTAGTTTCTCAAGTTCGTTCGTGTAGGTCTCATCTAAGTTTTAGCAGTCGTCCGCGCAACTATTTGGGATTTATATCGTACACTTTGGTAAATATTCAGTGAAAGTGTCTTCATCAATTATTTCGAAGCTCATATTATATTATATACATATATATTATATTATATTTTGAGTCATAGAAATTTTTAAAAAATTAGCTATTTTGTTTTTAAAATTGTATTAGAATAGTTATTACCGAAGATATTATTGTGTAAGATTTCGTCATATGTATTTCATCCTAGTCACTAGACTATGCCAGTGCATTATTATTACTTCATATTTTATATAATATATTTCATATAATGGAATATAAAATAAGTAATTGAATCTGTTCGCGAAAAACGCATGTTTTTTTTATATAAGAGCGTTTGAATGTAGTATTCACATGCATGCAGTATTGCTATAAACTCTAAAGCATAATATAATTTGTGTTTTCGGAACAATAAAACGATAATATATTTTCATTTCTTTTTAAATATTGCTCTCGTTTAGTGTGAAACGAATATTTCAACTTTTAAACTTTAAAATTAGCAGATAGTACTATGAAAACGTATAATTTTCAAGTTTTTTAAGTTCAACATATATAAATGTACTTTGACACAGAAATTGTGAATACGTAAAAAAAATTAAATATTTATAAAGTCGGTATATACAAAATCATTACATTTAAATATAATTATACTAAAACGGGATGGTGATGAAGGTAATAGTTTTTCAAGCAGATTCAATTTTTATGTCTCAAAATATATAAAATATGTATGTGTTTGTAAATGTAGATATTATATAAAGTATGTAATTTTTTTTTTTTTCAGAAACTGAATATTTATCTACGTGTTTAATTGATCTTTCGTGTTTCACATTGGTGTAGTTATGTCTTCTCGATTTAAAGGAGGGAATTTATTATTTTTCTTGTAAAATGTGCGGAAAAAAGGATGAAAATATTCGATGCTCTGGAATACTGCATATAAAGTGGGGCATTAAGTATCCATTGCACAAGCTTAAGCGTTTATATAATGTACCAAAAAATTCTGCAATGTCTCGCTTAAAATTACGGACATTAGGTATGCATATATAAAATTATCTACATAACACTTAAAACTTGACTTGCTTTCACATGTTCATTTATCGTATTTTACCAATATATTAGGTGACTAATTTTTTGATCAATCTCCAAAATTTTTTGTCTTCAATTTTAGAAGAAAATTGTTGGCAAAAGTTATATGGTGTGAAGAGGAATATGATAATAAAATCAATTTTTGGAAAAAGAGTTTTGAAAAAATAATTTTTTTCAGAATTATGTAAAGTCACTTTTTATTTTTTAAATTAAATATCTTATTCTTGATTACAGATTCTTATAATTGATATTGAAATGTTTTTAAGGACCTGTTGTTCATATTTTTGTTAAGAATTTGCAAAGTATGATATTGCAAATTTTAGTACTATTGATATGAAAATGATCTCTCTCTTTGTCGAAAATTGATTTTATCATTATTTGTCTCCAGACCATATGACTTTTGCCTAAAACATTTTTTCTAAAATTGAAACCAAAAAACTTATTAACCGTTTAAAATGGATTATCTAGAAAATAACCTTACATAAATAGAAAAATGCTTTTCAGACGAACAAATCTAATAAATTCGTAGAAGATAATTCAGAGAAAAGAAAAATCATTTATCTTTCAAGACTGTAATTATGCTGCATAAAGCATGTGTCCTTCATGTGTATGTGCATGTGTGTGCGTGTTCATTCAAAAACTCGTTGAAGCTGTAAGAGATGGAGGCGGAATCTGAAAAACGTTTCTAGCTGTAGGACATTTATATCCTGCTGTTCAATGTATCATGGTATCGATTTGAAAAGAAATATGTATACATATTATATATCCACATAGATTATACTGAAAAATTGGTTGAAATTTCTGCTAATGGAAATTATGTTTATTATTTGTTTCTGTCATACTAAAATCGAGCTTAAAAAAAAACTGAGCAAATTAATTTAATTTAATTAAGAATTAATTCTCGAATAATAAATGTAACTTTATTAATGCTTCATTTTTAACACTGAAAACTGCATGGATTTTTATAGTTAATTAAAAACAAATAAAGTTTTGCAATCATTTTTAAGTGAAATCTAGAGTAATTTAAATGTACGTTTGACCAATCAAAGTTTAGTTCGGACGTTCCGCGCGCGTTCAATAAATGTTTAACCCTCGCATTGCAAACGAGCAGAGTCTAAAATTTAACTGCGATTAGGAAATGGTATTTGACCGATTCTAAACTGAAGACTTTACGCCAAGAATAACAATCGCATGATTTCTAGTCTTCAGTGCTCATACGAAGGTGGGGTTTATTTCTTGTTAGTTTCTAATGATGTGAAATTCGCCGATTTCACCCGTTATATGCAAAGCATAATAATCAACCTGTCGTCTTATATATATTTTTATTATTCACGCACATATGTTCTTCGAGTTCTCGGATATTAAAGTTTAATGTCACGTACTTTTCCTTCACATTTCTTAACACATAATAATTGTTTTCGACGTAAAATATTTTATTAGCAAACTTCGATATATATATATATATATATATATATATATATATATGAAAGCTATTTTTGATTATTTTCAGATGAGAATCATTATTCGAATAATTGAACGATCTCAAATTACCTGAATTATCTGATTTATCCGAATTATCTTCTTCGAGTTGTTTTGTGATTTAGATTCTTATGAAACGAAGCAAGTCGATCGATAGCAAGCAAGCCTCGTCATCCATTCAAAATTATTGTCGAGGTTTACATCATCTTTTCAATCATGGTCGTGAGTAGTCATTAATCATCATCACTCATCATCGACGTCTTTGACGCCTTATCTACTTTAAAAACGACCCAAAAGAGCAGCGTTTTTTTCTATGAATTTATCTTTATATACATATATATCACGCCGACCATATTATTGCTATGATCGCACTATTTATATTAATAATATAAAATAATAACAATGTAAAGAGAAAAGGCTTTGTTAATGATAAATTTTCGTAATTTTGTTGCAGGTGAAGAAAATGACTTCACATCAGATGGTGAGGAGAGCGGTGGTGGAGCAGGAGGCGAAGAAGCCGTGGATCTCACCGCGGCGAGATCTCATCAGGGCGACGAAGACGACAAGGATGCCGACGATGCTCTGGGCGAGGACGAAGAGGACGGCGGTGATGAACAAGACGAGCAATACGAGGACGAGGAGGGCTCGCGAAAACAGATTCGCCATCGACAGGACGCGGAGAACAACAACAGTTTTGTCGGGAGCGGTTCGACTTCCGCCGGAATATTTCCACCTGCTGGAACTAGTCATGTCACTCTCGAGGCCCTTCAAAATACGAAAGTTGCGGTCGCGCAGTTCGCCGCAACCGCCCTCGCTGGTGGAGTCGATAGCGACGCGGCATTGCAGGATCTGGCGATTCTACAAAGTACGCTATACAATCTTCAGCATCAACAGGTACTCCAGTTACAGTTTATCAGCCAGCTTCAGCAACAATTATCGATCACTCAAAAGCAATCGGTAGCGCCACCGTCGTCGGTAGAGGCAGCTGATAGCAAGGAGGCCTCGTCGTCTCCCATCATCCATCCGAAACCATTGTCGAGTCTGACATCGCCACCTTCTTCCCGGCCACCGAGTCATCATCATTCATCGCCAGCACCGCTGACGCCGAATCTGCTTCAAGAACGACCCACCTCGACGAGCAGTGCCTCTCCGTTGAATCTACCCCTGTCTTCGTCCGGCACTACGTCGACTACCGCTACGACTACCAGCAGTCAAATCTCACTGTCGCATCAAATGCCGCCTCTTTGCTCGATCAGCTCTTCCCTCGCTTCGTCGATCATAACGAACAACGATCCACCGCCGCTTCACGAGCCGAACACGCTGGAGATGCTTCAGAAACGAGCTCAGGAAGTCCTGGACAATGCGAGTCAAGGTCTATTGGCCAACAACCTTGCTGACGAGCTCGCGTTCAGAGGCAGTAAAGGCTCACGACTCTCGCCTTACGATTCGAAAACGAGCGGTGGTCGAGGCGAGCCCTTCTTCAAGCATCGATGTCGTTTCTGTGGCAAGGTCTTCGGCAGCGATTCAGCCCTACAGATCCACATACGATCCCATACAGGTGAGCGACCCTTTAAGTGCAACGTCTGCGGCAGCCGATTCACCACCAAGGGCAACTTGAAGGTCCACTTTCAGAGGCATACGGCCAAGTTTCCACACGTAAAGATGAATCCGAATCCCGTTCCAGAACATCTAGACAAATATCATCCGCCCCTCTTGCAGCAAATTGCTTCCGGGCAACGGCCGATATCCCCGCCTCCGCCACCCCTCGCCATTCATCATCCCTCGTGTCATCCGGCACGTAGGGAGCACAGTTTCCTACCACCACAGCCGCCTTTACCTCTCAGTCTCACCTCGCCCGGCATGATCCTTTGCCGATTACCGGTTATTAATCACCGGGACGACCAGGACGTGCCGGAAAACCTTAGTAAACCCGTAACCTCTGCCCCGCCGACGTCACCTACTTCCCCCGCCGCTGTATCGAACTCTCATCATTCCTTTCACGACAATCATCAACAACAACAACTACAACAACAAAAGCAGCAACTCGAGCAGAGGGAGGAGATAAAGCTCGAGCAGAGGTCACCTGGACAGGAGCAATACCAGCAACGACCGATGAGTCAGGAAGACTCCGGACGTATAACCCCGAAGAGAGAACCCGAAGAGACGGACGAACCCGTGGAAACGGAAGACGGTGAGGATTTTGAGGAGACAACGAGGCGATCTCTCAATTCACCTTCGTCCTTGGTGAACCCGTCGTTTCAACCGCAAACGTACGAGGATTGTAGTATGGACAGTAAGATGAGTGGACGATTAGAGGGCGACGGAGAGATGGAAATAGACGAAGAGACGGAGGAACAACCGGAGAACCTTTCTGGCAAAGGTACGATCAATCGTTTACCCCAACAGATGATGGCATACCCTGGAGCATCTCCGGCTAGTAGTAGCGCGAGTAGCGGTAGTCTACAGACATCCTTCGCCGGGATTCTATTCCCGAGCGCCCCGACTCATCATCAAATACCTCCTCATCTTCCGGCGGTTTCCGTCCCTGGACAGACGCCGGTCGTCTCCGCGAGCGAGATGATCGATCCATCTAAGGATCCAGCGATTTATTCGAGCTTGTTACCGCGACCGGGTAGCAATGACAATTCTTGGGAAAGCTTGATCGAGATAACGAAAACTTCGGAGACGTCAAAATTGCAGCAGCTAGTCGACAATATCGAGCACAAGCTTAGCGATCCTAATCAGTGTATCGTTTGTCATAGAGTGCTCTCGTGTAAGAGCGCGTTACTAATGCATTATCGCACTCACACGGGCGAACGTCCTTTCAAGTGCAAAATCTGCGGTCGCGCGTTTACCACCAAGGGCAATCTAAAGACCCACATGGGAGTGCATAGAGCTAAACCGCCACTGAGAGTATTGCATCAATGTCCTGTGTGTCACAAGAAATTTACGAACGCTCTTGTACTTCAGCAGCACATACGTCTTCACACCGGCGAACCTACCGATCTCAGTCCGGAGCAGATTCAAGCCGCAGAAGTAAATGAATTTCCAGGTTGCTATCCTCAACCACTTTCCTTCTTTCCGCAAGGATTCGCTCCGATGCATCCGACAGGTGCTGGTTTTACCTTAGGATTCCCTGGATCTAGACAACCGACCATCGAGCAACAATCGAATGAAAATGATATAGATTTGAAGGAGGAATCTCAACAACAACGGCAAAGATTTATGGAGGAGCACAGCGAGGAGATGGAAGATCAGGATGACGAGGAGCAGGATCGCAGAGAAGACGACGACAGGTGCGAGATGAATCGCGATAGACGTAGCGCCGAGATGATGGAGAAGGAGCAGGAGCACGAAAGCGAGGAACACGAGCACAGAGACATAATACTTCCCATGTTTTCAACTTCGCTGGCGGCCCTCGAGAACCAAGTGAAGACCATCACGACGACGATCGCCACAACGACGATCGCGAACGCAGCCAGATCGCCGCCGTCCTTTCACCGATACAATGGTAGCGAAAAGAGCGACAGCTCGCCGATGTCCGGCGCTCCGTTAGATCTGACACCTCGCGCCTCGTCCACTCCGGCATCGGTGGCTTCCGCGTCACCGACACCACCACCACCGCCGCCGCCACCGCCGCCGCTGCCGTCCCAGACTGTACCGTCGCACCATCCGTCGCATCCCTTCAGCATGTTTGCCGGATTGCTGCAAGCGGTCTCATCCGCACCCGCCACCAGCACGCCAGGCACGTCCAACATAAATAGTGTGACGTCGATGAGCGCAGTCAACCCGGGAAGCGCTCCCGTCAGCGGACCCCTAGCCTCGCTAACCACCTCAGCTGTACTAGCCGCGTCGTCTACTTACAATCCTCTCGGTCTAGCTGTCGGAGGGCCAGCAGGTAGGCTCCAAGTCATCAGAATCAGCGAGCTGCGGTTCCTGCTACACCCTTTCCCGCGTCCGATGATCACGATTCCATCTTGCCGCGTATCACCGAGTCCGAAATCGCATTCTAGTACACCTCTTTCCGTGTGTGGTGACATATTTGACTTATCCATGTCTCATGCCGACATCCTGTTTGCGGTGTAGCCGGACCTAGCACTCCCACTTTCCTGTTGTACAACTTTGTTTTTTTTTTAATTAATTTTAATTAATTTTTCTTAATTAATTTCATTGTAATGATCTTTTTTCGATATCTCTTTATCTTTCTCTTGTAGTATGTCTGCTTATCTCATTATCTATTACTTTGATTTTAATATTATTTTGTCTCATCGCTTTTCTCTTTATTTTCTTGTGCTATCTCTTGCAATAATACGTACACTTATACATAGATAGAATATATACCTCACATCAGTTTGCCTTTATTTTTTGTAGTTTTGCATTTTTGCTTCTCATATTTCGAAATATATTTCGTATATCGATCTCATGCGATGATACATAATAACATATACACAAGCACGCAAAGAGATATTGTGTCATTATTTAATTTAAAAAAAAACAAAATTTTAATTTTTCTATTTCATTTTTAAAATTTTTTAATTTTTATTTTCTTATTTATTTTTCTAATTTTTAATAATTTTTTTTTTTTAGAAATATTGTTAAGTTTTGAACAATTAATAAACGAAGATTCCGCAAAACCATCTTATATGTATCCTGGAGTTGATGACATTTACAATTTGATTATTGACCCCTTTGAGGAAGGAAAGTAATATATTGATTCAAAAGGAAAGTATATTGATAATATATTGATTATGTCCGAATATATATATATTTTATTCGAATATATAAACGAAAGCAACGTTGTGTCAATAGCAGCTTCCTTCAAATGTTGAGTGAGAAAACAATGATGGAAAATACTTTTCACTCAGACTATTCAATTGTGAAGTATTAAGAAGAAAAATCAGAGAAGAGCAATAAATTAGATTCTCGCTATTTTTGGCTGTCCGAGGCAATAAAAGCAGAAAATTCTTGAAAAATCAGAAAAAGGATAATGAGCACGGCGATGCGAGCCTAATTGCTATGTTGCATTTATGCAAATTCATCACGCAATTCATCTATTAGTATGATAGAGGAGATACATTGATATTTATATAAATTTAATATTAAAATTAATAAAACCATTTTTGTGAGGACACTACTGTATGTCAATGATTGCATGTCTTTCATATTTAATATATGATAAAAGATGTGTAATTGTTACATATATAGTATATGCATACATATATATTATATATATGTATATATTATATACATATACACATACATAACATGTATTACATATATGCTTATATTTATATTCATATGTATATGTAGTATATATGTATTACATATATACATATATATTATATATGTGTTTATACATGCATACATAACACAATAAACTCACGTATAAAAACTGTTTATAAATATGAGGTATTTTTATAACGCGATAAATCTTATAACGCGATAAATCATCTCCGTATAATACGTTAGATAAAGTTCTAAATTTTGTGTTACTTTTATAATAAATAATATATTTCAAAGTTTGTACGACCCGTAAATAACGTGGAATATATATATATAACGCAGATTATACTTCTTGTATTATACGGAGATTTGTTATATAAATATAGAAAGCATGGATTACTTTTATCCAATTTGCGCTGTAAGTATCCACCTACCTACGTGAAAAGGCTAGAATTAACGAAAATCGCTATTTTTTTTCTAATCGGTGTAGAATGAGCAGAAACGTTTGTTTCTTCTACTTCTGACAGAAAAAGAAAGATATACTTCGTTAAACACTTCTACCTTTTTTATCGCGTCGCTATATCGGACTCGCTTACAAGATTCTATGCTTTCTGTGTCTATATACAATATTCCATCCATACATCGTAACGTACGTATATACATACACATATATACAGCTTGAAGCACTTAATTGCATCATTTTTTTTAAGATTTCGATAACTTTGACGACATGAAAATGTTTTCTGAAGGTCATTTGAATCGCCGAGATCAATAAAAATAAAAACGAGAAATCATCATGACTATTTTTTTGAGTAATTAATAAAAATTAATAAAAATATGACAATAAAAGAAAAGGTAGTTTCTTTTAAATTTAAAAATGAGAGAATAACTTCCAAATTGATAAATCTAATCATACGCGAAAAATTGCAAACCCACACATGAAGAGTATTTTCTCTGTCCATATATTCACTTCTCTATTTTTGACGTTTTTGATTACATGTGAAGATCCAATATCATAGAGATAACTCCGGTAACTCGGAATATTTATTTAATTACATTTAAAATAAATTTAAATTAAAAAATTTTAAAGTAATGTATCTCGTAAATCGGAAGAGTCCGCCACATGAGGAAAAAGTATACCTGATTCGAGACTCGATTCTCTATGATATATATATATATATATATACATATATGTATACATATATATATATATGTATGTATATATAAATAACTCACTATAAAATAAATAATATTTTATATATATTTATCATTTTTTATTTTATCTATATTATATATAACTTGCAAATTTATTCAATAAATATTAGATTAGAGATGGTTTTTAGTTGAATTAGATTAGATAATTTTAAATCAGAAATAATTTGAGATTATATAGGGAGAAAATTTCAGATTATATATAGATAATTTTAGATTAGATAATTAGGCTAGATATAATTTTTTAAAGATGAGTTGCACGTGTTTATTTATTTTTTTTTTTATCGAAAATGTCATTTGATCGAGAAGTGTGTGGGTTTTTGCAATTTTTCCGATATCTATTTTTAATAATCTCAATTTAATCAGGTGAAGATTTATATGTATTTAAATTTATATTTATTGGTTTCTTTCTGAAAAATATATACTCGAATCATTTTTAATTTTGCAACTTAACTTAAATAATATTTTTATAGAAATATTATTTTATGTGAAATAAAATCACAAGATGTTCTAAAAATGACCAAACTTTAGAAGTATGTTATTCTTACTGTAAGAATGAAAAGAGTCAATGAACATGGATTCATAAATGCTTTCTTTCCGAGTTATAAACATGTTTTGTTTGTTTACGACAGAATCTGTTAATAATAATTTCACATTGATACATTAACAAAGAAAAATTGCAAAGAAGAATTGCATGTTTATGACTTTTTATATTCTAACAAAATATAGAATACTCTCCTAAAGTTTAGCCATTTTGTAGAAAAATAATTATTTTCATATGTAACTTGTCAAAAACGAAAGTGCTCTAGAACTTTTTTTATGATTACAAAGAAATAGCTAAAAATATTTGTTAATCATGTCGTCAAAATTATCAGAATTGTGCTTTAAATCTCTATTATGTGTGTGATTATTGAAAAATATTTTCAACAAGAATTTTACTTTGGATAAAACAATACAATATTATTTTCTATGCAATCTGTACTTATATATTAACATTTTATTTTGCGAATATTTTGCGCATTTTCTATATTATTGTGAATTATACTGTCCGTATAAAAATTATTGATCGCTACATCAAAGCTTATCAAAGCACTGTGATAATCGATTGAATACCGTACTATTTTATTTATAAACTGTAAAACGCGAACAAAGTTTCGAAAAATATACAGTTTGATATAATTAGCCATGTCTTATAATACACAGTATTGAATTTAAAGAGGAAGAACTGAATCTCGATATTAGAAACGTTAAACAACGTAATCATTGTTATTAAAGTTTTAAAAAATCGCTATTTTTTTTAAGTATTGATAAAAATGCGGATAATACTGACGACGCGATGAATCACAGTTTTGAACATAAAGATATCTCTATGAAAAATATTAATTTTTTTGAGTTATATTCTCAAATAATAATCTGATGGAAATGTCTTATTTTCTATGATATATAAATAACTTAAAAATATTTTTATATATATACGTGCGTGCGTATATGTAATCGTGTAGTATTTCATTTTCAAATTATGAGCATATGTATAATTAGTAGTTTTTCATTCTCAAATGTGTTATGCATTATTATTTATATACATAGAAAATAAAATACCAACTCATAAAACTTTTTTTGGAGTTTTTTTTTAATAACAGATTCTCTTTAGTCAATTTAAGATTTTCATAAAAATGTCGAGGAAGATAATCATTTTTTGCAAACGCTTAATATTCTATCACATATCTTTTTAACTAAACCTCTTTTGCACTTAAAAGTATGAAGCGCTGTGAAACACAACTATCTTTCCCCTTTTTCCAAAGTTAAAAATTTAATGTTTTAACACTAAATTAATTTTTTAATTTAATGTTTTAAACATTAAATTCATTTTTTATCATAAATAACATTATTCATTCATATATTCTAATTAACAATAAGCTTAAACAGCTCTTCATAATATAAATTGATTTATTGCAACTTTTGTTGCAATGGCTTATTATGATGTAGTTTCTTTTAAATTCCTCTGATTATTTATTAAAATTAAAATTATGAAGCTTATATTAATTTTACTATATATGTATTATTAATTTATTTTTATCATTTTGTTTTTATTAACTCATCTCTACACACACATACGCATACACATGTATATAAGAAATAAATCTTTCATCAATTATTTGATGTAATTTTGCATTAACTGTATTCATCTCCATCTCCTCTATTACCATTATTCTCTTCGATACTTTGACTTTATTTTTAATTAATTTTTCGTAATTATTCATAAATAATAAACTAATTAATATTGTATGTCAGTACATTAATTTCTTTTTAAACTTCTTATAACTTTAGAGATACGTATATATTAGATATAATTAGATACGTATTGGCAATCATGAAAAAATGCACAACGCAGGCCATCGCTGTCAAATAAAGATAGAGTAGAATAAAAATTATACTAGAGTAAAAAAATATCTTCAGTGAGAAACGCACACACATATACATATGTACACTATATGAAGAGCTGAAGCAAAAATATAAAAAGGTACGATCTGTTACAGTACGTGGCAACACCACTTGTAAATTCTGCTACAAGACGTTCGCATGTCAATCCGCGTTGGAGATACATTACCGGAGTCATACGAAGGAACGACCTTTCAAGTGCACTGTATGCGACCGAGGTTTTTCCACGAAGGTAATTAAATTAAATCTGCTTTTTATTTTCAAAGCGATTGTCGCGAACTGATAATCTCTCGTCCTTTCTCCCACTTTCTCTCTCTTTTTTTCACTTGTAAGTTTCCTCAATTCCCTGTGGTTCATGTGGAAAGAAATCACTGATTGTGACAGGCCTAATCAACTCGATATTATATCTTATTTAACTCTTAAGCATTAATGTAGAGTGATGTGATATCCTCATAGAATTTTGATTTATCGCATAAAATTCTCGTAAAATGTATGGAATTATTAAAAAATATTGAAAGAGAGAAATCAAATATCATATGCAGCACCCTCCACAAGTTTGGAAACACCTTACATTTTACAGTTAAACAATCGCTTGGCAGCGACCTACGCAGATTTATTTTATGACTATATATTATGTCATAAGATATTAATAAATGACATTATTTTTACATCGTCATCTTATATCTTACTATATATATATTCACACAAAAAATCTACACAGATTGCTGCCATGCGATTGTTCAACTGTAAAATGTAAGGTGTTTCCAAACTTGTGTTGTACATGTATAATACAATATTATTGGGTCTGTGCATAAGTTCGTAGCGAAATTCCGTGAGATGTCGTTCGCAATTGGAAGACTTCTTTGCAGAAAAATCTCAAGACTTCTACAAACGAGGGATAATGAAGCTTGTGGATAGATGGCAGAAAGTCATCGAACAGAATGGGACATATACAGTTGATTAAGATCGCTTTTTAAGATAATTTTGCGTTTGAAATTTATTCGATTTTCGCTACGGACTTATGCACAGACCCAATACTACCAACGACGTGCCTTAATGCTTAAGGATTAATTAAGGCTCAATTAATGAAATGTTAGAGAGAAAAAAACATTGCACATTCTTCGCACAAAAAGCCCGCACACACGATTATCACTTCTATACTCTTCTCGTCTGTTCTGCTATACTTTCAGAACGACGATTCCGGTCAGCAAGTATGTTCCTGCGCGGAGCAACCCTTCGCCGCGAAGGGTCCGATCCCCCCACAACCCAATCCCCAATACCGCTCGTACCCGGCGAGATCGGAAACCGCCGGAAATCGTGAGAAACCGAAACGCAGGCGGCGGCGGCCTGAGGAACGGAAGAACCGGGGGCGGACAGGAGCAGGAGGGGGGCGAAGGCTGACGTCTGTTTATCCTGCCGTCCGCCTGCCCCCGCTGATGCCACCCGCCCTCGGACTTCTACCCTCGGACCACGTCTTCCTGGTAAGAGCCTAAGCGAGCGTACATGTACTCGTCTTGCTATCTCGTACGCCGAAAGTTGCAATTTATACCTGTTCGCGAATAATCATATATCCGTGATCTTCAACTGAACAACCTGCTCGTAGCTCGATAATTCGCTCGAAGGAAGTCATAATTAAATATATGTAATTACTTGCATCGAGGAGATTAAATAATATGTGCGTATGTTCGCGCAATAACACTTTATTAGATTATATAATAAAGTTATACCTAAGTTATGTGTTAAAACTCTTAATAAAAGGAATAGAAATAACACGATGCGAGATAGATCTTTCTCAGACATTTATAAAATGAAAGCTTGATAAAGGGCTTAATGTATGTACACCTATATGGCAATTAACTTAAACGCAGTATTCGCGCATCGCTAATACGTTATATATAAATGCTACACATGAATAACAATGCTACGATTGTTCCTTTCTCTCTCTTCTCTCTCTCTCTCTCTCTTTCTAGCTCTTTTGCTTTCTTTTTAGGGACCGCCGTCAACTAACTGAATTAAATACAAAAGAACGTGTTTTGTGATGCGTAGGGTAATATGAAGCAGCACATGTTGACTCATAAGATTCGCGATATGCCGCCGCATCTATTCAGCGATGCAAAGCCACAGCAGCAGCAGCAGCAACAACAACAACAACAGCAGCAGCAGCAACAGCAGCAGCAACAACAACAACAACAATGTCAGGATCACGAAACTTCCAGGAGCCCGATGTGCCCCGATGATTCTAGCCTACCACCCCCGCCTCCACCACCACCACCACCCCCACCGATGCCACCTACGTCAATCGAGTCCGCGATACCAGTGAAGAGATCCCCGCCGGAAGGGGATCTGCCGGCACCAAAGAGACCAACCAGTAAGTACAGCGTTCGCTAGCTTTTATATACAAGGAATAAGACTCAATGTGCTTCTTCATCGAGCGTCACACGAATTCAGCTTCGCTCGGCCGACTCGATCTTATTGTTAATCGCAATTGGCGGCTCTCTCCACCTCTCGTTAGTCGAGACTATAGTTTGAAGTACCCTGAGACTGCTACTGCTGCTTCGCATACGCTTCTAGTTTTCCTTATATTTCCTTGTCCGTCAGTTTATCTCTATACGTGTCTCAATGTTTCTGTATGTATATGTTGGTGGAAGGATTACGTAGATTTTTTCTTCGTTTCTTTATTGTTTAATACTATGAACTTCAAGTACATTGCGGTGGTATTTCGTATTTTCACGTCCGATACTTCTATGTCGTATGTGAAAATATTATTGAAATATTAGCACGAGGCAAAGCTTGCAAAGAAACCGCTAAGTCTGATTATATGCCGCACTTGTATAGTTTCCACTAATCTGTAGCCTCAGACTTTGACGAAACGCAAAGAACGATCCTTAAACCATCATCATCGCATATTTTCATCACGAAGTCAGGGTCAGTTTAGCGAAACCGTTATGTGTATTTGCAGGCGTGCCGAGCAAGCACTTGTGCCAGATTTGCAATAAGAATTTCTCCTCGTCTTCGGCGCTCCAGATCCATATGAGAACCCACACTGGCGACAAACCGTTCCGATGCACCGTCTGCCAGAAAGCGTTCACCACCAAAGGCAATCTCAAGGTATAATACATTAATTCCTCTACATAATTGCCATCGGAAGTCTGAGTCTCTCTATCTCTCTCTCTCTCTCTCTTTCTGTTTTTCTCTTTCTCTCTTTCACTCTTCTATAAACTCCCGATAATATTTACTAACACCAGCTAGAGCCGCTATCGCTTCTACTAACGCCAAAACGCGTAGACATTGCAAGTCGCTCGAGCTCGATGAAAGATCAGCGCCCACTCGATTAAAATACTACACAGAGAGAATTTTCTCTTAGAATTTACCCTGAAAATCATGGTAATCGTGGAACAATATGGTATTGGAAAAATGTTGTAAAAGTTTCTCTGATTAAATATTTACCATAATAAAAATATTAATATCTACCACAATAAGATATAAAATATATGTAATATACTATGTACATATTAATATTTTTTATTTTGGTAAATATTAATCACAGAGAAACTTATAAAATTTTTCCAATGACTTTCTCATGATTTTCAGGGTAAATTCTAAGAGAAAATTCTCTCCGTGTACCAACTACAATGCGCGAATACCAAGCTTCTGACCAAGCTTCTTTTGTTTCTCTACTGCAGGTGCATATGGGCACTCATATGTTCACCAACGGAACGTCGCGTCGAGGTCGACGAATGTCATTGGATCTACCTCCCCTGCCAATCACACCCAAGGACTCGGAATTTCTGCAACGACGACCGGACCTTTTTTACCCGTATCTTCCCGCACCATTCCTTAACGGCGTCCAGCAGAAGGTAAATATGTAAATGCTTACATTGCTCGAAATAAATAGCTACTCCGCTAGCATACAACGCAAAGATTAGCTAGGTAAAAGTTGTATAGATATTTTCCTAGAAATGTGCGCTGAGAGACGAGTTCGTATTGCGACAAGTCACGAGAGCTTTTGCCCTATCACGATATTAATCTCGCGCAAACAAGAATGCTTTGTTGCCTAACTTTACTTATTTAATGATACGAAAGAGACGAAATAAAGTATCGCCGGAGGTTGCTCCGAAGCCGCAATTAACGATGGTTGTCTATTTTCGTTTTTATAGGTAATTCTCTCCGAATAAACTTAACCAGACGGCGTGCATTACTTACAGCTGAACGAGATCTCGGTGATTCAAAGTAACAACGGATTGCCACCTCATTCCTTGAGCGCGGGCAAGTACGCGGCCAGTTTATTCGGCTCGGTGTACGGAGCCGGCGGGGCCGGTTTCTCATTGGACAAGCAGCCGATGGCACCGACCAGCAACGGACCCCTGGTGGACGGCAAGTCCGCTATTCCTTCAGGCTCCATGCTCTTCCAAACACCATCGCCCGCTCACTCGCCTGGCGCGCCGTCGTCCAACGGCGGTAATCAGAACTCGGTTAACGTGCCGTCCTGGACCGGCGACGCTCTTCAACATCACTTCGACCGAGAAACACCGAGCAGAAACGAGAATGACGCCACGCCGCCCACCGCTGCACGCTTACCGCCGCCGACAGCGAGAGGAGAAGGATTAGCCGCGTGAAACTTAACGAATACATATCTTCCCATCTAGCCGTACGAAGGAAGACGCGGCTGTTTAATCACGGTGACCGAATCTCCGTCGAGTAATAAGAGGTAGTAAGAGGCTGAGCGTATGAACCCTCGATTCGCGAGAGAATTCTTCCAGACTGATCAATTTTGAAAGAACAAAGAAGGTTCTTCTCGCCCGGTGAGCAAATGCTAATGACTAATAACTGCGAGCGAGTTTGACCCCGTCCCTCCGTCCCAATCGGCCAAAGTTTCCCCGTCGATCTATCGCGGTTCCCTCAGCATCCACGCGATTTCCGTGAAAAATGTAACGGGCTCGTCCGGGAGTAGAGGCAGAAAAAAGCGGTTTCCGCACGTGCGACGGTGATCCCCGGCGAATCCCGATCGGAGGGGTCACAATGCGACGCGACTATCTTTTCTATATGGTGTTTCCGTGCATTTCAAAACGGAGGACAATCTTCTAAGGACTGAGATAATCGATTTACTTGGTATTTCTTCACGTACGCGAGTACCACGACATATCCCTACGTCCCTTCCCTCGTCCATCATCTCATCCCTAACACAGATAAAGTGGTCTCAGTATCTACAAAACGAAGACACCATGTTCCTATTATCGCGCTAGTCTTAATACATATAAAGCAGGGGTCGATAGATGAATCGGATCGATCCGTCGATACGGCTTTCCGAGTAGGCTAGGACACCGAAAATTTCTCATCTCGATTCGAAAAAAAAAAAAAAAAAAAACAACTCCCGAACTCGCGTGATTCGATCGCGTCATCGCGTTTATCGTTTATTCAAGTCGGAATGTCACATCGCCCATCGGTCATCGATGCGGGCGACGAAACGCTCCGCTTAGATATCAATCCCGTGCGCATACGCGATCGAGTCACGCTTAAAATGGTACGTATGTACCATTTAACGAATATATGTACGCATCTGGACGTCGATTCCCATCGTACGGGATTCGGGGGGAATTCCCGCGCTAGACACGGCGCCTAGACTGAGCTCGACTCGCGAGAAAGGCGAGCATTTAGCGTATTGGAGCCGCAAGACACGTGGCGTCGCGTCTTAACGGTTCTTTCCCGATACAATTTGACCGTCCATTCGCGATAGCGATGGTCACCTCTCTCCGGGTCATCTAAGGCTACGTTATAAATATATACATACATAAAAATTATATATATTATAAATACAAATATAAATAATTATATACTTACATATATATATATATATATATACATACGCGGATATATTATATAAGAGAAGAGAGAGAGAGAGAGAGAGAGAGAGAGAGAGAGACAGAGAGAGAGAGAGTGTGTGTGTGTGAATTGTGCGAGTTATATACATGCGCGATTGTATATGTGTTGCTTCCGTTTACTCTATATACGTGCGTGTTTGATAGAAAAGAGAAATTGGAACAGAACAAATGCGAAAACGATAGAATGTAGGTATAATTTAGGAGGCGGGCCCGGCAGCGCCCCTCGCTGTGATATGAGAGGAGCAGCCTGCAATCACTAAACCAATGTACTTATATCTTGTATCATAGTATTATAATAACGATAATATAAATTTATTACACGTTTACACACACACATACACACACATACATGCGTATGTAGGAGATACGACATGCGGTGTGTCGCGAGTGTCTGCGAGAGCCCCTCGAGAGCCAAGTGTGACTAATTAATAACACTTAGTACTATTACTAATTAGATGTCCATCCTTCACTGTACGTCATCGGCGATGTTTGCGTTGTCGTTGTAAATATAATTGTACCGTGCATCGCCCTCCCTCGTAATATTTAATATCGTCTATATAATGTTATTCATTTTTACGAAGAAGAAAGAGAAAGAGAAATCGCAATTGGCGTCAAACGCAAAATGCTTTTCTAAAATCTGCGAAAACTTTCAAAAAAGAACCTCGGTTATTTTTTGTTATTCTTTAATTTTGCTAATATAATTCGCGAGACAAATTTATTAATATATATATATAAATATGAGAGACTATCATTGGCTATGTTTTAATATATTTTTTTTATGTGAATGTAATTATATTATATAAAAAAGTTAATTATGATTTTTATATTATATATAATAATAATTTATAGAAGAATTTTAATTATTAATCTTTTATCTGTGATTTTTTAGTAGATATGTCATGTAAGTAAAATATTGATACATTACTACGACATTCGACACACTTGAACGGTATGATGTATGTATATATACGTAACAAAGCATTTTTTACATTATTGATTGCGCGTATTCAACTCTTTTATCAGACGTCAACACGCTGCAAATAGTCAGTAGTAACTTGATATACTAGTATAAATCTATTATCTCATCTATATCGTTATATACTAAATCGATTATCGAACGATCGAAGCATCGCCAATGAAACGTATATACCATACATTTGCAACACACATGTATACTAATTTATAATTTATTTATTATTCACTTCTTTCGCGCGCGTGGACTTTCGATTCCGATATCTATCTATTCATCTATGTACATCTACCGTATAAAGAATGTAAATCCGCGTAAAGAATGTAATTCTTTGCAGTAAGTAATACCAAAATGTGTGTAATAAAAGTGCATGTAACACACGAAACAAATATTTTTTTTCTTATAAAGATAGGATATCATCAAATATAGAGATGCAAAAAGATTATACGGTTTTTGTTAATTTCCGAATTTCAAAATTATTCTCTCCATGCATTTAAAAATGCAAAAAAATACGAAAACTTTTGCATACAAATTTCATTCCTTATAAAATTTTATATTTTAAAAGCTTTGATGTTGTATGATCAAGTATTATATTGTATGAAAACGAATAATCAAATTTATAAATATGTTCGAAAGAAAATGTAACATAATTTTATATATATACATACATTCGTTAAAAAGGAATTATCATACTTATATCATTTCAAGCGCGCTAAATCAATTTTATTTTCGAACAAATCTTTTCTGTAAAACCGTAGTCATCTAGATATTTTATACTCGTCTCTGAAATTCGTGGGAGATCTGCGTGTATATCAAATGATATCGTGATCGTCACAGTATGACTGACATGGGATAGAGTTTTACGTGTAATCCCTATATGTATATGTACATATATAAATTAATACTCGTGTAACGGCTTCTATGTATGTCATCCTTTTTAAGACGAAAAAAAGCCAGCCTATCTGTAGTTCGAAACGAAATATTACATAGTTACATTGTGCAACTGAACATACAGTGAATACTTTGTCACGATAGAATATTTTATCTGATTTTTCTCATTAGTGACAAAGAGAATCCCAGAAAAGGATTCGTCGATTAACTTTTTGCATCGATTAAGCGTCTCTCTCGCTGCGTAACGTTTACAAAAAAAAATAAGAAAAAAAATAACGCCACTCGAGACGAGACTTACAATATCTACCGTACAATTTCTTCCGGTGGATATATCGCCTCTGCTGAAAATCAAAAAAAATTGCTAATAGCTGTGTTTATCACTAGTGCGCAATATGTGGTCGTCCATACGCGGAAAATAATACCGAGATAATATTTGCAAATTTCGTAATTGTCGAGGTAGCTTTTAACTCGACCAAGAATATGTAAAGAACGACTTGAACTTAACGCATCGAAGCATATCGACACGTTTTGTACTTATCAAACCAGATTATATTTTTACGTTCGAAAGAGAAGAACACGTACTAGAGAAAACAAAGAAATATATCGCCGGATATATAATATTCGTCTTCGATGTGTAAAAGTGATTACTTAATAGCAACGATGTAAATTATTCGTATATCGAGAGAAGAGAAGTGCAAGTTCGATGTGTGAATATTATTATCAAACATTTCGACGATCGATCTTATATTGACCCCTTAATTTTTAACTTGCCATTCAATCCCCTAGTTATTTTACAGCGTCGTAGATAACTTTTTATGAATTTGTATACTTCGAAATAATATGACAAAAAATAATGTACGCATTTTTCCGTCGTAATAATCTACAAATCCTAAAAAGGGAAAAGAAGGACGAAATAATTTTTCGAGGAGAAAATTTGCGTAATCATCGCTTTATGTTTCGTGACGATTATACACGCCGGTATACGTAAGATAATGCAAAAATTTCTGCGAAACAGAAATGTAATATTCCTGTCTTTTTTTTTTCGAAAAAAGAGTGTCAAAAAGGCTCGGCCTTTCGCGAGCGTCGTGAATAAAATTGTATTTGTAAATAGCGAATGTGCGTGGCGAATAAATGGTCCATAAATATAGTAAAGTGAGTATTAGCGTACCGAACAGTCGATGTAATAACATCTTAAGTGTATTACCAAAATTTTCGTAATGTAACGCGATCGACATGCATTTAAGAGAGGCAAAACACAAACACATGTGTCTCGTATGTACGCCGTATAAATACTTTACACGAGTGCGAATGAAAAATTATCCCGATTAACCATCGGCCTGGCGTGACACGCCCTGTGACATTGTCCGAAAGAGAAGATATTGCTTGTACGATCCTGAGTTACTGTAAATATTGTATAATCCATGTATAAACACGACTGTATTAGAGTAAAAGACCTATCATTGTAGTTAAATACGTTACGGATCATTATAACTATATCACTTCAACAATAAACCATTATTATGACGACGAAATGGTGAAATTTAAATCATACAGGTGCTTTCTTATATATATATATTATGTGTATTTTACGCAATATTTGGTAAAATCGGAGATTATTAATTTTCACACATACTTAATTATTACCTGAAATTTAAGTAAAAAAAATTAATGAGACTCACCGATATGATGCGCAGCAGAGGAGTCGTAAGCTGTAAATTATAAATACATGAAAATTAAATAGTGAAATTTATAATAATAAATAAATTATATAATTATATAATTAATAATTAAATTATAATATTTAATAATTAAATATTCATTAAATAATTAATATTTCAAAAAATAAAATAAAATAATTATTTACATTAAATTTTTAATAGTGAAAAACAGTAATAATAAATAAATTACCATGTAATTGTTCCGCCGTTGCCCGATACCGCCCCAGGCCTCCTCCTCCTCTCGTAGAAGCTTCGAAACACTTGCACTCGCGTTACTTTTTTCGTTCGCGACGCGCGGCGACGCCTGGATTTTAGCTATCACATTTTCGACATGTTTTGGCAAAACACGAGAATCGCGAGAGCATATTCGCGCGCGACCGATGCTCCGTTTTCGCGTCGCCGCTTTATTCAAGACCACTTTCGAGACCTCATTGAACGACGAAGACGACTTCCCCGCGATGCACTCGGAAGTCGCCGATATTCCCGAACTGGAAACTACGACCGGAAATGCGCAATCGCCCGCTTAGAATCCGCTCGACAACGTCGAAAAACTCCGGAAATTTTCGCGTCAAAAGCGCCCGGTAATTCTCGCGATCCGTCCTCGTAAACTCGCGCGCGCGAACTTTTGGCGGGACTCGAGTCGGAGCTGTGACGTCACGCGTCACGTGACAGCGCGCTTGCGAGAGAACGAGCGGTGAGCGAGATTCGCGGCCAACGAGATCAATTTCGCGCCTGCGATCGCGATCACGAATTCACGAATTCACGTGTCTGTACACGCGACGCGATCAGATATTTATGTGATAATTATCGACGTAAAGATCTAGTAATTAATATATTTACACTCGCGTACTTTCGCGGACCGGCACGGATGATCACACGAATGTTGAACATGAACAATTTAAAGTGCACCAGAGGGCAGCAGCATTCTAGATTGTGTTCGGAAATATATTCACCTAGGTCTCCGATTGGTCGACCATATTTTTGTCCACCAATAGGAAACGAAGGATCTCTTCGCTCTGATTGGTCAATCGGGCGCTTCACCCTAGATAAATATATTTTCAAACACAATCTAGAATGCTGCTTTCGCATTGGTCACGATCAACAGGTTCATCGCTGATCATCCGCGAAAGTATGTGAGGGTGAGAATATTTATTAGTGTCTCTTTACGCCGTTTATTAAACGTTGCAACGAAAGTGCGAAAATTGGTGCGCACGTGAAATATAATAATAAAATATATAGAGAAGTATGTTTTCGGGAATATCGACGACTTCTGATAAGTCGCATCGTTCGACGAGGCCCTCCTCAAGTGATCTTGAAGAAAACAGCGATACGAAAACAAAACACATCAGTTTTATTCGTGCGCGAATAAGCTCTCGAGTTTTTTTTCGATGAATTAAAATTATGTAAAGCCAGACGTCGCCGCGAATGAAAAAATCACGCGAGTGCAAGTGTTCGAAGCTTCTTCTACGAGGGACAATTCGCGACACAGATAGTTGGTTTTCTACAGGCAAAATGGAGCCGGCGAGAAATTCGGAGAGATCAGAGAAGATGAAGAATTAATAGTCGAATTAATTAAATTGTGAGTGGAATTATTTCTTTTATTATTTATTGATATAAAAATTTATTGATAAAAAAATATATGACGTCTAAGTTGAGCGGACATCGTGTCAATTAAAATAAACTCAATATAGGACATTTATACAATATTTTATCGTATATTTGTGTTTATATAAAACACAAATTTATAAATTAAAATTCGGTCCCTCTATGTACGAGAGAACAAGATATCAAATCATTTTAACCTACGTGAGGTAATATTTTTGTCGGTATAACAATTTAGTTTCTGTATCATATATTATCATTTAGCGTTTGTTAATAATATAATTTACAAATTTATCAGTTACTTTGATAAAAATATAAAATGTATATATATATATATATTTTCTTTTTTTATTTTTTTAATAATTTTTTATCTGAAAAAAGTTTCATTCGATGATAATATTACTTTTTAATTTCTCTAAATTATTTTGTCTTTTATTTTTCTTATCTGTGTTTATACATATATATTAAAAGCATATATAAATATTATTATCGTCAACGTGTTTTATATAATTTTGACCTTCACTATTATAAATTTTTATAAGCAAGTTTTATCAGTTAATGTAAATTTTATTGGTGGTACGTATATATCAATGTAACTAAATATATAAAAAAGATAACATAAAAGTATTCACATATTGAGTCATATCATTTGTCAATATATGTACATATCTTTTTAGTTTTATATATTTAAAAAAATAATATTAACATATATATATTTTACTACATATATATTATGTGTGCAGATTTTTTTAGAACACCAATCAGATATAATTCTAATATATTTGACATTAACAGTCTAAATAAAAAATGTGTAAAAGAGTTAACTTATATATTATTTTTAATTTATAATAATTTATCTTTTTATGCATAACTATATCATTTTTATGCAACTATATATTAATTTGCATATTTATTCTATAAACTTATATCGGATTGCGTTAGGTTTTCAACTTTATCTCTCTACATGAAACTAAAAATTAGAAGTTTTACACTGCTTACAATTAACATCAAAACATTATCAAATCGCTTGCTGGTTGGTCGTTTTTAATTGCTTTCGATTCATCTATCGACAGTTATAATGAAACGGTACTTTTATGGGTACAATACTCTTTATTGTAGTATATATATATATATGTAGTATATATATGTAGTATATATATTTCCTTGAACTGCATTTTATATAATTATGTAAGCAATTTTTTATATAATTATTTTATTTTTTTACCTTAAGAAAAAATTACTTAATAATATATAATTCTAATTTTCTGCCTCTCATTATGTAAAAATAACGCATAGATATCGCGACAGCAATGCTGGCCACGTCAATCGTCGATAAACGACAATCATAAATTGGCTCTAAAGAAAAACGAGATGTAGACAATAATCGAGCCGCACAGTAGTGTTTGAAATTTTCTGGTGGCAGAAACAACACAAAGCTTTACATTGTTGAAATATTTTGAACGTGAAGGTATAGTTCTATATAAAATAAAATAATAAAAAAATAGGCAACGCCAAAAAGGGCAAATAAAATTGATTACTCCAGTTTACAATAAATATTTTTGCTAGAATTTTTTTCATGATTGAATTATTCGAGTTATTCAATTTTCGATGAGGCAATCAGTTTTTTGTTAAAATTTAAATTCAAATTTTTTGTGTTGAATTTTATTCGAATAGTTAATAAAATAATATGAAAAATCACATGAAGAAGTCATAAAATAAAAAATGTAAATAGCAATATTTACAGATTAAAGCCATTATCTCACATTATTAACTCCAACAGTAAAAGTGTAAAATCTCATTTATTATTTTTTCTTTGAAGTGAAAGAGAATAATATATCTTTTAAAGCTTGATAAGTACTAAGCCTAAGCAAATTTTGTTTAAGATTTTATTTATTCTAATAATTTTTATAAGAGGGCTGTGTCAAGAATAATATTTTCTATTTTAAAGACAATTTCAAATGCCCCTTCTTTCTTAACAACCCCGTAATTACGGTTGGAGAATGAAAAAAGCAAGATATTGCCTTAATATTGATTTTGCGTGCGCCTTATGTAAAATCGGGAGGCACGTGCATAGGGAGAAAAGTGAGATTGTAGAAAAGTATGAATTAGCACATAACATATATACATATATATACATATATAGACGCGTATGTACAGCGAGAATTTTCTCATAGAAGTTACCCTGAACATCATGGTAATCGTGGGACAATATGGTATTAAAAGAATTTTATAACAATTTTTCTGATTTAATATTTACTACTATAAAAATATTAAAATATCTACCACAATACCATATAAAATATGTTCTATTAATTTTACTATGTACATAATAATTTTTCCTAGGTATGTACATATATTAATATTTTTTATTGTGATAAATATTAATCAGAGAAACTCTTATAAAATTCTTATATTGTCCCACGATAACCACGATTTTCAGGGTAAATTCTAAGAGAAAATTAGAAATGACATACGTACTGAGAAAAAAAAATTGTTAACTTGATTAAACCTTTCAACTAAATTACTATTTTGTTAATTAAACATATACTAGTATTTATAACAAATATACATTTTATTAGATTTAATATTAATTTAAATACTTTTTATATATTCAATTACCAAAATAATATTTAGTTGAAAGGTTTAGTCAAAAGTTAACCAGTTTTTTTTTTTCAATATATCATTATAAATAAATGTTTTAAATTCAAATGAATGCAATAAACAATTCCTTAAACATTGCTATAACATATATCGTGTCCTCTTCGTATCGCAAAAGGGTAGAAAATAATTTTGTTAAATTTTTCGTTCGCAGATTATTCTCTCAACGTGCGCGCTGGTCTTCAGACTCGCCTGTCGCCGGAGAAGCGCGCGCGCGCTTCGCTATCGACCGGAACGAGGGACCTCCTGGACCTCCTTCTCGTCTCATCGCGTCTCGCCCAGTCTCGGCCGGTCGCGGCACCCGCACGCACTTTCGGTGGAATCCCTGCTCGCGGCAACGCCTGTCGTGGGGGAGATCATCTCCGAGGAGATCCGGCGGTGTCGAACGCTCCTTTCTACCCTAACGCGCGCCGATGACGGACCGGAAGTGCCGGAGATGAGGCGCCAGAGATGACGATGGGGGAGAGATTGACGGAGCGGTAGCCGATCCTTGCACTCTTTTTTCTTCCAAGTAGCCAAAAGGAGAGTCTGCATCCGATTGATTTCCTCTTCCGCCGAGGGTTCTTCGGATTCTACCTGAACTGAAATGCGATCGAAGGGTATCGGCTGAAGGATAACGTAGATATTTAACGCAGACGGAGATCTTGCCTTTTGCCTTTTGGAACTTGAAATTATATTGTATTATGAGAGGAGATCTTAGAGCTTGCTATCTCGGTGTTGCCTCTCTGAAAGAATGATCATTATAATTTTTAAATGATACATTATACTCGGTTATACCGCGTGTTCTATCCGCAAAAACTACAGTGGATACGTAAAAACAGCTGTTTGAGGGTTTCACTCCTTATTCAAGTTCACATGCGCGAAGATGCAAGGCTGGACCGAATGTATGTATATCTTACTTCAGATTCCACCCGACAATCTTGATTCTTGATTTTATTTTGTTGAATTACGTAATATAATATAATATTTATTTATTGGAAAAAGTGTGAAAAAATAAATTAATAAATAAATTGCACTAAAATTCTAGTACAAAAGAAATTGCATATACATTAATCTTATTTTATAAAATAGAATGAAAAAGAATGAGTCAATGTTAAATGGATAATTCACCGATAAAATATCTCCAGAATTTTTAGAAAAATATATTCTTCTCCATTTATTTGTTATAAATAAGATCCGACTTTATAATTATTACCAATTTTTAGAATGCATTGCTTAATATAGACGAGCGAATATTTATCATTTAGAAAAAGAGATTGAAGTTCTAGACTTCGAGTACCTCAAAATAAAATAGATATTTAAAATAAAACACAATTTATATCCGTCATTGACGTAGATGCAAAACTTTCAGAAGTAACCAATAATAAAGTTTTATTTATGAATCTTTTCGTCTCAATATAGAATAGATTCTTCTCCTTAGCGTATAAAAATAATGATTTTAATACCATTCATTTTTTCACACACTTTTTTATATAAACAATAAACAATTTTTATATAAACAATAAATATGTAATAAAGAAATATAATTGTAATAAAATTAAATTAAATTCAAAATTAAAGTTCTCTATGTTGAATTGGTCATCTAAAATTAAATATATAATAATGATTTAATTACTTGCAATTTGTAAAGATCGATTTTAAATTAGTTTAAGAATTCGTAGATAAAATACTTATACGATATAATTATTGAGTGTTCCATATGAAGTATTATATTCATATATCAGAAAATTATTTGTAATTCTATCATCCGCCATAAAAGGAACACATGTCTAGAATATAACACGATTAACTGTGTCATTGATTGTTTCAGGAATACAATAAGTGGATATACGTCCCCTGCGTACGTTGTCAAACATAATATACAATACCAAGTAGATGTAGAGAGAAAATGAATAAGATGCTACATGGAGATACGCTAGAAAAAAAATGACAGAAAACAGCTGATATCAAGGCTCTATCCGTAGACTATCGCGTGAATAATCCATTGCGCTGCAATTAGTTAATTAATTATCATCGTTATATACAAACTGATATCTGCCTACGAACGGCCATTTTTAATTACTTAATTAATTACACATATCGACGGAAAAATCGATATTACTAAAAAAGAAAAGTTCTGAGGAAAAAGTTCGATCGATGTAGCTTGTGATAATCGATTTGAATAATAAACAGGAATCAGAATAATTCATCTGGGAGAAGAGCAGCCTAATAGCGAGACTTATCGTTCGTAGCACACGTGCCGAATCAAGAAATAGGAACGAATCGTCGTGATTAAAGCGAAACGCCCCTTAAACGTTGCGTACGATTTGTTATATATATACATACACACATATATATATATATATGTGTGTGTGTGTATTGTCATACATATATATATATGTATTGCCAACACAGAATGACAATGGTGATTCGCAGTCAATGTTTCAGAAGTCTTCCAGATCTGTGTTACGACTAAAAGAGGCTGAATCGCAAAATTATTTCATGACTATCTCGTAATCATCATCAGCAGAAAATTCATGGACCACACGAACATATCACGACCTCGTAGAAGAAACGTGAGTTTAATATGACCGAGGGAGTTTAAAGGAATAAAGAAGGAGACAGTTTCTTGCCGATCTCTTCAGCTCATTACATTTACATAGATCTATATAGACTTATGGACAATCATTAAGCGAAAGACTCCGCTTTGATACTTGAATATAGACATCAATTTGCGCATTTTTGCGTTCCGGTATACCATTACGGGCTAACTTCCAAATAAATAAATAATTGCTCTATGTACATTCGATTCGTTTGTTCAAGACGCTTTTTAATGCAAGTTACGTGATTAATAATTATGTCTACGAAGCAATGCGAAGATAAGAACCGATAAAAAAGACTCGATCTCTTTGCGAAGAATGATACAAAATAGAAGGACCAAGAGACTCTGCTCAATATAATTTTATCTCGTAAGCCGCTGTTCTATCTGAGAAAATTTCGATACAGTAATGACAGATGAAGAATAATGCATACATAAGAGGATTTAATTAAATCTTCTTTTGTAATATTATGTAAACGAGATAATATGCATATTTTAAGTCATTTGCGAGATCCAATTTAAACTACACAAATATTACCCAAAATGTCATGTTGATATCATCATGATATTGGTCCTATCTTATCACAAAAACGAATGCACTGGACATAATGCATGTACTGATAGTGCAGTTTTACTTTGCGAATACGAAAGTGTTTGATGAACGCAACCGCTTTGTTATGCGCGAACATCTATCTCTCAAAGAGGTAAATCCTTTTTTTTATTTCCTCGAAAAATATAATTATCGGCAAATAAAAAAAATTTTATTTGCCGATAATTTTTCTAATATACCTACTTAATTAGAACTATTAATATGTTGCAATAAAAATTAATATATTATTTATAAAATTAATATATATATATATATATATATATATATATATATATATTTATAGCACAGATTAGGGTGTAAGTAAATTAAATTAAATTTCTTTTTTTAATCAAATACGATCACAGAACAACTGCAACTCGTTCTAGTTTTATTTTATTAGTTCTGAAGTTTAATTATTCTTGGACAAAATTGTGGAAAAGTTATAACATATTCAACACAAGTTTAATTTTAATTTATCACATTTGCAAATATGTATACATATATATATATATATATATATATATAGTCTCTCATAACAGTAAGTTTAGTCGAACTATTTTCGGAATTTATATATAAATTTGATTCGTTCGGAAAATCAGTATCGAGATAAACCATCCAGCGTTCTTATAAGAAGTTTAAAAGTCAATTTTCTCATATATTTTTATTTGAATATTATTCAAATTATTCCCTTAGCTAATACATTGTGCATGTAATGATAAAACACTTTCAATAATTTAGAATGATATATTTTATTATATCAAGAGCAATTTTTCTCTCTGTGACAGACACTGTTTCGCAGTGGCAAAAAGATCATCGACAATGAGTGTGGATCAACCACAGCATTAATTAAGACCAGGATACAAAAGGGAGGCCTACGGCAACGAAGATGGCTAATTGCGCTACTGGTTTTTGTGTTAATGTCGCTTCTCATTATCAACAGCTACAACACTGGTCGGATTATCCGCTTTGGAGCAATGGCTAAAGCAAATACTCCAGATGTAGTAACGCGTGAGTAATAGATTAGCACTATCAACTTGTATTTATTATTGCTAAAGTGTTGCAAGAGTGGTCGAATAAAAATACGATTTTTCATATCGCAAAAATTATGCACTAAGATTTTATACGTAAATATAATATCATTTTTATAATAACTTTTTTCATAAAATTAATTAACTATTTTTTTCAATATATAAAACTTAAAAAAACTAAACTTGAAAATTAAATTAATTAAAAAATAAAAAATTCTGAGGAAAATTAAGATTTTTTAAAGATTAATTTTTCTTTAGCAAAAATATTGAAGTATTATAAAGGTCTTTAAATAAAGAATCGAAAATAACAGACTAAAAATTTCATAAGATATATATAAATGGACAAAATCCTATTTTAATTATTTCAAGTCGCTTTTATTTTGACAAAATTGTAGTTTATAATTATTAAGATATGTAAATTTAAATATACAATATACATATTTTTAATAATAAATGATAAAAATATCAGTAGTAGAAAATGAATTAATGTCATATTGCATAAATCTTTCTTTGAAAAACTAGAGCAAAAGTCTTATTTATATTCGAATCCCGTATGCATTTGTGCGTTTATTTTAATTACTAATTAGAGACATTTTTTTACAGAGAAATATGTAACGTTATCATCGAACGTTTATACGCCAATTGGCAGTGGTGGCTTTCTAGTTCGCAACAAAGGATGCCGGTTACCCGCGATGGATCCTTTCGATCCTGCAACTCAACATTTTATAACTAAGGAAGTGCTCGAGTGTGAATACGGAAATTCTCTGCCGTTAATTGAGTCGAATAACACCGCGTTGTTCGTTAATCCTCTGGTAAGAGACGAATTCTACAACGGTCCGGGCAACATCAGTTGCTGTTGGCAACCGTTCTGGAGAACGAAAGACAACGATAATTCTCTTACGTAAGTATTATGCACAAAATAGATTCATATATCTTTTTCCTTTTTGACCGATGACTTTAGATTAGATAAGATTTGTGTACAAATTTTATTTATTAATCCGCTTGCGCAAAAACAGAATAAATAAATTATCTTTTCGCATATTACTCTTTTTTTAGATTTTTAAATATCTACAGACAGAAAGAGAGAATTAATTTCAATTAGTTAAATTTAATGCAATCGTTCCAAATGTGCAAAAACGAAAACATTTTGATATCTCCATATTATTTGTAGATACGCGCAATGCTATCCATTTCAAGATTCCTGCACCGTAAACGCCGAATTCGTGAAGGTCGAATGTTCCCGGAACAACCAAGTGATATATAAGGATTACTACGCTTTTGTACCGCGCAAGCCTGAGGTAGAGGAAAGATGTAAGAAGGTGCTGAATACGGACACCCTCCTGAATGATCGTCTCAGCGTTCTCGTCGTCGGACTTGATTCGGTTTCCAGGATGAACTTTCACAGAATGATGCCAAAGACCGCGAAGGTGCTTCAGTCCCTCGGCGCTATAGAGATGCTGGGTTATACCAAAGTCGCCGACAACACGTACCCGAATCTCGTCCCGGTACTGACCGGCCTGAATCAGGACGAGTTGCGGAACCTGTGTTGGCAGACACCCGACAAAACCTTCGACGAGTGTCCACTCTTGTGGAAGAAATTCAGCGCCGCCGGTTATCGCACGATATTAGCCGAGGACGCGTACCATATGACCACATTTAATTATCTAAAGTCGGGATTTCGGGAGCAACCGACGGATTATTATCTTAGACCATATGTCATCGGCGCCGAGAGGGACATCGGCAACACCCACAAGCTGAACGCGTATATCTGTGTCGGTACCAGAAAGATGTTCGACTGCATGCTGAATTACACTCGTAAAATGATGATCGAGTTCTCGTCGGAGCTTTACTTTGCCTTCATCTGGCAGGCCAGTCTTACTCATGATTATCTCACATATCCGCAGTTGGGCGACGACTCCTATCACGATTTCATCGAATACGTGTCGCGGGAAGATTTACTGAATCACACTGTCTTAATCGTGATGAGCGATCACGGGATGAGATGGGGCGACTTTCGACAAACGTATCAAGGTAAGATCGAGGACAGTCTGCCTTTCGTCTTCATCGTGCTGCCGAGGTGGTGGCGGGAAAAATTTCCGCTAGCTTGGGGAAACTTGCGCAGAAACAGCCACAGCCTGACGACGCCCTTCGACCTTCACGAGACCTTGACGGATCTCCTGAATCCACACACTCTGCGCGAGTCGTTCCTCAAGAGACGCATCAAAACTCAGGCCGCGTCTCCTATTTCACGCGGCATCAGCTGGTTCCTGCCGGTGCCGGATATTCGTACCTGCGACATGGCACACATAGCGAATCACTGGTGCATGTGCCACACTAGCAACACCGTCGCCTGGAACGACACCGGCCTTCAAGACAGCGTGTCGTTCCTCGTCAGGGAGCTGAACGATATGCTGAGCAACTATCCGCTGTGCGCGACGTTGAACCTGAAGCTGATCAAGGACGCGAAGGTATGGCTGGACAAGACTGACGGCGCGACGTTGATGGATTACACAGTGATTATACAGACCACTCCTGGTGACGCGATCTTCGAGGGTACGGTGCGTTACAAGACGGACGATAACACCCGCAATTTGGTCGGTTCGGTCAGCAGACTGAACACTTACGGCACCCAGAGTGCTTGCGTCGACGAATTCAACATGCGTCTCTACTGTTATTGTCTTTAGGCACATCGTTGATGACAACGATCACCTCTTTTGTATCTCATCATTTAATCAGACGCGGTTTTGTAAAGAAACTATTCCAGCTGAGGAGAGAGTTTTGCGACAAACTCTATTTAATTTCGCAAAACATTGTCGCTCTTATGTGATTTATATGTATGACAAACGGACAATATATTGTTGTATCGAGATGAAGGTATCGCTCAAAGTCTGTATTCTCGAGAACACTGTGTTCGTAAGACTCTATATCGTGTATCACGAACGCATTTCAGCGTAGCTTGATGTTTATTTACGCATATTTATTCTTCCACACTATTGATTAATTTATATCATATGCGCAATAATAGATATCTACAAATATTGATGTAGCACTGTCTAACGAGGCGTTCGCGGGCGATCACCTCGCTCCGCATCTCTTTTCTCATTGCAGGTTCTTATATTATTACTTGCTTGTTCATGACGTCATAAAGTCAGATAATTTTACGCTCGATGAGAAAAAAAATACATTTCTCTCATCCGCTATTAATTTGTGTCAAAATGAATTTGTACTCGTCATGTCTACTGTCTCTCATACGTTACATCAATTTCTTAAACACCTTCAACATCATCTGTAAACCAATATGTAACGACCTATTACGGCGATCTACAATTCTCAGTGACAAAACAAAAATTCGCCGTTTCTATACACAAATAAAAGATATTTTACTATTCTCTCTTCATGAGTGTATTTCATCGAAACCATTCTCTTCCACGCGGCAATAAAATTAATTATTAATGATTTTTAATGTGCTCCTAATGAAAACACTTTATGTAACATTGAAATATATATTTTTATATTTTATATATTTATTTCTGACTGATGATTTTCTTGGATTCTCTGATTACGGGAAAAATAATATTAATGTCCTTTTTTTATAATAATCGAGTATAATTTTACTATAATAATTTACATTTTCGATTTACATAGATATATGTGAATTAAAAAAATGAACTATAAATATATCGCACGTTTATTATTTTTATCATGAGATACTATAATCATTATCTTCGTGCGCGTTCAGTGATGGTTCAGAATTTTTTTGTTATAACGCAAGGAATTCCTCCATGCGTTTTTTTTATCGTTCTTATTTTGTGATATTAAATGCAAAATTTGATCACACATTTCAGTTACATGATTCAGAGCCAAAAAATAAACTATAACAATTTAAATTTTACTATTAAATAAATTACTTAATTATCATTAATATGAATTTAAGTAATTGACAACAAGAAATAGGTTTAACCAGTCTTTTGTATCTAGATAAAACATATATATATATATATATATATATATACATACACATATATATGGATATACTGAGATGACGAAACTTATGTGAAATGTGTATTCAATTTATCCAACTGTGGTATTCACATTATTACAATCCAATTGATATTCTTTAATAAGGAAGCAAGTAACCTCTCCCTCTCTCTAATACAAACATACATATATCAAGACATACATTCCAATCAACTTACTCACAGATTACATTCATTTGTACATTGCATTAAATATATTTAATTACCATGTATACCATTGTATATTCGGTTCACGGAACTTTTTGCAGTAACTTTTTTATGTCTGAAACACAAAATATAACTGTAATTTATGTAATAATACAAAATTTTAAGACACGTTAATATAGCACATCTGGGCTCACCTTCTTTCTGTTCTTCTGTAAATTCGTTATCAGGAAATAAAACATCGAAAGTAATATACAAGGAGCCATAAATATTATTATTATCATAATTAGGCATTCCTTCGTTCTTCTTTCGAATACGGGTACCATGCTTGGTAATTTTGTCCCTTTGAACAGTCACCATATGACCATCTAGATGCTTGATATCCACTGTAAAACCTACTAATGCTTCTTGCAAAGATATCGTAATGTTTGTATACAAATCGTCGCCTCTTCTTTCAAAAATAGGATGAGGTAGAGTTTGTATTCTGGAAAAAATATATTATACATTAAACTTGTATAGGATAGATAAAAAAATGTTATACAACTGAGAGAAAGAGTGAATAATCTAAGCTCTCTCTAAAATAGATTGAATAATAGAATACATTTTTTTCAATCTAAATTTCCATTTTCGAAATAAATGACTTTGAATATCTATTAGATATTTATGCATTTGATCGACATTCGTCCTTGTTAGAAATTGACAGTTAATATAAAAAAAATAATAGAATACAGTATATACCACAGTACAGTTAATTCTGATAGTAAACACAAGCAGTGAGATGTATATACATATATATATATATAAACTGTGAGAACTTTAGCAAAGTTTGTTAAGCCATACAAAAAAAGTTAACTCCATTTATTTTGAAATATAAAGTCATCCTCTCGCGATTATATATCCTTTGATTTGTGTATATTTGTAAGATTTAAATATAGAAAAATATCTGTTTACTTTAATATCAAATCTCCTGGATCTCCATCAAGATGTGGTTCCCCTTCAGCAGTAAATTTAATTTCTTGATTATCTAGCATTCCTAGTTCAACTTCCACTTCTAATATACGTTCCTCATTCACTAGCTTAACATTTGGACATTCGGAACACACTTGTTGTTGTATCATTTGAAATCTGCCACTTCCTAAAGAACGAGTAACTAATTCTTGTCTACAATTGCATTTTCTGGTACCCTTTGTCGTCTTCATAACAGGCTTATTTCTTGTAATCTAAAACATAGAGCAGTATTAAGAGTTTATATTTTTTTCCAAAAAAAGAGTTGTATCATATTTATAAAATTTTACCTCAATAAAATTCCCACTGTATAATTCTTCTAAAGTGACATACAACTCCATTATAACATTTGCACCTTTAGTTTCCTGAGGATGCTGTGGCTCTCCACCAAAAGCAAAATTAAAGTCGCCGAAAAAACTTGAAAAAGGATCCATATTGTTGTTCATCATGCCATCCTTTTTCAAACATTCCTCTCCACATTTGTCATATGTTCGTCTCTTTTCAGGATCTGATAATACTTCATAAGCCGCTCCCAGGTCTTGAAATTTTTGGGAAGCATCCGGATCATCTTTATTCTTATCAGGATGTAATTCTTTTGCTAATCGTCTGTAAGCCTTTTTTACTTCATGTGTGCTGGCACCACGCGATAAACCTAGTATTTTATAAAAATCCCTCCTGTAAGCAGAAAAATAAAATAATATATAAATATAATTAACTCTATTGTTTTTAGCATATTATTATTATTTAAATAATTAAGAAAGAACTTTCTCATGGTAGCTGTATAGGAATAATATTATATAAAATGTATTGATTTTTAAAAGATCAAAATTAGAGAAATACGAGGGAACTTTTTTGCAAAATTTTATGTTTATATCTGATTTAAAAAATTGTACAATTGTTTAATAATTCAAATACAAATTTAAGTAACAAGTCTCGAGTGAAGAGAAATAGGTTAATGACACTATCTATGATATTAAAAAAATGATTGCGAATAAAATATGCGCTTTCGAAGGAAAAATATTCTTCTATAAAGATTTTCTTACTTACCCAGCTACGGATAATATAATACATAATATTAAATTAATAAATAATAGCCAATTTAACTTTAGCCCTGCCATCCTAGCAGACGTTTCACAAACACCCGAACACACAATCGAAGCTTGACTCGTGGGCGTTCCTTATTGGTTCCTGCGAAAAGGTTTCACGTAATATTTCCATTGTACGATAAATGTACTCAAGGCTGTTACACAAGTAAATATTTTCGCTACATATCGACATCGAAATAGACCCAATGATCTAAAGGCTCTAAAAACGCATGTAAATTTATATATTATACGATAAAGATCTTCGCTTTTATACCCCAAAAATGACATTATTTCTGAAAACTTTTAATGGACTTCAATTATTTCAAAAATTTTTAGCACCAAGGTACGTCGTAATTTATTGTTACTTCATTAATTAATGATTTTATCACTTACTCATATACATTTTTGTCCTGCCTGTAACATTATATTTTTATACATTCAAGTATCTTTGAAAAATAATATATAACATACATATTGTCAAATAAATGCGTAAAAATATGAATTAAACGGTACACCTTTCTAAAGTAATTATTTCAATGCTTAATTTTAAAAGACAAATGATTAAAAAGGTTGCTTATATCGCACAGGTTACTTATCAATATTTACATTTAATGTTTAAATTACAATGATGCGAAAAATAAATATATAAAATGCATTCAGATATAGATATTTAAAAAAAGAAGTGTTTCATGTGTTTATTATTACATATATTCAACTAAATAGAAAATGTACAACACCTACATCTAAAACAGGTTTATATAAATCTTTATTTTTTTACGCAGTTGCAGTATCAATGTGATTGCTTCCACAAAGCGAGAAAGACATAAACTTACTGTACATAGATATAATGTACCTAGATATCGTCATCCAGAGTGGCTCCCAAAAGTCGAACATAGTGTATGTTTTTTGTGTACAAACTATTTGTTTTATAATTACTAGTATACAAGTCACATTTTTATTTTAATGTAAGATTCAAATAATATATCATATAAAGTAATTTTATAGTAAGTAATATATGTTTAAATAATATAATAAATAATAATTAAATTCTTGTTTATAGAACTACAATGAAAATCTAACGAAAGATAATCAAGAGTTTCTTAAAGAAGTAACTCAAGACAAATATGGTTCAACTAATATTGAATATGGAATGAATAATTCTCCATTGAAAATAGATCCGATTGAACCAATTACAAAATGGAGACCAGGTTTGCAACGTACTGGCTTAATCGCTAAAAAAATTGGAGTTTATCCATTATGGTTGAAAAATGGAAAAAAAGTTACCTCAACATTACTTCAGGTTAATAGAGTAGTATTTATCTTCAATAAACATTATTTTTATTTTTCACGTATCTGTATAACTTATCATATATTCTTTATATTTTTATTCAGGTGGTTGATAATGAAGTAGTAAAATATATGCCACCAGAGAAATTTTATCCTGTTAGAAGCCGTAAACCTCCTCTGCAAATAAAACACAGACGAGGATGTCTTGTAGTAGGAGCGGAAAATATAGATCCGCAAAAGGTACATAATTAGAAGATTATATAATATATATTTTTTGCACATAATTAGCAATATAATGAAATTTAATGTTTCAGATTACTAAAGAATATTATGGTATTTTTAATGATACAGGAGTTATGCCGAAACGTATATTAAAGAGATTTATAATATCTCCAGAAGCAGCATTACAACCAGGAACTCCTTTAACTGTTGCGCATTTTAAACCTGGAGAAGTCGTCGATATCCGCGCAAAAACGTAAATAACATTATACTTGTTATTATATTGTGTTATTATATGCTGCTTTATGGCAAGAAAAATTAAACTAATAACATCGAGTGCACATTTTATTCATAAAAAATTTAAATATATAAATTCCATTAGAGTGGATCGTGGATTTCAAGGTGTCATGAAACGATGGGGTTTCAAAGGGATGCCTGCCAGTCACGGTGTAACTAAAACGCATAGAAGACCCGGAAATATTGGATCAGGTGGTGCTAAAGCTCGAGTTATGCCTGGCACTAAATTGCCTGGACATATGGGTAATAAGTGGCGAGTTCTAAAAGGTCAACAGGTAACAATTTCTCTAATACATATATAAATATCTTCGAAATTTAATCTATAATTTACAGAAGTTCTCTCATCCGTTTTTTAAGTTTTATAAGAATTATATTTTTGTTTTAATAATGCAATTGTATATTTCATATAGATTTTACGAATAAATACAAAGTATAACGTGATTTGGATCAAAGGACAAAATATACCTGGAGAACTTAACACTTATTGTCATATCTACGATACAATACTTCCTTTGAGAAAACACAAAACAGCGCCACATTTCCCTACATATTTACCAAGTATTGCTGAAGAGCTTCCGGAAGAACTATATGCGGATGAAGTACACCCATTTATAGATCCCACGATAGAATTTAAAGAAGAATCTTAATTGTGTATATATCTGTACGATGTTAAATAAAAAAATACATAAATTTCTTATTTAAGATAATTTGTTATTTACGAAGTTCACATGGTTTTTTTCTAGGTAATAACTTATAAATGTAATTATAGAGATTAAGGATCAGCACAGGCACACATACTAATTCTATAGAATCAATGAGTTAAAATAAAATCGACTATAATAGTTAAAGTTGTGCCGAATTTACACGATGGATTTTATTAATTGTTCTGTCTTTACAGAAATATGTCCATACTTATCAATTATGCTAGTAAAGAGTAGTCAATTGATTCATTTATTTCGTAATCAATATCATTATAAATTTAACATGCCTAAAATATACACGAATTATTTTATAAAAGTAATATCGCTAACCAAGACTCGTCCTGAGTTAGAATGGAGAGCAGCATGATCAAGCAATAGAATAATCCTTCCTTTTCGTTCCCTTAATTCCACATTGCAATGCAGAAATAATCGATTTCACTATGATAATTTATTTGCATGCATTATGTAGCTAGCTGCGCTCGCTCGCCTAAAGACTCCGCTAACGTTTATCATTGTATTATAAAAGAAAAAAGATATATTTATAAGAAAAGGGAAAGAAGAAAATTAAAGTACACGGATAATCAGTTTTTGGTAATTATCATGGTTCTCTTTCATTGCATTATCAGCTCTTTTTCTCTACTTCGAGCTTTCCAGAATACGGAAAAGTCGACAAATCACACTGTATGTTTAGATTAGCAAACGCGATAATTCTCGATCCACAGCAATGGTAAGTTCATATTGCTACACTTTCATTGGAACAGGAAGGAAATGTAGAAATAGGAAAGAGAAAAGCAAAATGGCTCCGCATTGGAGTTTGTCGGGGGACGGCACGATCGGAGAATAAGAAATAAGTGGAGACTCTCTCAGAATTTAAAACCTTCACTCGGAATACTCGTCGTCTGATCAAACTCAAAAGCTCCTTCGTGTCCTTGTGCCAAAGGTGCATCATCCGCCTGAAATCAATCATTATGATATGAAGATAAGATTTATGTCAATGTTATTAGATAAAAGAATGCAAAATGTATTATAAATCTAGCCTTTTAATTCTAGAATCATTCAGTGTCACATTAATTAGAAATTTTCATTCTATTGTATAAATAAATAAAAATATGTAATAGCATGAGAATATTTTTATATTGCAATTTGAGTGTACAGCAATGAGATGACGAACCAGAATGATATAAAATATTAAATTTATTGCATAGCATGTTACGAGATTTTTATAATGTGTTAAAAGCAAGAAAAATGTTAATCTTTCTTTTATTTCCATGTTTTTCTAAATTATAAATAAATTATGAGTGAATTGTAAATATGAAAAATGTTTCTTTTTACCTCTTCTGAAAAGTATTGCTCGATGATGTCGTACGCTAACTTGTAAATATCTACATTTTCATGATTTTGCAACGCTTCAATCTTGTCCAAACCTATAAATAAAGAAAATATATATAAACAAGTGTAACTTTTTATCAAGTTTTTTTTTACATGTTACTCTAGATATACATGAAGAAATATCTAAGATAAACAATAATAACTATTATTATTACTTTCGAATAATAAAGTATACTCACCAGCACATTCTTCAATCATATTTGCCAAATGTTCAACGTCTGGGCCAGCAAGTTTAAGCATGTTATGGATACCGTCTAATACCACTTGTACAACTTGAGTATCTTTACAAGAAAGAAGATCACAGAATGGACCAATAACACCCTCTTGTATAAGCCGCGAAACTTGATCCCTATTTCCACTTATCGTAAGATTGCTAATTGCCCATGCAGCTTCTTTCTGTGCTTCGAATTTTCCCTGAAAACAACATGTATGTGTATTCGCGCGTGTATATAATAATATACAAAATAAAAGAATATAATACATTCTCTGTATAAAACTATTATATATTCTACATACCTTTGCTAAATTACGAATAATGAGTGGTAACAGACCCGCTTCTATAACTGCTTGAACTTGTGATTGATTTCCGGCAGTAATATTTGAAAGGAACCAGACTGCTTCTTTACAAATTTTCTCTTTTGGATGAGTCAACAAATTGGGGAAATGCGAAAGAGCATCACAATTTAAAACAATTTGTGTTTGTTCGTCTGTGCCAGTCACGATATTGCCAACTGCTCTAAGGGCGGCAGTTTGCACTTTGACCTCTTTGTGCGAAAGAAGTGGTATTAAACGAGGTACAACACCACTGTCTATAACCATTTGAATTTGCTCATTACCACCATCAGTGAGATAGCTCAAGGCCCATACAGTATCAACAAGAATCTGTGAAAAAGATAAGATATGATATTAGAGACTCAACAATTTTCATTAACTAAAAACAATCATACAGAAATATATGGTATTTAATCTATATTTAAAAATAGATGCAATGGAAGAATAGTATTATATACTTCTACAGAATTGGTTGTTCTATTAATCAATTTATTTTTGCAGTTTTTAAATATAAATTTTATTAAATTATCTTACTATTGCCTCAATAAAAATTTAATTAAAAGTTCAAAGATCATTTATATTTACTTATGTATTTGCTTTTTAACTATGTCCTACATTAATTTATATAAAAGAATTATCGATTTTATTTTTGACTTTATATATGTATATAATACTTACATTAATATCAGTATGATGAATAAGCGCGTTTAAAGCAGGTAAAATATCCTTTATGGTTTGAACTGGTGGTGGTGGATCTTTATTTCTACATAAGTTTACAATAACCCATGTTACGTTACGTAAAAACGAAATAGGTATATCTGGTTTAATAAACGTTAGCAGTGGCTGTACAACACCCAGTTTAATAACATAATCTCTAGGTGCTGGACCATCTCCAATTATGTTACCTACAATAAATAAACATATATTGTATAACATATTTATCATTATATTATATATAATCTTTTCTAAATCCTGCTAAATCAAATATATTTTTATAATTAAAAATTTAATGTCATTTAATGCATTTAGATTAAAATCCTTTAACAATTACAATTCATACACAATTACATTTATGTAAAGATATATCTTTAAAATTGCATGTATTTCTATTAATTTGATAAAATGATATAATGTATATAATTTAAGCAATTTATAAGTTTAGAAATAGATGTTACCTAAGGCCCACACAGCTTGTTCACATACATTCTGTTGACTTGAAAGTAACAAGTGCAAAAAGAGTGGAACTGCACCAGCAGCAACAACAGCTTGCGTTTGAGCCGATGTCCCACTTGCAATATTTGTTAAAGCCCAGGCTGCTTCAAATTGTAAAGATGGACTAGAAAGTTATATTAGTAGTTTTATAAATGTCTCACATCATATAGATGAATATAACTTGATACAGTAAGTTTTCAAAATTACAGCTATAACAGAAAAACAAGTTGCACAAAGGCAAAAACACGAAACACAAAAACAAAGAATTGTTGATAATATTTTATGCATAAAAATTTTCTTACTTATTATGTTGTTCAAGACAACGAACTAAGATTGGTAAAATCCCACTCTCTATCAATGGATCAATAGGTGGATTACGATCTGAAGACAGTAACTTTCTTGCTGACTGCACAGCTTGTAATTGTACTGTTGGATCTGAACTGCCTGCTTTTGCTACCAACTCCTCCAAGTTGATTTTTGAAAGATGTTTATCAATATCATCTTCATCTGTTTGAAAAAATGATATATATCAAATGTTTTAATGTTTGAATTTATTTTCATTAATATATATGTATGTGTATATGGTATGTGTGTGTATATGAGTGTGTGTGGTCTATATATCTAAAAAGATATAATCTCAACTTATTTATTTTGGCTTACACAAAGTACTAAAAAGTTTTAAAAATTATATTTAAGATAAGAATGCTTAAGTGACACATAATATTTATTAAAGTAAAATTGTTTTTAATTTAATATATTCAAAACTTATTTGCTACCTGCATTCACAGAGAGTAAAAAGGATTTAATTTTTACAATTAAAATTACAAACTTAATAAATTACAAATTAAAGAAATAAAAATATGTGAATAAATTTTCTACAATAAATACGAAATATTTCATTTTCTTACATCTGCAGGAATAATTAACTTAAAATATATTACTATTTCCTTATTCTATATAAATCCTATATAAAGAGTTCTATATAAAAATTATGTTTCAGCCTTCAAAGCATTATATATTTCAATATATATTCAATATCTAATTATAAGATCATATCTAACATAAAATATTAAAGCTAACATACAGGGTGTTATAAAAGTACCGGAACAGCAGAATAACTCAAAAATATGAGTCCTAGAAAAATGTTAAGTACTGGGTTTTTATGATTTTCTTCCTGGCTAAGGTCATCGTCAGATAGCCAGGAAAAATCATAAAAACCCAGTACTTAGCATTTTTCTAGGATTCATATTTTTGGGTTATTCTGCTGTTCCGGTACTTTTATAACACCCTGTATATAAAAGCAATAAATTGTGATAAAAATTATTTTTAAACATACCTGTTGAATCTGTGATAGGTACATTTCTTCGCTTTTGTAAAGTTTCATCGCGCTTATTTTTACGTAATTCTACTGTCACTTCATTACGTCTTCTTCTCATCTCCTAAAACAATAATATTAACTTTGTAATGTTATATCCAATAATAATTATAACATGTCAGTCACATCAAAATAAGGCTAATTCAACTTAATTTCATAACATTAAGACATTTAAGTATTATATGAAAATAACTATAATTTTTATAAAGTATCAATAAATAATCAAATTATCTCACAATATAAAAATATATATAGTTTTAGGATGAGATTTCAAAATCTAAATTTTCATTAAATAGTACAACTAAATATATATTTAATCAAATTTATATATTATAAAATAATGCTATTAATTATAATTTACACAAATAAAGCATATATTTAGTTAAGGATTCAGTTGAAGAATTTTATATTTCATTTTACACAAATATGTGTACCAATAATTTACTTAAACTTAAAAAACTCAAATATTGAACACATAAAATATAACTGGATAAAATTTTAATGAAAATAATGCAGCAACAAAAAGTTATTATTGCATCATATTTTAATATATTAATAGAATAAGGAGCAATTCAATATAAGGTATAAAAGAAGCAACAAGTAGAATAGAAGACAAAATAAGAAGGAAAAAAAGTAGCAAAGTAGAGAACAAAAAAATGTAGATGAAATGTGGCAGAGGAACCAATGTGGAAAACAGGAAGAGAAAGAAAAGAGGAAAGACGAAAAGAAGGAAAAAGGAAGGAAAAAAAGAAATAAAGGAAGGAACAAGAAGGAACAAGAGGGAAAAGAGCAGTTCAACGTACATATATGCGAATGTACGCACGACTTTGAGGGGGGAAAAATGGCATCATCGTGCATGGGAACCTAAGACACGAGGGCGTCTCAAAGAACTTCTCCAGGAGCAAGAAATTTGCACACAATTCCCATCCCCGGAGAAGCTCCGTCACGTTTCGTCGATTTCAACGCGAAACGAATCACTCACCTCCAGATCCTTGCCTTTGTTCTTAAACACCATCATTCGGTTCTTACTTAGCATTGCCTCGGCCGCCATTTTTTCAATAACCAATTTCCGCACTAGCGTAGGATCAATGTGCGCCGGTACTGTCGTACGATGTCGATTGCGAAATTTCTCGTCTCCGCGTAGCGAACTCGATCGGTTTCTCCTAATATTATATATATGTATGCGTATATATATCTGTCACGATATATCCTCGTGATACTGATAATTCGCTCCGATCTCTATTCCAGTCTATATCGACAACTGCACTCCGGACTCGTTTCACTAACGCGGCACACGTACGTATGTCAATATGCAATATCATGCATATAAAACGCCCGATCACGTTAACAATTGCCGTCGTTGCTGTTCGGCGTTGTCTGTCACAGCGTCCGAGTCGTTTTTTCCTCACGGCTCACGTTATATCCTCCCTCCTCACAATTTGTGAAACCACCCGTGATAACTAGGCGAGAAAGCCGAGCGAGAACAGATCACGGACGTTTCACGAGCGTTCCGAAAAACACGCGGAAGAAGGTCGAGGAGAAGCGACCATAGCGCGGAAACGAGGACGACGCGTTCCGAAACGCAACTTTAATCTGCACTTCCGGTGGATCCCCCAGGTCGACGTCCAATAAGAGAGTTTGTTTTCTAGGGACGAAAGTGTTGGTTAGAAAACACATTGTCCATTATTTGGATATCGAACTGTCAAATTAATGTCAAACGTCAAACGTCAAATGTCAAATGTCAAATATAAATTTTTCATCGCTACGCATATATGGCATACATATAATACTAGAGGGAAATTCACTGATCGCGTAAGTAATATTGGTAACATTATCAATCCATTCAATCGATACTTCATGATATATCGAGAGATCGAGAATTGCAATGGTGACTCAATTTTCTACTTATTCGTATTGAATTAGCCGACACTCAACGCAATTTTAAAAAATCTTTTTATGGAATCGTTTGTATTTCGTATGAGATGTTTGAAGTGAGATTAAAAACGTTGTGAGTAATTAGAATAATTATAAAAAATTTCTCTTTTACACTATGCATTTAGCCTACATAACAAAATATTGAAAAATTTTTTTACGGAATGTTTGTATTTCATATGAAGAGTTTGAAGTACAATTAAAAAGGTTTGTGAGTTATCCGATTAATTTTAATTAAATATTTTTAGATATTGGAAGTTAGCCGGAAAATATGTAAAATTTAGACTTGTTCATTATTTAAGATGCGACGATCGGCCAATCACAGTCGAGGACAGTTTATGATTACGACACGGCCATCTCAATCACATGTGACGTTGCTTACGATTACGGCGTATCGGTCGGCCAATCACAGCGCGAGTTTACAATCTTGAGATATTCAAACGCGAAATTTCTCAATTGCGCGCCCAAACGGATCTTCGGATCCCCGGTTATGTCGGTGCTCCGAGAACAAAAGCGTAAAATTGAAGAAGCAACAGCAGACGGCGATGATGATGAGCAGTCGCATGATAAAGTGCGACTTTGAGGAGATGATTTCAAAGATCGAGATTACGAATCTAAATTTGACGCATCTCCTGATAACCTTGCCTTTAGGTAATAATGAATAAGTAGTTGGAATAATTTTTATATGCGAATACTCGTTTGTTGATTTAATAAATAAAACTTACATTAAAGAGTTAACATATTACGCTACACATAGACATTTACTTGTTTGTTTCTAGTAGGAATATATATAACGGCGCTTTACAATACGTACGTGGTTTATGTTGGATCTGGCGATATTATTATCAAGGTTGCGCAGCAAGGTTTGCGTGGAGATGGTATTTCCCTTATCGCTATGCACCGTTTGCAAGCGATTGTATTAACATCGGTGGTCTCTACAGAATTCGAGAAAGATACTATACCAGTAAGTCTCGGCAAAATATAAGTGTATAATATTTCTGCACATCTAGCTCATGACTTAATGATGTTTTGTTGCAGTTTTGTCCATTAAAGCAATTGATGGGTGTATTTTCTGCTGATAGTAAAAAACATTTATCTGCACCATGGGTAAAATTAATGATTGATCCAGTATGTATAACAATTAGAGGAATTATTGAAAAGCATGATAGTATAAAAACATTAATCTGTTGATACACTCGAATTCATGATTTGGCAAACTATGCATCAAATTGTGATACTTTGTGATTTTAAAATTTTTCTTATATATGTATACATATTTTTATCATATATTATTTATTTACAGAAATCTCATATTATCGACTTTTATCCAGAAGATTTTAATTTTGACTTAAATGGAAAGAAATTTGTATGGCAGGGCGTAGCTCTGCTTCCATTTGTTGATGAAAAAAATTATTTAAAGCTTTGGTGTCACATTATGATAGCTTAACGGAAGCAGAAAGTGAGTGATATAAAAGTACATTTTAATGTAATTTTGTTTCAATTAATATTTCTTCGAAAATTAATGTTAATATATCTGTTGTATAATTTTTTGAATCATGAGTTTCGAAGATACTAGTCGTACAGAAAGAGAGATTTTATATAAGTGTTGCATTGAAGCTTGCTAGCGTTGCATCAATCTTGCTAAATTAATATTAGGTACATTATTATTTTTAGAAAAGAAACATTTTCTGTGGTGATGACAGACTGTATCGGACTAGGGAACAGCAATTATAAGTTTATAAAAGATTTATATATGAATCACGTAGGATTTAATAATGAAGTTGAAATAAGCATAATTGGTATGCAAAGCACTGTACGTACTCTTAGCAGATAATTGTGTGAGTGACAGGGCACGTTGCCTTCACCTGTCAAGGGTTTGCCAGTTAGAAATAATAATGTCTATTGGTTCGTATATATTTTTTATTATAAACGAAAATATATAATACAAATACAGTAGGATACGGATAGCTCGTTGCATATTTTTATCAAATATCGCTAATGTCGTTCTATATGTATTATATTATTAAATGACACGCAGTTATAATTAATTAATGTTACGCGTTTGACCGCATTACATGTGCAATTGCATTTGCACAAATGTGCGACGATTGGGTATTGAAAAACTTTGGCGAGTTTTTTAATTCGTGCGATAGATTAATCGATGAATTCAAAAATTCGCGCCGTTTTTCTCATTCAAAAATTTTCTTTTGCCGCCATCTTGTATAATACTTATTCAGATACCGCTGTATCGTTAACTAAAAACGTAGTATTATTTAGCGTAATTATAATTTTGTGGACATTTTCTTTAGAAATGTGTATTTGTTTCGAATAGTGTCAAATACCGGGATCCTATAAATACAGTAACAGTCATGTTTTCCTCGCTCGTAAACTGAAAGGGGCTAAGGATTGCCGCGCTTTTTGAAACCGCAAGATTTCGAGGCTATGAATCGCAATAATGGGAATCGGTGGAAGCCGCAAATCGGTTTCACTCGATCTTCGCAATCCACTTCGTTAGGACAGGCAGGACACAGAACGCTCAAGTAAGTATATCATCATTATTGTAATTAAGATTTGCTACCACATTTCCCTTTTTTAGAACTTAGAGAAGACGCAATTGACAGACTTATTGTGGCTTTATGTAAAAAAGCAGTGTATAAGACAGGAGTATGTAATATTTCTAAAGAAAGAAAAAAATGAAAAATTATTAATTTATTTAGTAATCATGTTGATATATTAAGGAATACAGTTGCCAACATTTAGGCATTTCTTAATTATTGGACACTTATTTTTTATTTTTTTATTTTTTCTTGAATTTTAAGATTTAATATTTTTTTTCAATTTTTCAATTTCTATGAGTAAATACTGTTTTAAAAAGAATAAGTTTAAATTCTCTCTTAAAAATTATTTCTAAATTAAATAAAAGGAGTAAAGTTTTATCTTTTTACATTTTTTGACATTTGAAAAAATTAATAAAGGATTTATATTTAAATTTAAATTTAATTAGTTTAAATTTAATTATTTAAATTTATATAATTAGTTGTAATAAAAGAGGAAGAATATATATTTTATAATTTAAATGAAATTAAAAAAGAGTTATACAATTTTTTATAAGTTTTTTTTATTAAATAATATATTTAAATTTATACAATTAAATATATTATGAAGTATCAGTAAATCATTTATTCACTGATTTATTGAGTTATTTCAAAATAACATATTAGTTAAACAATTAATTACATTATAATTAGCTTCTTTTACAAATAATATATTTTTTGTTATTTGCGCAGGGTTTTTTGACAGACAGTGGCGATGTTAATTTGGATCGTGTATAATTAATAATGTCAGACTTTGGTGATGTAGAAGATGAGATCTTCAAAAAGAGGCAACAAAATGAACTGGCATTTAAGCAACGTGAGAAGGACAAAAAGAGGAGAAATTAAATAATCAGTAACTTTAAGCCAAAATGGATTCCCGCAGGATAATTTGCACCTATTGTAAGATTTCAATTTATTTTAGTATCTCTGAGAGTAGTTATATCCCTGAGAAACTATAGTATCAAGTTAATTATAATCGATAATTAAGATTTAGTGATTTGTAATTAAAATTTCTAAAAGTTGATTATCGCATCCAATTGTTGTTAGAAAAATTAATATAAAACATAAAAAAATTAATATAAAAATTATATTAATACAATTAATATAAAAAATTTATGTAAAGGAGTATTAAGAATATAAAATAAAGTTCTGAGAATATTCTCTACATTACATTACATTATTGTAATTTGCTGAAATCTTTGCAGGCTCTTGGACAGGCAGTAAACCTGTAGAAAATGCACGTTACGAGGCTTATTAAATGCGCATACAGGGTGTAGGAATTATAATACGAATGCTACTGATAGTACAAATGCCTTAGAGAGCATGTTAATACCCGAGGTAATAATTTCATTTTTTTTCTGACAATGTGACACATTTCTGTACGTTTGAGAAAAAATCGCGTTCTTTAATCATATATTTTATTTGCATATAATTGTAACTTGTATATCTTGCTTTCATTTTTATATATTATTCTGTTGAATGCAGTATATATATATATATATATATATATATACACAGTATTTAATATTAAATTGTTTTATTCTAAATTATTGTTAAAAAAGGATCAATTTTTAAATATTTTTTATTCAAGTTTTTCCAGACCTATTATCACGACAGTATCAAACATATTCATCTTCGAGAGAAGAAACGCATCCTTATATTTCTTATAGAGAGTCTCGTAAAAAAATTCCCGCTTTCCATTCCGCTTCCGATTCCACGGAGTATTGTTCCGAGATATAAAGTTATCCCAGTTGCTTCTTGTCATTTAAGAATCACCCATCTCGCGTGGAAACACAAACAAAACTCTCTCATCTCTGGTGTTCGGGCTAGTCGTGCTTTATTTTTTTTTAGACCACCCTCTTAAGGCCGCCACCATCTGCACGCATACCGACTTTATGTCGCTCCGGAACGCGATCGAACGCAAATGACACATTCCGCAATGTTCGACGGGTGTAAGCCATCCTGTGCGCATCCTTCCTTCTGTCTCTCTGATACAATTTAAAGGTGAAGTCTTCTCTCTTTCTTCGTAATGCTTTTATATACAAAAAAATGGTATTTTATTTTTTCATAAATTAATTTAATCTCTATTAATTAATCAATTATTGATTAATGGTTGATAATTGATTAATTTGTTACAGAATTGCTCATAACATTGTAAAAAAAATATATTTGCAAATTAGTTACAACAGATACATCTCGAATATTCCGCAAATCATCTGGAATAATAAAAGAGATTTTATGGATAATTAAAATATAAAATTTTTTTTTTAAAGTCTTATAAAACGTGTAAAAAATTTCTTTCAATGCTAATTTGTTGCCATATATGAATAACGACTTTGTATCATATTGATATACAAAAATATATTCCCGTCTTTTATAAATTAATTTATTCTCTCATTAATTGATTAATTTGTTGCAGGTATGTTGCAGAATTTTATTCATAACATCGTAAAAAAAGTATACGCAAATTAATTGCATAATAGACACACATCTTATCGAATACTTTATGGGATTTTCTGGATTAATAAAGATTTTATAGATGTATGGATAATTAAGGTAAACAATTTTTTAAAATGGTAAAATTTTAAAACTAAAAAAACTCTTTTAGAAAAATCTTTTAAAAAAATTGCAAAAAAATTATTCCCTTCAATGTCAATTTGTTTTCACATGAATTATAATATCTTTATATCCAATCGATATACAAAAATGTTATCTTTCATAAATTAATTTAATTTCTCATAATTAATTAATCAATGTGTTACAGATATGTTACAGAATTATTCATAACATCGCATACAAAAATATTCGCAAATTAATTGCAACAAACACGCATCTTGGATTCTTTATGGACTATCTGGAATAAAAAAGATTTTAGATATATGGATTACGGATAATTAAGGTAAGAATTTTTTTAAATCTTAAAACTAAAGAAAAACTCTTAGAAAAATCTTTAAAAATGTTACATAAAAATTTCTTTCAATGTCAATTTGTTATCACATGAGTGACGCTTTAGTATCTAACTGATTTGAGAATTGTCATCGATGAAAACGCGATATATTATTATGTCCCTTGATTTTAAACTTGTTTATCCGCAACAAAGCCGCACGCATCTACCGAAATAACTGCATTAATGCATCGGGACAAAAATATGGAGCGATCGCTTTTGTCAAACAAAAGTCTGACGTATTGCTCGAGAAAATACTTCGGGGAAAAGGGAAAAAAAGAAAAGAGGAACCGGCGCTATTCTTGCGTCCAGGTGTGAGCTTGTAACGCCAGTGTAAATATACAACACTTACGCCATTCCGACGAGAGCCTCTTCGAAAACTATTAACGTATCTCTCCCCTGTCCCGCATCCCCCGCCGTACTTTTGTGTTTCGACTCATTTCTCGCCTACTTGGTACGTGTTTTGATCTCCAGAAACTATAAACCACCCGCTTTATTAACGATCCGAATCCACGGTGTTGAAACACCCGCTTTATCCCGACCCGGGATCGAGAACAACATCAATCGTATACTAATACACCAATCTAATGGCAATCCTTCAAAATTATTTCGGTCCGAAACTCATCACAGACCTATTACGCACATACCAGAAATGTTGTCTTCATTCATCCCGTAAACAATCAGTATGATAATAACACATTTCTCTAAAAATATTCATATGAAATCTGTATTCTAAAAATTAATCAAATCACACTTTAATTAAAATAAATGTAATGAATGAAAGAAATTTTTTATTATTCTGCGTATCATGTTGTTGAGCTAATAAAATTTTTTATTTGTGGGAATTTTTATATTACTGATCGACTTTTCAGCTTTCAAAAGAAATACTCGTGAACTAATAATGTGTGTCTTATATAAGACAATCTTTGTAATGATATTATTCCTACACTGAAAAAAAAAATTAATACATATTTATTTCAATGCCTTATAAATAATTTATTGGAAACAAATAAATATTTATCTGTTTTGAAAGATTTTTTATAGCAAATAAATATTTTTTCACATTAAATCAATATTATTAGTTTCAAATAAATGATTATAAGGCAGTACTTGAAATAAAATATTTATTTGAATTCAGTAAATTTGTTTTCCAGTTTATTGAATATTCTATAACAAATTTCATGTTAGAATTAAAATTGAATAATAAATGATCTCTGATAAGCTCTAGCGCGAGAATGCATCGAGTGCATTATAGATTATACGTATTCTTTGAGATACAGGCACACATTCAGCAGCATGCATATAATTTCTGTATAGAAGCTTCATGTTCTCGTGAATCGAGTCGACTTGTTTATCATGATCGGAAGCTGAAAAGTCGAGTTGTTCGCTTAAGAGTAAGTGAGTGTAAGGGAGAGAAAAAAAGAAAGAGAGAGAGAAAGAAGGAGAGAAAGAGTGGGGTACCACTTCATTAGGCAATAACATATCAGACTCATCATGATAGCATATATTAAATTTTTTATTCGCTCAAGATAAATGATACACACATACCCATAAAAAATTATGAATTTCTTTCATTGGCTACATCTCTTTAATTAGACTATCCGATTGTAAAATATATATATATATATATATATATATATATATATATTTCTAACGTATGAAATAAAAAGTGAGAATGTAATAATTGCAAGAAAAATAAGATTCTCCCATTCGAAGTGTACTTGATGATTCAACTTGCTAACTTAAGCAGTTATTAAATTTTCTGAATTGCATAAATATTGATTGCGATTATTATGATCTTGCTAATTAGAAAACGATTCGGTTTATCTTATTAGTCGCGATGCGTAATTTTATACTTTTAATTTAGAAAAAAAATTCGAAAAATTAAATCTGTATGTTTCCTTGGATTAAGAATAAATACCGATAAGCAGTCGTTGCTGAGATAGCGTCAGCATGTGTTATAGAAAACGTATATTGATACGATGCATGCGTAAACGCGTAGTCATTCGCGCAATTTAATTATCATCTCTAGATAAAATAATCCAATATTTTTCAAAGAAAGCAAGAGAGTCCCTGTCTTTCTTAGACGACAGTTTGTTTTAATATAAAATAATTCTGAAATAGCTCGTTGATGAAAAATAGCAATCTTCACAACGTTTTCCAATCTTATCTGTGGAAATTTAAAAACTGTTTTCTAATTCCCAAAATATTAATCTAACTCGAACTGTCAAGTGTGCCAAAGTATTTCCAAATACTTATTATGTGTTTGCTGATACGTGGGTGGATGTCAGGTGCGAGTCAAGCCTTAACAAGTTGAAGACGCACCCTCGCTTAAGAAATTTGGAGGCTTACGACGGACCCCAAAACGTGTGAGTCATTTTTTTTGACAACAGCGTAGGTCGAGCCGACAAGACGCGATGATGAACCAAGTTAAAATCTCGCGTAAATCCCTGCATGCGTGTATCTTACGCACACACATACATACGCATATACACATATCTGCTGTTTCGTGCGCGTAGCAAAGCGAGGGAGTCTCGAAGAAGCGGTCTTCAGTTTCGGTTAAGCATTCATCGAAGAGAGAATACATATCTCACTCCGTCTCTCATCTCCACCTACGTCATTCCAAGTCACCCCGGGTGTTGTACGCGGTTTCGGGCTTCCGGCTTAAGGTTTTAAAGTCATCTCGTTCCTCAGCCTCGTTGCTCAAAGGACTTCCGTTCTCCAAACAAATATGACCCGTCATCATTTCGGGGACGATCTCGGTCAGGATTTCGGAAAAAACTGGCGATGGAAATCCCGAGGAATCTGACAGCGATCTAATAAATTGCGAATCCGATAGATTGGGGTAAAATAAGGGAAGAACGAAAATGCGAAGGTCACTCGGGGTCCTATTATGTGTCACGTGATAAGTGCGTATTATGTGAGGAGATACGAGTGTTTTTATCATGTCGACAGTCGTCGATCTCTCGGGATTTTCAATAAGACTCGCCAATTTGTGAAAATTTGTGAAAATATTGTCAAAGCTCCGATGGCGTCTCTAGGGGTGGTTGTACTAAGGATCTCTCTCGTCGAAATAATACCGATGCAATTAGCGTGTCGGTGGTAATTGATACCTCTCAGCAAAAGAGAAATAGAGAGAAAGAGAGAGAACACAAAGTGCGGCAAACGAGTGCAGAGAATTATTTTCTCCAACCGAGGAGAGGGTGATCGTTGTTTACCTGCACGTTTACAAATGCGCGCGATGTACGCACGAAGGGTGCCGAGAAAAAGGGGCCTCTCCTCTTCTGAAACAAGAACAGGTAGGTGTCATTTTAGATGGAATTTTGTCAATTAACTAATTTTTTTTATTCAATAAAATGTTTTTTTTTAACAAAAATATCACATCTGCGCATTATTATTGACATTAGATATGTAAGGGATGATTTTGATATATTAGAAATGTAAAGGATTTATTTAATATATAATTTCTCTTCAAAAAATATATTTATAAATATCCAGCCTTATTTTAATGGAATTAAATTAATGCTTATAAAGATTTGAAAATTGGATTTGACATACGTATTGTTTACTTATGGTAGAAATTCTGAAAGCTTCTCTTGAGAAATCTGAATACACACAGTAGTTTGTTCTTCGTTTCATTGGGTTAATGGGTTCGTGGAATAAACAAGAGTCATCTAATTTGTATCAAATTCAATTAGGTCTATTACATAAATTACCAAGAATGTATTATAAGTAACGATAACGATATGACCACTTCACAAATTATATTTAATATTGCGCGTGATTATATGAAATTGTTAAATTGATGAAAGTTATATTAAAATTTCGTGAAATACTAAAATAAATAATAATTTTATAATTTTAGATAACAGATTGACATATTTTTTCTCTTTTTTTCTTTCTTTCTACCTATTTATCTAACATAATATTCCTAACAAATGTTCCAGGAATAAATGAAGTCATAATTCAATGATGAATCGTTACGATTGTATATCTGTAGAGGAAAGTCGTAGACTTTATTTTAAACTAGACTTAATTTTAAACATAGAGGAAAGTCGTAGACTTTCCTCTATGTTTAAAATTTGTATTTAAAATTTAAAAAAATATGAATCTGAAATACAAATATTGTATAAATATTTTATATCGTATTACGAAACAGCATAAAAATTAATTTTGCAATTAATTATTTTTGGCGCAATTAAAAGGTTGTTTGCAAATGTTAGAAAAATATTAAAGAAATTCTATCTACGTTAGCATTAATTTATTTATAAATGCTATTATTTATATGTATATATATTAAAAAGAAAAATGTCTATAAAAATTATGACATTGAAAGAAAAAATCATATAAAAACTAACTGACAAGATTAAAACATAATTAACTAAACTTATCTATATGTATTTTGTCGGACAAACAGATGGTTTTCTGGAAAGAAATCAGAAACCGACCTTTTTTTTGCCCTCTGTCGCTATCTGTAATATTAGGTGCTTTCGACCTTTTCGCGATAAGTTTCGGTTCGAGATGATAACCCCAGATGTTACGTTCGCTAACAATAAATAAAATGCCCCTAATATTGACAATTTTATATTATTATTTTGAATATTAACTTATCTATAATAAGTGTCTCTTAATTTAATATACAATATAAATTTTTTCAATAATTTACCCATAATTTAAAATTTTAACAATAACTTTGTTTTTTTTTTAATACGTATAATTATATTAATAAATATTATATATATATATATATATATATATATTTATAAATATTTATAAACTTTTAATATTTAATTAAAATTTACATACTAAAAATTGTTATGATAATCAAATAGAAATATTATATATATATTTATATATCATAAAATAGGTTTTTATATTTGAATAATATCGACATATCGGGAGCCCTCAAAAATAAAAAATATTTTTTATTTTTATAAGCTATTATACATTCACAAAAATTGATAGAGAGAATAATCAAAAGGTGTAAATAACAAAACTTATTTTTTTACTTTAAACATAACTTATTTTAACAGAGAGAATTGAGATTTTAGACTTAATCATCAAGATGATATTTAATGTAAAAAAAATGACATTTTATTTTTCCTGATACATTATTTCATAAGAAATTTTGTTTTTGCAATTTAAATGAAATATCTATGATTATCGTTTCGAACAGTAATTGCAAATCGTCCTGTATATATTTATTTGTATCTATATATTGTTTTACGAGCACCTCGCGATTTATCTCTTTCGGTCCCTTCATGAATTGGACATTTAGCCAGGATGAGGCGTTCGCGCAAATATAATGCCTCGATTGTAGTCTGTAGACATAAAGACTGGATTTGTAAATAAACGCGCCTCGACACACGTGGTTGCATTTGAAGTTTCCAAATTTATCATCAACCAACCGTATTAGTTAAAAGACAATATAGCAGATTCAATTAGGATCGAATGTCATTACTGTCAGTTTTAGATTTTTTTTATTAAACCGAAACCAATTGCAAGTTTAGTAAACTATCGCTAATAAAATATCCTAGCTAATTGAATACTTATATGAATAGAGTGTTTCAGAAGTTTTCTTATGAATTTTATCATATATAATATGCTTGTTAATTTTGCGAAACGATTACATGTTAAGTAAAATGTCACGCATCGATCATTAGTTTGATAAATGAGTCATAAAATGAGTTATAAAATTTATCTTACACACATAAAGTTTTGTGGAGTACGATAATAAATAAAATATATTTTTCTCATAAGTCAATATAGAGAGATTTTCTTTCTTTTTAATCTTTATAATTGAAAGATTATTTACAAAAAATTTAATAACAAGTCCTAAAATTCTAGCAAAACAAACTGAGCCTTTCAAAAATATTCCCAAGAAAAGGTGTAGACTTGATATTTGTTAAGAAAATGCCATTAGAATTAATAACCAAACTGATTAATTGAGTTCTTAAAAATTAGTAAATTATGAGATGTTGCATTATATCATAATTACTGCAAATGTGTATAAATGCTAAGCATAAATTAAAACAATTCTCCGCTAACTACTTACTACGCGATATTCCTACTATCGAGGGTCAGTCGGCGGAGCCAATAGTGCTTTTCTATGTCGCGCATTAAACGGCAGAGAGAGCAGAGGTCAGTAATAATGTAATAAACGCGTAAATGCGAAAATCACGGTATCTGGCAACGGCCAATAATTGATTGCGATGGTATAATAATATATCGGAGTTGGAATTAACCTTCATTAAATTACTCCCTTCGAAGGCAGCAGCAGCCCTTCTCTCTATAGTAAGATCTAATTAAGAAGAAGGACCACCTCTTTTAGTTGCATTCTCGCGAATCGTGTGTCAATAAATTATTTTATATTTTTTATATAAGAATCTAGTCAGGAGAAACGGGAAATTTCATATAAATATGCGAAATCTTGTAATGGAGATAGTTGCAAGCAGGCAAGGAATATATATATGGGGCGATAATAGGTATATACACATAGCGATCAAGAAGAGGAACCACCTCTTTTAGTTTACATTCGCGCGATTTGTGTGTCAATGAATTATTTTATATTTTTTCTATAAGAATCTAGTCGGGAAAAACGAGCGATTTCATATAAATATGAGAAATCTCGGTAATGGAGATAGTTGTAGGCAGGCAAGGAATATATATATGGGGCGATAATAGGTACACATAGCGAGACTCGTTGTCGGGGAGCGCTGACCGCAGAGATAACGCTTTGACCCGTTACATGCTCTCCGAGAGTACCAAATGAATGCCTTCACTGTCTCTATCTTTCTGTGCCCAATCCAAATATGCGGCCCTTTTTCTTTCCCCGACTTACTTTGCCCTTTACAGTCCGTTTGCGATGGTCCTGCGAATCTCGCGTAGGCGATCTCTCGCCGGGAGGCAAAAGATACCGACGCGACAAAACTCCGCCGTCAAATTTCAGAGTCAACCACGTTGGAGATCCACGTTGCGAATCTGAAATTTTTCATTATGGAATATAACATTTTTTTATATTTAAATGCGACTAATATATCTTGCATTTTTGGGGTCAAATGAAGATAGAGAAGACTTATATTGCAATGTTACGCTTGCTTTATTGCTGTGAAAAGATTGTGTAAAATATTTTCATTAATACTACTATTTTTAATACTTTATTATTACTATTTTTATTAATACACGATTTATTACATTTATTTAAAAATGACACAAATATAATGTAGGATCAAACTGATTTTATTTCCTCCATGCGCAATTGTGTTTCAATCTCAATATATTATAATTGTCTATCTTAGTATATATTTTTAATTTCTCTATATTTCTAATCTCAATGTGTTTTACACTGGCAAAGAATAAATTATAGGTGTTATTTAAATTTTGTTAATAATAAAAAAGTAATTAATTAATAATAAATATTTTATATTATTTGTATTAATTAATAATAAATATATTTATATAAGTATATTATTCATTAACATATATATATTACAGTTTGAAAACCTGAAACTGACGTTCTAGTTTTTAAAAAATCTTATTTATAAATATATAAATTAATATATACATATATATATATATATATATATATATATTTATATAATGATAAAATTTTATAAACCAGATTTTTTTGAAAATTAGGACATCAGCTTCAGGTTTTCGAAAATGTAGATCAGTCGCAGGACGTAGAGAATAATGCGAAATTATTTTATTTATCAGTAAGTGCATCCAATCAACAGTCGTCAGATGTAATAACGTCACCGATTTACGGCAATTCCGAGATCAAGGCGTGCAAGGATCATCCGCATATTTGTGGAAAAGAAGCAGCCTGTCGCAGCTTCCCGAACAACACATCGAAATGTGTTTGCCCTCACGATTTGTCGTCACCCACGGAAGATTTAAGATGTCCAAATCGTGCAATCGGTAAAGCTGCACTTCATTAATTATTTCGTCAAAATTCTGTTATAGTGTTAATATAATTTAGATAAAATTTATAATATATTGTAATTAATGCAATTGATACATAAAATATAGCGTTAATGATTTCGAGTATAATGAGATTTAGAGTATAATGATTAAATTGATAAAAAGCCCCCTAAGTAATTGCGAAAATATAATTTATCATTCATATAATACAGATAAAATTTACAACATTACAATTAATAATTAATAGTAACAGTTAATAATTTTTTTGTGCAGTTCCTTCTAATGCCGCGCGTCCAATTCATAATATTATACCACCGAGTAATAACAATAGTACAACAAATAGTACGAATAATGAACTTCCGGAGGCTGAACAGGTATTTTTTTATTATTTTTATATTAAGCATAATCTTTTTCTCTTTCAAAGTTTTATTATATGCAATATGTTTGTGTCTACAATAATCGTTTGTCTTATTTATATATACTTACAAATATAATGCCAAAAAATTATATTTAAATGCGACAGGTGGAAGAATTAAGATACAAAGTACCTGAAATAATAGGAGTAGCTATAGCTTTTGTTGCCATAATAATGATTTTATTGAGTATCGTGTATGGTGTGAGAAGACGAAGTTACAGTGTTAAATCTCAGAGGAATCCCTTAAATGTAAGTCATTTGTTTTAAATCTTTCATTAAAATTACGTTTATCCTAAGATGTATTTTTTAGATTAAATGTTGTCTTACAGAAAATTCTATCTTTAAGCTATATTTTCGTATTTTGAATTTTTCCTGAAATAATTTTCTTATTATCTTAGCTTGTATATTCACTATATTTACGAGTAAGATTATATGCATCTTAAAATTGATAACACGCATTTAATATCCTTTGATAATAATTAATAATAATGTCTCGCTCTTGATGTATCTTATTAGGGGACTCCGATAAATCTGAAGAAAGGCTTATTATTAGCGCATAAGTATACACCTAATCCTCAATATTTCACCTGTACTTCTCCGGGGGTCCCGATCATACAACGGGAGAGTCTCATATTTCTACATGACATCGGGGAAGGATGCTTTGGAAAGGTCTACAAAGGTACAAAATCATTTAAATCGAATAAATCGAAAATGGAAGAAAAGAATTGTTTTAAAATTCATAAAAATATTCTGTAATCTTTTTTTTAACAAAATTAAAAAAATTTTTAACGTCACAAAATGCTATTAATGTTCTACATTATTAAATGTTATTAATACTAATATTTTTATTTTATTTTTTAATTTTGTTTTAATTTTAGGTTTTGTGACTATATAATAAACAAGTCTCTCACCGAGTTATTAAATAACACTAAATTTCTCAGAAATAAAAATATTTCACAGGTGAATTGCATAACAGAGACACAAAGGAGATTGTCGCTATAAAGGTCTTGAAAGACACCGCCACGCCCGAAGCCGAACAGGACTTTATGCGAGAAGTGGACATTATGTCAACGTTCAGTCATATGAATATCTTGTCCCTGAAGGGAATGGTGCTTCGGGATGCAGCGAATAATCCGTGGATGGTATTCGAATACATGCCGTACGGCGATCTCGCCGAAGTGCTAAGAGCAAATTCTCCGCAATTCAAATTGTCGAAACCTGACGTGCAACCCTTAACGAAGGTATCAACAATAATCAATCGAAATGTTTCATACATGCGATTTATCATTAATCGCGTTTTAATTTTATATTCGAAACACACCGTTACGTCTTTCGTTATCGCACATTAAAATTTTATTATTACGAATGCAGTCAGCGTAATTTTTTTAATCGATAAAGATAAAATACCGTTTGCTTATATAGAATTCGCTGCATTGCATCTCGATACAAATAGCAGCCGGCATGTCTTACTTATCGGCGCAAAGATTCGTGCATCGCGATCTGGCCTGTCGGAATTGTCTGGTGGGTGCGGACTTAGTGGTGAAAATCGCTGATTTTGGCATGTCGCGAGACATCTACACCTGCGATTATTACAAGGTACATATTTATTCAAATATTATATAAAAAAAATTTTGTTAAGATTTTTCCTTCTGCGTAGAAGAGAAGGAAACTCTCGACCCACATCCTTTTTTTATAATATCATATCTTTGATATATGAGTAGCTACATAATTTTTAAATTATATCACAATTAATGTGCTCCTCAGATTGGAGGATCACGTTTACTTCCGGTTCGTTGGATGTCACCGGAAAGCGTAATGTACGGAAGGTTCACCTTGGAAACAGATATCTGGAGCTTCGGCGTCGTCCTCTGGGAAGTATTCTCATTCGGCAAGCAACCTTATTACGGTCACACTAATGAAGAGGTCAGTAATGCAGCTTCGAATAGGTCTCTAAATTTTGTTAATTCTACATTATTTTTTATATTTTTTTATATCTTTTTTCATCGCACCTTTTTACACACAGGTTGTAAAACTCATACTACAAGGCATCATGCTTCTCCCGCCGGATGAATGTCCGCCTGTCGTTTGCGAGATAATGCGCGACTGCTGGAAGATGGAACCACGGGAACGAATCAAGTTTCCTGACATCCTGGACAGGCTGGAGAAGGCGCAGAGTAAATTGATCCAGCAAGGATCGTTGCCCAGACCGCCGCAAGGTCCTGTGACAGTACGCACCCCGGATGTCTTGGATCCAGATGGTTACTTGCTTCCGGCACCCACGAGTCCTCGCGAATATCTGCAGGCTCTTCCAGCTTTATCCAATTAATAGCGTATTTATGACAATGAAGACAATAATTGTCTCTGAACCGCAACTTTCCAAATACGCGCGCGAATGCGAAGCAATGAAATGCTGAAGAAATGTGAAATATAACTTGAACTCCTCGAGTGAAGTAAGGATACGTAATACTTCGATTGTGTGTAAAACAGATTGTCACAGTTTGTCATATCATAAGCTGAGAAGTTATGAATATAAAGTACGTGGTCCATTTTATTATCTGATGAAATAATAATGCTGCACGTAGGATATTTTTGTATAAAATCAATTTGTATATATAAAAAAACCAAATTTTTATGATATATTTTTTATTTTTCGAACATTGCAAACTTTCTCTATAATTAAATCTGCAATTCAAATTTTTTATTAACTTAAAAATTGGTAAAATAATTATGAATATATTTCAACAGTTTCTCTAAAAAAAATTAATATACTATTAACAGCCTCCTAAACTATCGTGATATACAAATAAATGGTTGTATCATTCAGCAAGAATCATCCTATAATAATGATCGTTATTAATGCGTTAGTAAATTATGTTTTTTATCAGAAAAGTGTGTAAAGCTTGTGAATATTAATGCTTCTAAACACGTGCGCACTCACGAGATAGTATTAACGTTTATATATATATATGTTAGAGTTATTTTATTATTTTATTTTTGAAGTATAATATTAATAATATAATATTGTAATTCCGATAATTTCGTAAGTTTAGAGTAGAGTAAAATGATTAATGTGAGACTTATTTAATCAAATAATTAAATATGCAAAATATTTGCTCGATATTTTATATATTGATTTATTCTTACGAAGTTTTCTTCTTTATAAGATTTTCGCGTTTAGAGATGCTACTTTGCGAAATCTGTAAAATAATTAAATCATCAAGCTTTATTAAAGTAGCATGGATAGAAAGTATTTTCGAAATAGTTTATACGATCGTTTTGATGCGATATAATTATTGTAATGTGTAGTGTTTTACTTAATTTTTATTAAAAATAAGGATATTATTATCGTGACAACTTTCTTTTTCGATTTAATTTAAAAAAAGAAAGAATTTGTAATAACAGTGAAAAAATAGCGACACACTTTTATTTATACATACATAAAATAGATTAATTTAATATACTAATCAAGTATATATATTAAATAATATTGTGAATATATATATATATATATATATATATATATATATATATATATTCAAACTTTTGTATCATTGTCAGAAAATGAAGATTTAATTAGCATCGTACGATTTACATATGCTAAATTCTCATAGTTCATTATTTATAAAAAAATAAAACAGAGAGTAATTGTTTTAGAAGTATATATAACTCTCCGATGGATATGAAATAAATTAATTCTTACAAAACTCAATTAAAGAATGTATTAGCTAGAATAAATTGGGCATGAAGAAATAATATAATATGAAAAAGAGATGCGAGAATATATGTATATAAAAAAATGATAAATTTGTGATTCTGGTTCTCGATCAGCCAGCGATACTCCGTGTATCATCTCGATTATTGTTGCCGTGATACGTGCGACAGTCTTTTGTTTCGAAGATAGGACTTGGTTCCGAGAAGAGCGAAACGAGACGAGGTGACACGGACGTTCGAAACAACTCCTCGATTCGATTTTCCGTACCCATCCTTATACAAGAAGAATAATAATGTTCGAGGACTGCGTGCTGCAGTCGATGCGATTCCCGCAGAAGCTCTGGCGAATAGTGAACGAGTGCCAGACCGGGGCAATCCGGTGGGGCGCGAATGGCGACACCGTCCTCCTCGACTACAAGAGATTCCAGACCGAGTACTTGGACGCGCGCCGGCCCATCTTCAAGACCAGCAACATCACCAGCTTCATCCGCCAGCTGAACCTTTACGGTTTCCGCAAGGTCACTTCCCACAGCCGCGATCCGATCTGCAACTCCTACAATCCCCACGTGCACGAGTTCCTGCATGACTACTTCCGCGCTGATCGCGTCGACCTGTTGTTCAAGGTCTGCCGAAAGTCGAGTGGAAAGAGCAAGTGCTTGCAATACGAGACCATGAAAAGCACGGAGGAGACTCCGCGATCACAAGCCAATTCCGTATCCCGCTTGAAATTGTGTCAGGTATATACATCTACCGGAAGAACTGATTTTTATTATGATATATCGTCAAAGAAAATTATTCACGTGATTTTCTAAATTAATATATATATATATGTAGTACGAGATGGAAAAAATTAATAAATATTACAGGTGTTATATATAATTATTATTATAATTTTCTTTCAAAATAGTTGGCTTTGACTGAAACTCTGGAGCAAATTACTCAAGAATATCGGCAAAACCAGGAAAATAGGCCGATTATTGCAAAGGAAGAGGATAACATTTTAAAAACAATAAGAAACTCTCCAAGCACAGGTATAAATATTAAAATTTAGCTATTTATATTTTATATAAGTAATGTATTGTTTTTTCATTAAATTTTTTCAAATTATTAAAATATTTTTTTTTAATTATTACTAATTGTAATGCATAATTATTATATTAATAAAATCCATATAAAAATATGCAAATTTTTTATGAACAAACCAAAAAGAAAGCAGAAATCTGTTCTAATTACCATATATACAGAAATCAATCTAAATTAATATTACTTCTTGATATACAAGCCTATGGAAATCTGATCTTAGCTGACAAAAGAATTACATTGAAGTGACTTATTCTTCTTCATCCTGTCACAGGCATCATATAAAAATCTTGGTGTGGTTTGGTTTCTTAATACATTTCTTATCTTGTAGCTTTAATATATTTAATAAATATTAGTAATTATTAATGTCACTTTTTCTCCTTTGAGAATAAAATTATTTTGAAAATTAACGATTGTATACATATTAGCTATTATATGTTTAAATTAAAATGTTTTTATAAATATTTTAGGTATTAACAACCAAATACGTTTCTCAACTCCTCTTTTGTACGAGATCGAACTCAACAATGTTCCAAATCGAAAATCTGCAGTTGAACGAAATCCAAAATATTCAACATTTTTTCCTTTGAAGATTAATTCATCCAAAGACAAAATACTGTCATTACCTGGGCGTATTGCTATGACAGATAAATGCAATCTACATTTTAACAATCCAAATATTCAACATCAAAATCAACTTGAAACTAATGGTTTGATGTTTTCTCCTAAGTAATATTCATATTATTTATGATAAATTTTTCTAATGTGATATGTATTTTCTGTTAAATTATTTACTATAATTGATAGTAAAAGTAGTTACCACAGATATTAATAAAAAATATATAAAGTTTATATTGTAATTTAAAAGATTGTAAAATGGTAAAATGGATTGTAAATGAGATGTCGACATATAAAAAAAGATTTGTATGTAAATATCAACATTAGTTAATATTATCAATACGAATAGAGTTTAAATAAAATTTTATTTATTTTAAAAATAAGCTAAGCAATACTTTTTTAACCATACATTTTATGTAAGTTATATATATATATATATATATATATATATATAATGGAATCGACATTATCACTATTTTTACTTGTACTAGGACCAAATTCTTGATTCTTTCGTTTAATTTGTTCCATTTTATGTCTTTCTAAAAAACCTTTAAATGATTCCTCTTCTTTTTCTTCATCTTCATTTTCTTCCTCTTTGTTTTCTGTTCCATCTTCGTCTTCGCTTGATTCGTTGCACGCATGTTTCAGATAGATTTCAGAACTCTCACGACTATTGCTAACTGTTGTTACTAATGGTACGTCTTCTCCCATTGCTTTTTTACCAATCTTTTCTAACTGTTCCTTTTCTGTTTTTTGTCGTTGAGCTTTCCTTTCTGTCTTAATTTTTTCCCATTTTTTTCTGTAATCGCTTTAAAAATAAAACAAACCGTTTAGATTGCAGTTGTACACTCAGTCAATGTAGTATTCAATTTATATATCCTAGAAGTACAAAACATTTCTTACCTTTCATATTCCTTTGTAGCAGATTCGACTAGCGTGAGAAATTCGTCAATTCCAGCACCTGTTACTGCAGAAACGCCGCAACTTTTCAGGTGACCATAAAATTCATCTAATGCAAGGGCCATACTACGTGTTAAATTGCTGATATAACCACTTTCCATATCAAGTGCTTCTTGAAAGGCTTCAAAATCATGCATCCAATCAATTGCATAACTGTGCTCAACAATATCAATCTAAAATAAATTAATCATATATTAACGTTTAACTAATTATGTAAATTGTGCAAAAATTAATGTGATAAGAAAATATGCATATTATAGTTTTACAAACCTTATTCATAACTATAATAAAAGGCAATTTAGTTTTGTAAAATATAGAACAGGCATATAACATATTAGACATAAAAGTGACAGGATTAACGCTTCTCACAGTATCTACTACATATATCACAATGGTTGGAAACTGTGACGCTAATGCTTCAGTTATGATTGAACCACTGGCTGACCATGTAAAGACTTCAATCTGTCCTGGTGTGTCAAAAACAACATAATTGTGCTCTTCACTAGCTTTGGTAATAAGTTCAATAACTTGATGGAACTTTGTGGTAAAAAGATTTAAACTTGTAACTATGCCACCATTTGGACCTAATTTATATTGTTTCATTACTTCTTTGTAATTTACAGTGTCTCTTATATCTGAAAAAAGTATAGTTCCTTTAAATATAAAATATTATTAAATGATAAACGTACAAAATATTTTTACTAGATCAAAACCATAATGATAGAAACAATATTGAATATATAAATTGAATATCAAATTATTAACTTGCATACAGCATATGTGAAATATATAAACATAAAATTGTGTTAAATGATAATTACCTATATTAGCAGAATATGGAACTTCTTTACAAGCAGGATCTAAATTAACGACATATGGTTTTCCTATATCATGCAATCTAGAAACAAGTCTGGAAACAAATGATGTTTTTCCAGCACCTGCCATTCCAAGTACAATAATGCATGGTATCTTTTTATCTGCACATTTCTTATCTGTTATAGATGCAGTATCTGAAGCGATGTTTGTTGCTTCTTCAGTATTCAATTTATCTCCTACTTCAGACATTTCAAAATCTGCAAATTTTTAATTTTAATATATGTTAATATTAATTATAATATGTACTAATAGTTAATATTTACATACTAATAGAGTTCATTAATTAATATTTATTAATATTTATTTACTAAATAGTTAATAATATTATTATGTAATTATAGATTTATAGTTAAATATACATATAAAAAATATATATATAAAAAATGGAAAAACTATCTATAAAAATATTTTTGCCATATAATATAAAAATATAATTTATCATAGTATGTACCTGAATAATTTTGTTTGTATGTACACAACTTTTTAAAGTTAACCAAAAACACATTAATATTTCTTCATCAAGTATTCTTAAAGCATTTACTTACAGCTTATTAAAAAAATTTAGATGATAATTATTTTTTTACGTATTTTTGCATGCAGTATTTTTCAATCAAAGTAATTTTAATTCATAATAAAATATTTCTGGATTCGAAACCATGTGAATCTCACATTCTACGTATAAACTTGTAAAGCCATAAAATAAAGGTTGATGAACAACTCACTACTCACTTATTGCGCAACGTAAAGCTGAATTTCTAATGGACGTTCTTATATGTTAACCAATCAGGGCAGAGATTTTTTTGTCCGGATGCTAGTGACGTTTCTCGAATAACCAATCAGAATGCGTGTAATTTTTTTCATTCGAAAGTAGAAATAAATATCTAGAAAGTTTTAAGCAGTGCTAGCAAAACGCGCGAACAGACCTAATGCTGGAGTAATTTTTGGGATAAATTTATTTATGCATCTACGAATACAAATCTTGTATTGTTTTGATAAGATTTTCTAATATATTAGATATCGCTGCAACTTTTCGATAAATAGCCTGATTGCAACATAATAATGCAAATCTAAGACGAATCGAGGTACAAAGTTTTTGAAGAATGAAAGAAAGAATTAATGATTAATACTTTAGACATTTAAAGCACAATTTGTTTGTACTGCATAGCTTTGTATATCAATACAGTAAAGAAAAATATACAAGATGACTTCTATTATAAAATTACACGCTGTTTCTGGGGCGATGGACGAATCTCCACCTTGTTACATATTACAAGTTGATGAATTGAGGATATTATTGGACTGTGGCTGGGATGAAAACTTTGATCAGGATTTCATTAGAGAATTAAAAAGGTATCTCTAAAAATAAATATCCCTTACTGTAATAATATTGTAATATTACTATATTTATATAGTATTACTATATTACTATATAATATTGCTATATTTTCAGACATGTCAATCAAATAGATGCAGTATTACTTTCGTACCCCGATCCATTACATTTAGGTGCGTTACCATATCTGGTAGGCAAATGTGGCCTGAATTGTCCCATATATGCCACCATTCCTGTTTACAAAATGGGTCAAATGTTTATGTATGACATGTACCAGGTATGCAGCTTGAATATATGAAAGTACAAATATGTTTGATTTCAAATTATATAAGATAATTTTAAGGTATTGTGTTCACGTTGCAGTCCCGTCATAATATGGAAGATTTTGATTTATTTACTCTGGACGATGTCGATGCTGCATTTGATAAAATTGTACAGTTGAAATACAATCAAAGTATATCGATGAAAGGAAAAGGCTATGGTGTTACACTGACACCTTTGCCAGCAGGACACATGATTGGTGGAACAATCTGGAAAATTGTGAAGGTTGGAGAAGAGGACATAATATATGCTGTTGATTTCAATCATAAAAAGGAACGTCATTTGAACGGTTGTGAATTGGAGAGATTGCAAAGACCATCATTGTTGATAACAGATGCATTCAATGCCACATATCAGCAAGCTAGGCGAAGAACAAGAGATGAGAAGTTGATGAGTAAATTTCGTATTTTTTGTTGAATTTAAAATACTGACAAGTAAAAGTTATTTTAACAATCTATTTATATTTTTGTTTAGCTAATATCTTACAAACATTGCGAGGTGGCGGCAATGTATTAGTTAGTGTAGACACTGCTGGCCGTGTCTTGGAATTGGCACACATGTTGGATCAGCTCTGGCGTAATAAGGAATCAGGATTACTTGCTTATTCATTAGCTCTTCTTAATAATGTGAGCTATAACGTTGTAGAATTTGCAAAATCGCAAATCGAATGGATGAGTGATAAGTTAATGAGAAGCTTTGAAGGCGCACGCAACAATCCATTTCAGTTTAAACATTTGCAACTCTGTCACAGTATGGTTGAACTAAATCAAGTTCCAAGTCCAAAGGTGAGGAAACACCTAATACACACATACATATACATGCATCTCATACTCTTAAATAATTTATTTGAAAGATTAATTTTAAATTGTCATATTTAGGTAGTCCTTGCAAGCACTCCAGACATGGAATGTGGATTTTCCCGAGAATTATTTCTCCAGTGGTGTACTAATCCACAAAACAGTATTATATTAACAAGTAGAACCTCTCCTGGTACACTTGCTAGAGATTTAGTGGAAAAAGGAGGAAATCGAAACATTATCCTGGAAGTAAGGAGACGAGTGAAACTCGAAGGTATTGAACTGGAGGAGTATCAGAGAAGAGAAAAGCTAAAGCAAGAGCAAATGAAACAGGAACAAATGTATGTGTATATACGTCTACCTATCTCATTCAGTTATACTTACATCTTATCATTACACTTGTAATGCATATTTTATTAGGGAAACTGCAGACGTGAGCTCCGAATCAGAAGATGAAATAGAAGTTGGTGGTGCGAGGGGAAAACACGATTTACTGGTGAAGCAAGAGAGCAAGCCTGGTTTCTTTAAACAAAGTAAAAAGCAATATCCCATGTTTCCATTTGTGGAGGAGAAGATCAAAATAGATGAATATGGAGAAATTATAAAGTAAGAATATTTTTAAAGTGTTTTATGAGAAAATCTCTAATTTCCTGCTATATTTATTATTATTACTTAATATTATTATTATTATTATTTTTACAGACCAGAAGATTATAAGATAGCAGAGACAGCACCTGAAGTGGAGGATAATAAGGAAAACATCGAAACGAAACAGGAAGAAGCCAATCATCATCCAGAAATAGCCGCAGACATTCCGACAAAATGTGTGCAAGTTTCACGTACGATGACTGTTAATGCGGCGGTGACTTACATAGACTTCGAAGGTAGATCTGACGGAGAGTCCCTGCAAAAGATTTTAGCACAGTTAAGACCAAGGAGAGTAGTCTTGGTCAGAGGTTCGCCTAAAGATACCGAGATTCTAGCTCAACAGGCGCAAAGTGCCGGTGCGAGAGTATTTATTCCAGGCAGAGGAGAGACGTTGGACGCCACAACGGAAACACACATTTATCAAGTAATATAATAAGTGTATCGTTTTTAAATACCGATACTAAATAGTGATTATAAATTATTTTTCACAATTTTTTTTAGATTTTTACTTTGTTTTTTACTTTATTTAGTTGTAAAAAAATTAGAGTTTGTCATGTATAATACATTTTTGTTTTTGTAGGTACGTTTGACAGATGCTCTAGTCAGTGGACTGAATTTTTCGAAGGGTAAGGGCGATTCCGAAGTGGCCTGGATAGATGCAATGATAACAGCGCGAGATCAAATTTGTCGAGACGCTGTCGCCGATACCGAATCCGAAAACACGATCATTGAAAGTGACAAAATATTAACTTTGGAACCCTTGCCATTGAACGAAGTAAGATATAAAGGTTGCAAATAAAAATATGGATTAAAAAATATTCCTCACTTAACATTGTTTGCGTTTCCACAGGTTCCAGGTCATCAAACAACATTCATAAATGAACTAAAATTATCTGACTTCAAACAAGTTTTAAATAAAAGTAACATTCCATCAGAATTTAGTGGAGGAGTGTTATGGTGTTGTAATAACACTATCGCCGTTCGAAGGGTTTGTTTCATATTACTGTAACAATGAATTTGTCAGCACGTTTCCTGTACTTTTCAATACATTAAACGGACGCAGTTATGCAAAATGGAACCAATCAATTTTTTATTTGGAGATTTTTATTGCAAATTGTGATACAATTTGCAATAAAAATCTCGAAATTGAAAAAATTAATGATTGGTTCCATACGGTATTTAAATGTAGAAAGTATGTGTGATGCTGACACTCTCATATGACAACTCTCGTATATAGAATGTACAATATATAATCGTATAAATAATTTTATATATATTTTAGCATGAAGCTGGAAAAGTCATATTGGAAGGTTGCTTATCTGAAGATTATTACAAAGTACGAGAACTATTGTATGAACAATATGCAATTGTATAGATTCTTATCCAACGTATGTATGCATATAAGGAGAGACTATGTATTTGTAATATGTAAGTGGCTCGAAAAATTATCCAACATTATATAATATAGGAGTTACCAATATGATAATTTATGGATGGAGTCACACTTGAAGATTAGCCTGATTTCTTTTCTAATTTTTAAATAAATTATTTTTTTACTATGTGATAACAATTCCTGAAGGACCTATATTATGTAATGTTTATAATATAAAAATACAAAAAGTGTAATTGAACTGATAGAAGTTTATAAATTTTTCAATTTCAGGTTTTTTGTTTTATTTCAAATTAGCCTTTTTATAAACTAGCATTTCCTCTATTCTCCTCTTATCTTTTTTACTTTTCTACTTCCATTTATCTCATAATTAAATGCGAATAAAATTTTATTATTATTCCTTGAGTCATAAAAAATTAAAAAATTTTTTTTGTTTCATGAATAAAACAAAAAAATGACATTATTTAAGGATATGCAGACTCTAATATAAATTTGTAATAACATTATCAAGTTCGTTTTATTTATTTAACAATGCTTTTCTCCTGTTGAGTTTGAAATGTTTAGAATAGGCGAAATCGATTGCGATAAAAATAAATTTATCTAGTAAGTAAATCTAGTATACATGTATGCATATATGTACATATTTATATTGTGCATATTTATGTATGTATATATATACATATTTGTATTTATTTTGCGACAGCTAAGCTTGTTGAGCTTGTTCCAATTCGTTCACGTGACGTGCGCATTGGTGCATCGCTAGTGTATCTGCTGCAATTTGCTACATATATGTGTATGTGTGCAAAATCGCATCTTTTTATTTTGCAATTGAATTGCAGTGAATAATATGTATCAACAACACATTCGTGAATTTACACGAAATAACATAATAATTCTCTGATTTACATTCATTTTGGAAAAAATTGTAGCGTTTAATCAAAATATAAACAATTGGTTGTGGTTATGAGAGCCATTATTGGTGAAAAATAGCACATGTAGCCAAGCTAAATGAAAAATGATGAAATTACAAACACAAAGTACTTAAACATTTATCATAATAAATAATAGTTATAAAAATATATCATCTAATTTCTTTGTATTTTTTTTTTCAGGGTATTCTCCAAGTATGATTATTTTGTGATAAGGGTGAAAATGCAGTGCTGTATATAATAGAAATTTATCTTAGAAAGATTCCTACATTCCTATTATATTATATGAGATTAAAATCAACATTAGCAATATGAGAAAATATTATCAGGCTGCTCTAGCTGTGATAGCAGTAATAAGTCTCGTATCTCTGCTCATCTATAGACATGAATACAACAGATTAAGATACGTCTTAGAAGTTTTCAATTACTTTGGCAAACCCGGGCCAAGGAGGGATGCAAACTGCACGAGCTTCAATCCAACATCTACCACATTTAATGCAAAATTCGATGAACCGATTCCTTCATGGCAACGCCTGGAGGACGACTTGTACATATATTCTGCATACAGTATTAATAACAAAGAGATACGAGCTATCGGACTCGGGACTATAAGCAGCGTTTCGAACATGCAGTGTCTCGTCTTCTTCGAGAATGAGAGTAAACCTATATTAGGAAGCTCCAAATTTATTGCCATCGGTAACGCAGTTGCCACGAGTCTAGGAGAAAATTCAAGATACGGAGGGTATCATTTTATTTGCACATATACCAGTAACGAGACTCCTACTGGAATAACGTTTGTTACAAAGTCTAACAAGTATCTCAATTATGCACCTATCTTTCCTATAAAAGTGCAGCCACGGAGCTTGAGTCACAGTAGAATAGGAGTATGTGTGATGCAATCATCTATGAAACCTATGCAATCAGCAGATATGATAGGTTTCATCAGCTTCCATGCATTGATCGGAATGGATAATTTTATTGTATATGATTCTGGAATTTCGAATGAATTTAACAGCAAGTTGAAGGAAATGGCTAATGATTTGACTTCCTTTTGGAAGTTTACATATACTGTTGTACCGTGGAATTTTCCTTTCACAGAGATTGATCAAAATGTCATAAGAGAAATCATCGAAACAGATTGTTTATATCGCACATATAACAATGTCGCTTATGTTGTTGTGCTCTCATGGAACGAATATGTAGTTTTGAAGTATCATCATGCAATGATTGATCTGATGGCAGATTTCAAACAAACCAAACTGATAGCCGACCGTTATAAGCTAAAAACTACAACTTTTTGCACACAGCAAACTGACAATAAAAAATACGCCAATTCTACATTGATAGTGTTAAAGAAGACAAAATCCGAAAAAAAAGTAAACACTTTAGAAAATCATACTATTTACATACATAAGCCACATGTAACATTACAAAATTCACATATATACACCAAAGAAATAAGAAAAGATTTGGTTGCTGTAAATCAATATAAATATTGCGATAGTTACAAAAGTAGTCGAGAAGTAGAAGACTTTACGATTTTAAGATTTGCCCAAGATCTGCAAAATTCATCAATTTTTAGGAAATATCTCGGACTTAATAATGTACTCGATATAGATATAAAGTGATACAAATTTCAACGACTGATATATTAATTTAGATAATATGTGCACAATCTTCAATAATGTTTGTCATTTGCATATTACTTAACTCATATATATCATAATTATGTATAGTCTTTCATATTAGGTGCCTTAATCGTTACATCATAGCTATACAACTAGTCATAGTCATGGTCAGCTATTTTAATATTTTGTACATTTCTCAGACTTAAACTGTAATAAAATATTCCTTATATTTGTTATTTCAATAGTTTCATGTCTTGGTTTTTTTATGTTACAATAGTGATAAACAGATACAAAAATTATAATTTTATTATAAATATTGCAATATTTAAATAAATTAATTTAGTTAAATTTAAAAAATTGCCTTTATATTTGCAAATTTTTACAATTCTAAATTTTGAAGAGTTAAACTTGATTGATTAAAGCCATCACAGGAAATAGGTATAAAATATATAATAAAAGTAGAAAATATAGTAAAAGAGGTATTATATTCTTAATAAAAATTCATAGAAATTTATTTTTAAGCAATTAACATATATTTGGTATATATCTAATTGTTATACATCTCTCAATCTAAAAACTTAGAAAAAATTTACTTCAGTCGTTGCATTATAGCCGAATTTTGCAAACCAGCCTCCTCAATCGTTTTATCCTCTGCAAGTTCTTTCGTTGGATACACAGTTAACAAACTGAAATCCCTTAGAGCATACTGAGGTCTCAACCTGATATTATATGTTAAGAAAAATTTGTTAATCGAATCTCTCTTCATTATTTTAGAAAGAAATCAAGTAGAGTTTAGAAAGATCAAAGGATACGTTATTATATATCGTCTAAGGTCGGCGACTGTATGTGACAAGTTAAATTGAGCCTTCACAGTACTGCCGTCCGCGAGACGAATTTGTAACGTTGTCGTTGACTTTGAAATATCTACATTCAATTCTTTTTTCGCTTGCGTCTCATTAGCAGCTTGATCAGCAGGATCTGTTGGAACTGTCATACCTACAGTGGCTGGCGATGGACTGAAATATTTGTAACGTTATAAAAAGAAGTTAGTCTCTTTAAGAAATAAATATTTGAAATCACACCTGTGTATATAATAATATAATAAAGCAAGATATATCTTTACCTTCCTAGCATGTGTCCCTTTCCAGAGAAGGCTTTCACTTTAGTTTTCGATGGAACGTAACTCTCATGACGATGATCCTCCATATCAAGACGTACTTCCGCACCTTGCACCTGTTGGCGAATCTCTGCTGGGATTTCACCTCGTTTAATAGCAGCTAGAAACTCTCTATTCTCAGATTCGTCATAGGATCGAATCTCGCTATCGTTTATTGTGAATCCATCCTTCCATAATTTCAATATAATAAGACCGTTTGAAGATTGTTGATCTGCGCTTGCTCCCATCACCACTGTTATTACATACATATGTAATAAACATTATTTCATCTTTATGTAAATATTTTACAAACAATAAAAAGTTATACCTTCACTATCAGAACTAGTTTGACCTAATTTATATCCTGTGCCGCTGAATGTGTTTGGCCTCTGTTGACCTCCCATTTTTGGGGGCTCGACAGGTCCAATTGATTGTTCCTGACAGGATTTGAACATGTCACTGATAATATCTTTTTCTTCTTTCCTGGTCCTAAGACTTGCTGTCCACTGTGTTCAGAACCTCCAGCATAAAATGCTTGTCCCTCCTCTTCATCGGAACTGCTGTCTTTGTTCTGAAGATCATTCAATGTTCCAAATCTAGGTTTCGGTTTAGCACCCTTTGATTCTGTCGAATCGGATTTCACATTCTTGTTCGACATTGTGTCCGTTCTATCTTGTAACTCCTCTTCCTCCTGTTGCGTATTATCGATAGCCTCGGCCACTAATCCAGGTAACTCGTCATTTTCATAGAAGCTAGCGAGGGCAACCTGTAAAAATACTACGTGCCAACGCATGTGACAGAATTGTTGAAAAAAATGGAAACCTTACGATCAAATAATCCTAATTCTCTCCATATCCTATCGTTGCGATGAATTATTGAGTGAATCTACGAATTACAAATAAATGTCAATAAATGTCATAGAAATTATAAGAGATGAATCACCTGGAGGGAAGAATAAGAGTATCAACTACCCAGCGAGAGGTTAACAAAATAGGTTCTCGCGACAGGAAGGTAATTGGAAAAAGAAACCAAATTCGATTTTTTTGTGAAGAGTTTTGGTAAAAATGTGCTGTCTCACCTCGAGCTGCCAGGCGGATGACTCGAGGTAAAATAGCGCTCTCTCGGTTTCGACGCCAGTCACGTCCGCGAATTGCGAGACCAACTCGTCGCGGCTTGCCATCTTTTGCGAGATTCTCGATCCGGGGACTCGTCCGGCCTCCTCTTTTCCTCGCTGTCTCTGCCGAACTAACTCACCGCGACAAATCCGCCCTGAATTCACCGAAACTGAATCTCTGCACCTTCTCTTCGTTTTTCACCTCAATCCGTCTGTCATTCTGTCATTCCCTTCGTTCGCGCGGAATCGAACCGGATGTGAACGATCGAGGAGGTCCAATTCGAACGTCCGTTCGAGAGACATGCGTTTCCGTGTTTTGGAAACTAGCGTTATACTTGTTTACTCATATTTCACCTGTACTTTTTGTACTAAGATTGACTAACAAATATTTTCCGAGAGTATATAAAAAATATATTATTGTTTTTAGTTTTTACTTAATGAGCTCAGATAACAAAAAACATAGGAATCTAATAAATAAACTCATAGATATATCTATAGATAATCTATTCTAATAATAAACATATATAGATTCCTATATCTAAATATCTTAATTAAATCATAAAACGTTTTTCAAGTATTATTATTATATTTAGATAGAAATCTAATAAAAAAATATATACATATATTGAAAAATATATATATTTATATATATATAAATGTATTATATATATATAAATTGTGAATCATAAAACCTCTTGTGTGCTATATATATATATATATATATATATATATATATATATATATATATATATATATACATACACTTATATATAATTATATTTAGATTTTTCATTAGATTTTCATATCTAAACATCTTTAATCATAAAACGTCTCGTGCAATCGACTATATTTATATAAATATATGTAGCCTTAAGAATTATTTATATATCAATTTGACAGAATAATGCTGCGCCACGTTTGACCCAATATACGGGTGACTTGTCAGTTTCCAGAGATATGCTTGTAACATAGTCCCTTATCTTCATATCATTATCTACTTCGTCGCAGCCTATCGGTGAAATATATACAGGACACTCGTAATACATATTTCTTCTTTCGACTTTTTCCTCTATTCTAAACGCAAGACGTATCGGTGGCAGGTCGCACCAGAATACATTCGTTAAGCTTTCGATCAACAAGTGCCTCTGCGTGTCCCAACGAGCGCCTGACAGATGTAAACCGTAAATGTAATAACTATCTACATCATCCGCAGAATCATTCTTTGCCACTCGAAGGTCCAACGTGATCCGTTCGATGGGAATATCCTGACGTCGCGAGAACTCCAGGAGAATCGCAGATAAAAATCTTTTACAGCAAGACAACGCGTCGAGGTGGATGACACGAGGCAGATCGGTCTCATGCCAATTTTGTATGAAATTCATACGTTTCAGAAGCAAGTTGATGTAACTCGGCAAGTGTTCAGTTACGATACCCAGACGGATCAGCCTCCAAACGTGTGGAACTTTGTTACGGTGTATTTCCAAGGATAAGTCTTCCAGGGAATCGATGAAGATTATCTCGCCTTTTAACGCAGATCTCAGGTTCTTCAGAGAGTTCGCAATCCTGGCTAAAACTTTGTCGATTAATTCGGCCTCGTGGATAAGAATCGCGTTTAAAGGTTCGCGCGAGACGAGAGGACACTTGTCGCGTATCTCGTCGACGTTGAAAGAAACGGGCAATTTGCTATTAATTTCGTCAATCGTTTGCAGCACCTGATCCTGGATTATGATCTCGCAGTTCGGTAATCCTATTTGATCCAAATAAGAGACGGATTCTAAGAATTCTCTGGCAATAGCGGCATCCTTCAGGATAAGAGCATTTTCGTCGGAGGCGAAAGCTTTCGGTGACGTGTCCAGGTACATGTCGTTGATGTGTTTAAGAACGTCACGATACTCGCATCTCTGAGGTACCGAATATTCCGTACAATCGAAGAACGAGTATTCGCTGTCGTTGATGACACGAGTGTTACAGAAGGAATCTAACAGATACTCTAGACACCTTTGATCTAGACTATCCACGATCTTCCCGCCATAATTGCACTGTCCGATAAGATAGAGCAGCGTGTTGAATGGTACATTACTATTCTCGACTTCGTTGATCAAGTTCTGCAGCTGTCTAATGGATATTTCAAAGTCCATGTGATCAAAATCGTAGGGGACGTTCCAGCCTTGAGGTCCGAAGTATCTTCTCTCTCGGACGATTCCGTGGAAGAAGCAAAGTCCGTACAGGAGTTTGGAAAACTCCTTGTCCCTTCCGGGACACCCTTCGAAGAACTCTTTACTCTTCACAGGCTCCGACCTGTACATTCTCAGCAAGCTCTGCTTCAATCGTAGAGGATAATCATAGGCGATCTTCAAGCTGTTCTGCAAAACGCTAATCGGGAAGTCCGGGATGGAACAGCTGGAGAGCCAAAGTCGAAAATCCAAGGACGTGCCGGATAGATTCAGGTTCTCGCAGATTTGCTCGAGTCGGGGTATCCAGGAGACAGTGTGATGGCAGTTTTGCAAGAATATCCAGCTCCCTTCCGTTCGCGCCTCTTCCACGAGAAGGTCAGCGGTGTCTCGTTGCGGTCCATCGCCCATCGACAAGGAAACCAGCTTCGAGGTGTATCCTCTGGCGCTCGCGTAGGTGGAAACGAGGGATAGAGGCGAAGTATAGCTTGGCAGAATGAATATAATCGGCGTGAGGCAGTTTGACTCCGCGTACGATTCCGAAATCTGAAGATGAGGGTACGAATTAAACACGTCCTCCAGCATGCTACCCTCTATCAGCCGCATTATCTCCACGATGATCTTGTCGCATCTGACAATCTTGACGAGCATCAACCTCTGGAATTGTGTCATCCTGTCGGCCCAAGGTCTCGGCACCAGGTGGCTCCGAAATGGTATCGCGCTGCAATACTTTTGCCAAGCCGCATCGTTGAAACGAAAGTCATTTGCCAGGTCGTCTAATTCGGGCACCGTGTCGCTTAGTTTGCAAATTTGTCTCCATTTATCCGTCGTCAACCATTCAGGCGCAGATTCCATTGGAGCGTCGAGATCCTTCGCATCTGAGGAAGTAAAGAATTCAACCTCCTTCTGCGTAATCTGTCGGGCATCCATCAAAATTTTGATGCACAACAGAAATGAATACAGGAGCTTGTGTTTCTCGAACAGAGATCTGCAGACGCTGGAATGAAGGTTCCTTGTGAACGAGGACTTGAGAAACTGCAGTCGTTTCTCGAGAATGACGCTTCTGTTCGACGTCTCGATCGAGGTCACGTACAGCTGAATGAACCACGAGAATGAAAAACGGTACATGTGATTTAAGCTGGACAAAGTAGTTAAGGTACAGAATAAACCTGCGCAATGATCGGCGAATTGTAGATACGTATCTCGGAATTTGTTGATATCCTCTGTCATCGATTTGGCTGCCTCCTGCCTCTTCATGATGTTCACAGTGAGGGTCTTGGAAGAATCCAAGGTCTGTATCGCGCTTTCGTCCTCCAGGATATTCGTGGTGGTCGACGAGAGGATGCTCAAAATGTTGTCCTCCTGTTGCTGAATAACTTGCTTGTTAGCGGCATCTTGAATACGGAGCGCTTCAAATTTCTCTTGAAGCTCCGGTCTCTCCTTTGAGACGACGATATCCAGAAGCTTGTCCCGAAGAGTTCCATCCGGCATTGAGAAATCGATCACAGTGAGCTTGCTGAAGACGTCGGCCGTATAATCTGGATTCGATAATCTTGTGGTGATGTATAGTCGAAAGTTTTGTGAATATTTTAGAGATCTCGTGCCGATATCGATGTACCAAGCTGCTTCATTCTCGTAAATATTCTTCGACAGTATCGGTTCCAACGCGATTTCGAGTCTCTCCCCGACGTTCTCCAAAAGAATCGGCACTCCGGCTTCGATGTTTCGTTGGATGACCGACATGTAATCAACATCCGTCAGTTTGACGACACCCAAATCATTTTTCTGTTCGATCTTTTTGATCCATTGGTTCATCTGATTCTGCGAATCGATAAAAAGGCACCATTGTTCCGAATTGTTCACGACAATAGCGTTTTCTACCGCAAAACGATTTTTAGACAGACCGCAGAGTTGCCAATGATTAATCTCGATTTCCACACCGAGAACGCTTATAAAGTCGTACGTTTTAGTGTAGGGTATCTCCGAGGTCTCCATAAATTCCTTCCATCTCGTCAATATTTCATCGCGAAATGAGATGTTATAAGACGCCATGTAAGCCATTATTCCGCACGAGAGTAACATGTCCCCACGAGGCTGTCGTAATTCATCTGTAGATCATGAGCGCACTTCATCCAACGACTCTTCTCGCCACCCAGACTGGCGATCAGTTTTTCCGCCTTCACCAACTTGGCGGTGCAAGTAGCCACTTCCGTCTCCAAGTTTAATTTCTTCTGCAACGTTTGCCGCAGACTATCATTCAGCGCCGCCAGTTTCGCGTTCAGAGCCGCCAAGGTCTGCCGTTTCTCGTTCAGGAACGCTTCGGCCTCGTCGCACTCCATCTGCGCCTCCACCAGTTTCTTCTTCTTTGGTGCGACCACCTTCGCCACCTCGTCATACGATACCATGGCGCGGACCCACTTGCAGAGACCCTCGGCAGCGCTAGAGGCCTTCGCGACTATGTGAGGGGTAAAGCTGCTATCCGTCATGTACGTTTTCTTGATGACCTGCATCACCGTAGGCGCTATATTGTCCTTGTCGTAATCCTTCAGATTTTGCAGGAAGTTCATGTCACCCAGAATGCGTTTGCTCGGGCCCCAATAGTCCGTCAACTTCTTGCCGGTAACCGGATCGATACTGCGATCAGCTGGAACACCCAGCATCACACATACAGCGGCCATTACCAGCTTGATGGTATCCGGCGGATTCTTCATCGCTTTCACCAGGGTGATATCTGTTGGTTTTAGCGTGTTCAACGCGATAAGCGCGTCCTCCAGGATAGGAATAGCGACGGCAAGCTCGGCTTCGCATTCGGTCTTCAGGGCGCCAGCGATCTCCGCCTTCGTATTCGCCACTTCTTCCTCCTGCTTCACGAGGATCGTAGCTCGCTCCACGGTGACGTTCTCGTTCTCCACTTCCTTCATCGTGATCACGGTCTGTCGAGCAGACAATTCCAATTGTGGTTTTAAAATCGTTAGAGTGGCCTTCATCTGTTCAACTTGTTCGGCCGCCAATTCCAATTTTTCCAATCCCGCTACATATCTATTCCGCGTCACTACAATTTCTTCTTGTTTCTTCGACATCAGTCGTTTATACAGCTTCAGCAAATGCAAAAAAGCCGACGACGTCACGTGAATGACTCTACCGAACGTCTCGCGATATTTCTGACTCATCTCTCTCGCTCCTTTGTGGAATTCCACGCAAGCTCTCGCCGCGCGAACTTTCATCTCTTTTTGTACATTAACATAGGTCATATGCTTCACGGCAATCTCCAACAGCGCCTGATCAGGCCAAATCTGATAGCAATTAACCGTGCAGTGTTTCGCCAAGTTAGGATGCGAGCACAAATATGTTCTGAAAGCTGTGTTGGTGGGGCTAAAGCAAAGTACAAAGTGTAACCGGTTCTTGCATTGCTCCACAAAATACCTCATCACCGAGCGCGCGCTGATCTCTGCGTTTCGATCGCCGCCTTGAGCGTGAAGTCGCGTCGTTTCGATTATACACTGTTTGTCCTCGGCGGAAAACAAGTCAGGCAACTCTCCGGCGCTCAGCAAACAGCTAATGTCGCTTAAAAACGCGTCCTTCATTTGCTTCTCGTTCATGAAGTACGTAACGTCCTTCCGTAATGATCCGCATTCCTGGAGGACTCTTCTCAAGCTGTCCCTCCACGCATTCGGATCGTAATAAGCTTCAGCGGTGGTCTCGAACAAGGTCTGCTGTTGCATGAAGGCAGCGAGAGCGGTCGTGGATTTTCTGCCGGAACCTACTGTAGATATCGTCAACATGTTTCCACCTGGGATGCTCAAAATTCTGGAAATCTTGATCAGAGACTGCAACATGTACCGGCAAACGACGATATCCATCTTTCTTTTGTAGTTTGCGTTGTACTCGTCTAAATAAGCGACAACTCTGTTCTTCAAAGCTTCCATCGAACTGATCTCCTCGTACCGCTTGCATCTGCCGTTCTTCTCCGTGTCCATGAAGTTTCCAAACATGAGATCGTCGAAGCTGTCCTTGGTGATTTGATTGTTCTCGTATTTCGGCAAATAATCGAACGCGACCTCGTACGAGTCCTTAAAGTTGTTCTTCACTGCGTCACGAATCCTTAAGAAAAGCCACTCCTTGTCGTCTTCGTCCAACATGCGATCGCTGAACACGCGTAAGATTTCGTGTACCCACAGTCGTATAAACGTTATCTTCGTCTCCACCGATTCCTTCTGGATCAGGCCGCATCCGCTAATCACTCTGGATATATCTCGCATGTCGAAGCAGTAGTGCAGTTTGTTGGGCACCGGTCGCAAGGTCTTCATCACGGACTTGTAAATGTCAATTGTTGCATTCGCTATGCTAGTTACACTTCCGGTGACGTCTGCTGCGAACAGATTCTTCTTCAAGTTAGCAGACAGCACGTTGAAATATATCCTAAATATGTTATCCGTTGTAGGGGCAGGAATCGCGTAAGTATTGAAATGCCTTAAAAATCGAGGTGGCACGTCTTCATCGAGCTTTCCTGACGTAATCGCGAGGGTGAACATAACATCCTGTATGAACACTTTATTTAATTCATTTGTATCGTAGCAGTAATTATGACTAAGAAGTTGACGTAACAACTCAAATATTGATCGTGCCTCTGGTCTTTGCGTAACAGATCTACTCACATCATCCACAAAGTTCACGCAGAATTGATTTTTTCCTGGACTGTAGACGGTACGTCGTATTTTGTTTAACTTCGAAAGCAATAATATCTGTGTTTTAGTCACCGTAAGCATGGAAGTAAAGCTGAAGAAATTGGAGAGACAATTTTCTGGCAATTTCTTGTCCAAGAGGTCGTACATGATACTACTCTTTCCAACACTAACATCACCATACAAGAGGAAAGGCTTTCGATATTTAACGTGTTTCAAGAACATGTGATTATACTTAAAACTGTTGACAGTTGGAACGTAAATTTGATTGAAATTGCATATCTCGGGGATTTTCTCGTTTTTCAGCAAGTCTCCCCAGTACTTCCAGTTTCCGACACCCTTGAAGATGTAAAAGTTATCTTGAATTAGACCCTCGTTAGGCAGCGTCACGTCCACGTGTTTAATCGCGTCGGGTTTCGGATATCTCGTATCTGCGCCACTCCAGAATGACGTGCAAAAAGCGTTGAATCGAGTCTGCGAATCCTCCATCAAGTTTCCGCCTAATCCCCAAGCAACAGCTTGAATTAGGGCGATCTGGGTCCATGTGACAAAGTGATTGCTTCTTCCTATGTCCTCTGTGGCATCTTCGCAGGCATCTTGCAGTAAAATCTCGAATAAATTCAAGACCGACGTAACAAGATGTAATTCTCTATCCACAGATATGTCACCATTCTCTCTTAAAAAGTCGAGACAGGGATCTATCGCCCAATCGAACAGAGCAATTAACACTTTGTCGTATCCGTCATAAATATTATGTTTAGCGATATGAGACAGCACATGTGGTTTCCAACCAATGGAACGCGAATCTATATAAATCGTTCCGCATTGCGAGACTAGGCTGGGTGAGATTTCGGTCGCGCTCGTTATCTCGAAGATGATAGACATCGTTTCGACGACGGGAAGACGTTCACCAGACGTCAAATACAACGTTTTGCTGTCGTCGAGAACTGTGTTCAAGTTCTCTAGCCACGCCCCGTTCAAGGCTCCGTCGAACACCAGCCATTTCCGATCCGTCGACGTGTCTTCCGTGAAGTGACGAAATATCCTGGTGCATAAGCCGTCTTTCCAAGCGCCAGACTTGTCGCAGAGATACCCGAAGAGCGTGTCGCTGTCCACTACTCCCGGCATGATCGTTTCGACTTTCACAGGGACGCCGATCGCGTTTCCTTGGTCCTGCAACAACGATAATGTTTCAGCGATTGCGTGCAAGATTTCCGTCTTGCCACCCAGAGGGTCGCTGATAAGTATAAGACCGCGACGAACGTACATCAACTCGATAATCTGTATGACCTTCAACTTGAATGTAGGGTGTAAAATGAGAAATCTTTTAGCGCATACACTTTCAAGCGCCTTTAAAATCGCCGAACAATCAAATGACGGCAGGACATCGGATTCGGGAAAAACATGACGCATGATACTCTGGAAGATAGAAATATCGGCTGTATCTAGTTGTGGAATATTTATGTCTATCATAGAACGTAGAAGTAAGATGTGCTCGTTTTCTTCGTCCGGGACTTTTTGTTTCATATCGATCGCGGTTGCGATAACTGTCTTTAACGACGAGACGCTGAAGTTGTAATGACGTTTTTCTCCCAGATGTTCGGACAACAATTTGTAGCTGATGGCTAGTTTCGCCGCTAGCTTTTTCGCACGAAGAAATCCCCCGGCGAAGAGTTCGACCTCCGCGATTCTGCCGACATCCGGTGTCGTCATCGCTACGGAACGGAAGAGCGCCTTCAAATTATCCGGCAGATCGGTATATCCAAATTGCGTCGAGTCGATATTAGCGGATATGTATCCGGAGACGTTCAAGGTTAAATCGCAACCGTCAAAGTTGATCGTCCTCGAGCTAGACGATATCGCCTGTTTCATTTGCGTGAGATTCTGAGCGATGGCTGATAACAACTCCAGTTTTAATCGGTCGAAATTTTCGAAGCAGACCCAGGCTCCGCAGGAAACCACCCCCTTGAAGATTCTTGTTACGCAATTGTAGGAGATGCTGTTGTTGCAATTGACGATGTAAAACGGCTTCGCGAGGACTCTGGTTAGGGTTCTGATTGTCTCCGTTTTACCGCAACTCGTGGGACCCACGATGCCGCTGTACAGATGATAACGATAAGCCTGTAATATAGTGCGAAAGCATCGATCGGTCAAGGGTGTGTTAACGATACTCTGTTGACAATAATTATATTCGTATCCATACTCTATCGTTGTATCGAATACCGATATCTTAATAATCTTGTCGTTGCAATAGTACCTTAACTGGGCGATCCACTCAAAATCTGTTAATTTAGCGATATTTCTATCCAAAAGCAGCTTCACGACTTCTTTGTGAGTCAACGTAAGAACGATCAATGATATCAACAGCTTTCTACGCCATCGTGTTAAATTATTTCTCAGTTGCTTAGTCAGTGAAGTTATCCGATCGTTGTATGTCAAGTACAGAGAATTTAACACTGAGATGTTTAATGGAGTAAAACATTTTTCCACCGAGGAAGTCCAATGAAGTTGCAAACCGCAGATGATCGCCATACTTGGAAAATTATCGCTAAAAACGAATGTCAAATCCTCGTCGATCGAAAGATAAGACTGTTGAATATTTTCGCGAACCGCGTTTCTCATCTCTTCTTCGAGCTGCATCAACCATTGCTCTTCTTGCTTGGTGTCGATAGATACAAAAATATTATCATTCAGACGTAGGACCTCCCCGTAGTTGCCGATGACTCCTCGAATACAGTTGGATTTATTAAATTTTAATCGTCTTATGCCGGCAAAACACTTTTGCACAAATATATTTCGTTTCACTGCATCGGTCGATTCGAATAATATCTTCTGAATCTCCGAATCATCGAGGAAGAAGAATCTCGCGAAAGACAATCTTTTAATATCTAAATAATCCTTTACGCCTTTGCTGGCTCTCTCCAACTTTTCGTTGCTTTCATTCAAGATCTGCAACAAATCCGAGGATTTCTCAATCTCTCGAAAGCTCGGATTCGCCGTAAATCTGTTGTTAACGTCCAGCAAAATTCTTGTTGCTTCCAGGTACAACAAAGTTTCTTGGTTCAGACGCGTCTCTATTCCCGGATAAGAGAATATCGGCCGCAAATGAAGTTTGCGGAATTGAACTTGCGTCCATCGAGCAAGGATTTCCTGGATCCTCGTGAGAACGACGAAGAAATCGATCAAGTCCGACAATATCGGCTTGACAAAGTGAGACGCTCTCATCTCCTCGACCTTGATGAGATGTTCTCCGAGAAGCGCCTCGATGTCGTCCGTATGTTTGAAAGTTACCGCACCGGATTCCGCATCGGTCGACATCTCGAAGGATATCGGTTCCCACTCTTCGATCATCTCGGCCAGTTCTTGCTGAAGACGAAGCTCCTTGTTGGCGCCCAGGCTTATAGCCTCGTACTTGTCAATGTTATCCATCAGATTCATATCGATCATCTTCTTCAGGGTCGTTCCCGCGTTCGGAGTAAGATCGAAATCACATATCGCCGACATCTCTTTCCAATGACGAGCGCAGAGAGCCGGATTGCACATGCAGATCGCGAGAGGTAGGTAAACTTTGAACTCGTTAACGTTATAAAGTGCCTGCCAGCACAATTTTAGCGGCGCGGGTTGCTGCATCGGATCGGGATCGTCGGCGATTCCGGAAAACTTGTACGACCTATTCGCGGTTGCGTCCATCTTGATGCGCGACTTCATGCTTTTGCTCATCTCCGTGACCTCGTCCAGGTAATTCACGGTCTTCCTTTCGATGACGGACGCGTCCAGGCATTCGAACGGACCGTTCAACCACACGGAGTTGTTCCTCTGCCACTGATAAACGGTACGTATGAGCTTGTAAAACGGCACGATCGTGTCCCTTAATTCGGCAATTTTCGGAAACTCCGTCTCGGGAAACTTGAAAAGCCTCTCCTCCGAATTAATCACTTGCATCTCGTTATCCATACGCTTGTACCTCTTCATCAGATCCTCGTAATGCTCCGTGTATTCTCCGACCTTGTTTATATCGTCCATGTCGTCGAGGATGACAAGCTGCGGGAACATCGCGTCGACCTCCGCGTTCAACGTGTTTATCCGCCGTTGAAGATCTTCCTCCAGTTCACTCTTCATCGCCTCGCACAACGTATTGTTCTGCGCGAACACCGGCTGAATATCGTGCAACCAGTTAACAGTGGACTTGTTCAAGTTAACGTGCTCCTCCGTCAAGACGGTGATCTCTATCAGTTTGCTCAGCATGTAGATCGACCGTCGTATCTTCTGCTCCTGCTCCTTCATCAACACTTTCGAAGCTCGGGACATGTATTCGCCCAATTGTATCAATGAGTTTGCATCCCTCGGGATGTCCAGAGCCGTAGACTTCAGATCCTCGAAGCTGGAACAGACGGAACGATTGAAATCTCGATGATACTCGACGAGCGCCGTCGTGAGAACGTTTATAACTTCCTGGCAGATTCGCCTCAAAGATTCCTTGGCGCTATTTTGCTCTAACTTGCCTATACTGTAATACAAATTGGAGAGCATAGAATTCGTTTTGCTCAAATACTCTTTGTACTTGTATATATACGCGAAATACGCGTCGAAATCCGGTTCATCGGAAGTTAAGGACAATATACGGTTCTCGATATTGGATGTACACACATCAGCGAATTCCGCAGAGACAAACGTCACGTGTTCGTTGACAGGTCGAAACAGAGAGTCCAAGATCTCCTGCAGGCTGTGACGAGATCTCTCGATGAACCAGTCGGGAAGCACGATCTTGATGTACCTTTCCTTTGCTCTGAGGTCCAGCCATTCCTCCAGAGGCATCAGATCCTGCGCGATACCCGCGATTCCGCCGATAATATCGTGATACGTCGAAAATACCTCCTCTACGTCCGGTTTGGTGACAAGTCGATCTCCCTCGCAGACCAGCTGAAATTCAATCTGCGGACAGAAACGACCATCTTTCATGATAGCGATTACGTGATCGATCGACCTCAACATAACGTTGAGAATCTGCTGAACGAATATATTTGTGAGGCACCTCATAAATCGAGGCAAACGTTTCGCGGAGATTCCCTTCAGCTGCCTCGATCTTTGCACGGCTTTGAAGGTTTCAGTGTAAAACCGATTGGCGATCATTAAGGTACCTTTCTTGATGTCCTTGAGGATGATGTCTCGAAAACCGGGCAACGTTAGCGTCCCAAGTTCGCGATAACGTTCGAAGTCGCAGATCACCTTGGGCAGAAGACGATGCGCCGTGTTTATGACGTGCTTAATTATAGGATATGAAAGAAAATATCTCTCGGTCAGCAAATCACGACGTCGTAAAAATATCGTCCGATCGTACATCGTATCCTTTTCGATGATGCCTCGTCTCTCTTCAACGCACTCTTCGCAAACGACGTGTCTTCTCTTGTACATCTTGCAGGATAATATGGACTTCAGAACGAAGTCTTTCATATCGTCGACGTACATCTTCTTCACCTCGTCTAACACCAAGTTTATGAAAGAGGAATGTACTCGTCTGTCTCTGCGAGGTATCAACTTTAGTATATTTTCTTCCCATTCTGTAGAAAATTCAGAGATATAAATATCTTTTATGTAATCTTCCAATCTGATTATTCTTTTCAGACTTGAATTGGAGCAGCTAGATATCATAGAAGTGCATTCTAAAGGATGCATGTTTCTCTCATGGGAAGACCATTCACTGTTTGCCATCCTATACATACACCTATTAAATAATCTACTTTGCTTCGCAATATTTTTACAAAATATTATTTGCGGAATTTATATATAGAGAGATTATAAATTAATAGTAAAGATATCCAAAGCACATAATTGTAAATTATTACTGATCAGTTTCTTCCAATATTTAAGAACGAGTTTACGAAACTAAGCTTTCTCTTGGATACCGTGATGTTTTATCAATATAGTGATTTTCACTTACACATCTATGAAAATTCCAGAGATTCGACTTCTTTATATGGAAATTAAAATTTAGGTTCTTAAAATAAAGAGGAATTTAAATTATATTTAATTATTAAGATGCAGAAATTATATATATATTATACTAAAAATTGTACTAAAATTATATATATGTTACATATAGCAACGCTGTAATTATACATAAATATATGACACTTTCATTAAAATAATTATGACATAATTTATGCATTTAATCATATTTATCAATTAGTGTTCAATTGCTCATATTGTTTTCATTGTTATAGAAGTGTCATTTACTTGTCATGTCATATGTCATAAACAGCTGACTGAGATAAAAACAGCCTCTGTTCTGCCATCTGCTGGAAGACGCCACTTTCCCTTCCTTGTTCATCAATGTGATCAGTTCCATTGATGAGACGTGTGAGGTTATAAACATGAGTAATATTTATATACAAGAACCGCCCACGACGGGTAAAGTAAGTATAAATTATTTTATATATATATAAAAAATTTATATTTTTTTAAGTTATAAAATTTTCCATTAAACATCTAATAGAGAAATTATTTAATGTAAGAATATAGTATACCTTTTTTATATATAACCTTTCTTCTCTCCACAAGTTTTTAAATGAGTATTGTATATTAAGGATATGGAATTGAAGTGGATTTCATTGCTTCCTGAATTACATTTTCAATTTACTTCCTTGCGTCTATCTTTTTTTAATAGGTGGTGATGAAGACAACAGTTGGCGATATAGACCTAGAATTATGGACAAAAGAAGCTCCTAAGGCTTGCAAAAATTTTATACAGCTTTGCATGGAGGGCTATTATGACAATACAATATTTCACAGAATCATAAAAGGCTTTATAGCACAAGGTGGAGATCCAACAGGGACAGGGGAAGGTGGGGAGAGTATATATGGACATCCCTTTAAGGTACTAATAATCATTAATTTTATCTAATTATAATTATTGCTTTTGCATAATCTTAAAATCTTGCTACATTTTTTATGTTCTGCATTTATAGGATGAGTTTCACACACGATTACGTTTTTGTCGGAGAGGTTTACTTGCTATGGCCAATGCTGGTAAAGATGACAATGGATCTCAATTTTTCTTTACCTTGGGCTCAACACCTGAGTTACAAAATAAGCATACTATATTTGGTAAAGTTACTGGAGAAACAATTTACAATATGCTCAAGTTAGAAGATGCACTTGTAGACGAGGTAAATGTTTAATATTTGTATATAAAAAGATTAACGTATAATTTTATAAACAAATAATGCGATAACTTTTTTATGTAACACTTAATTTCAGAATGACAGACCTCAGTATCCGCAAAAGATTTTAAAAACGGAAGTGTTAAGTAATCCGTTTCCAGATATTGTTTCTAGAGTAACACCTGAGAACAAAGAAGACAAGAAGGAAAGCAAGAAAGATAAAAAGACTGGCGTCAAGTAAGATAAATATAGAATTGCTTTCAATAATAAATACTTATATTCTTTCATACATTAGACAAGTATTTTAGGAATTTCAAGCTATTGTCATTTGGAGAAGAGGCTGAAGAAGACGAAGAGGAGTCATCAGTTTTAAATAGACAATATAGCGGCAAAGGAAAATCAGCACACGATTGCTTGTCTGATCCAAAATTAAGCTCGCAATCTGTAGTTGAATCAGTTGAACCACCAAAAAAGAAACTCAAAGAAGATCGGAGCAGCGATCAGGAGAGTGGTGATGAAGCACACGATCCAGAAGAATTGGCTCTATTAGCAAAAGAAAAAGAGTAAGTTATTTATAGAAAGTTATTTAGAAAAATATATTATATTATTGTTATGTTAATATTATTATATGAATAATAGAGCTGTAAAAGAAAGGATCAAAAATAAATTAAAGGATTCTAAAAAGACTTCCCAAGTAAAGCCAACAATTGAAAATGAGATAAAATCTGAAGAGTTAAATGAAGATGGAGAAATCGAGGAATATTACTTGGGAAAAGATCGAGACGATGAGCGAAAGAAAAAGGCGTAAGTAATATTTTTTTAAAATACAGATTTATAAATGTCGAATTGTATCCAAAATAGAGTTTAAAATACATGCACACACACAATTATATTTCATATTGTTTGAAATTTAATATGCAGTGAAGCTATAAGAAAAGAAATACGCGATCTAAAGCGAACCGTGCAAAATGAGAAGAAAGCAAAGGAGGCAGACGAAAAGCTTCAATCTGAGAAAGAGGAAAATAAATCTGAAATAATGAAAGAGTACATAGAAACTCAAGAAAAATATAAAGAAGCAAAAGCAAAATTGCCCAAGAAGGGCAAAACGCGCGAGGATTTCACGATGGAACTACTAAACAAATTCAAGAATAAACTTCAAAATGCTAAGGACAATTCCTCTAAGGATAATTCTGATAAGACATCGAAGGACATAGAAGACGATGATCCACAGGACGAGTCTTGGATGACACACGCTCTGCATTGTGAGGAAAAGGCACCAGTGCTTGCCAAGGATGCCAGTACGAAGAATGACGATTGGTTCGAGATTTATGATCCCCGAAATCCTTTGAATAAACGACGAAGAGGAGAGGCAAGCAAAGGCAATAATAGCCACTCTTCTAAGTGATTTGTAATTATTGTAATATCATAATTGATTATTTGTGTATTTAAGTAATTAGCAATTACAAAAAAATAGATGTACATAAAATCTAAATGTACACATTTTACTCCTGTAATATATACTTCTTATCGATAAAATTTCTATCGATCTTGAACTTATTAGGAAAATGGCAAGATAGTTCTTTTAATGTCAATGGAATAATTTAGCTGCAATTAAAAATCTTATCATCTACTTTTACTATTTTTTGTGCACGCGACCTTTTACAAGATTATCGAGTATTAATTTATTGTAAATAATACGCTTATTGTAATATAATGGGAAAAAAGAGTGAAGTGAAAATCGATGTGTAATATAATTAAGATTCTGAAATCTTTAAAAATCGGTTACTTCGTAATCATGCGTCATTATGTGCGCAATAAGCGTAATATAAGAGTATTAAATACGGCAAATTCTGTATAGATAGGTCGAGAGCCTTCTTTAATTCGTTCGTATTAAAGCGCGATAAGACGTTGATACAAAACATCGTATGTTCGTTCGTAGATTCAGTCGATCTGTCGACGGCGACCGATACGCATCATGTGTTTTATTTAACTACCGAATGGAAGATAAAAACTCAGCGTAGCGTTTTTTTTTAAACGAGTCTTCTAAAAATCAATGCGCTTTTAAAGTTTTTTCCTTCTTATCTCAGAGTGTAAATTAACGCGTGAACGAAAAAACAATATTGTTAAGGTTCCAAAGTTCCACAGAAATTTACGTACATTAATTATAATTGTAATGTCGAGTTTTTGACGTGATATCAATAGTGCGATAATTAAAATTGCCGAGTGATATGTTATATAATTAATCGTGAAGAATAAATATCGGAGAATAGTGTGCGCAGCTTCTTAGAAGTTTCATCTATTTGAATTTAAAGAGTGCTAAAGTTTAACTTTGAGAGAAGGAAGAACAAAATTTCGCAATCTTCTGTCCGAATCTCGAAGCCGAGCACGTCTATGTCGCGATCTTCCGAGGAAGATGCCAACGACGCCTTTGAAAATAGATGTACTTGGTAGGAATTTCCTCTTAAAAATCTTAATGATTTATCGTTGCCTTGCGCGAGACGTTCTTGATGTTATCAGCTCGGTCGAATGATAATGTGTCATAGTAATATCGCGGAAAGCATCTATTGTCATTGCGCATATAAAAATGCAATGCACGTTTCATTTGCTTTCCGATGCATTTTGAATAATGATATTTTTTTACATGCATCTTGCAGAAATTATGATGATATTCATTATAGAGAACTCATGAATGTATGCTTCTTTCATTTATAATCTATAAAAAAATCTACAGATTTTCATATTTCTATTAAAAAATATAAATGAATAGAAGAAATATAAAAGGTATGTTTTCTAATATTAAATTACAAGAGAGCGTATTTTGTAGTCTTTCTTCAATGATATAGATATGAACTTTGTAATAAACGTTTAATCATCGACCGCATTGTGCAGCAATAAAAGAAAACACTGTCTTCAAAAAGAGAGGCGGTACATTCACTCCACATAATCGCGCATTCTTCTTCTATGTAGATGATTTATTAATCGTAACCGATCATGTATGTCGCCTTTGCGAGACAGATTGACTTTACTTTCAAGTTTCCGACTCTCTCTTTTTCTCTCTTGTCTTTATCACTGCAATTTCAATAGCACGTGTACATTTCTTTCCCTTCACATGGGATTAAATCTTTCTTTTCGCAAACAAAATATAATACGATATAGCAAAATGACTGTGTTTTCTTTTATTATATGATTCGCATCTATTTTAAAAATAGAGAAAACAAAGCGAATATATTTTTAAAGAATTTGTGTAATTAAAAAAAAATGGATAGAAAATTTAAAAACAGAAAAAGATAATCTATTTAAAATTAACTCTCCTTTACTCGTGATATGTAAAATGCTCATGATAAAGAAAATATTGGCTATTAACGAATCAGTATAAAAAAACGTGATCGTGTGTGTCTCATCGTTCAATCGATTGACTCAAACATAGTCTACTTACTAAAAATCGCATAGTCCTCGATGATAATGGATATATTCCTTGTAAGTTGTTGAATTCTCATGATATTATTTTAATTGTTTGCACAAGCGTCTGGGTAAACACATTCTATTCAACGCCACGTGCTTCATAGCTAAAAAGAAAAGAAAGAACTTATCAATGCGATGAGCGATAATTTATCTTAGGGAGCATCATTCCATATAGATAGAATCGCATATGTACATGTCTGTGTAATCTTGTACAAAGGTGAAATTGATGACCTTGATTTCCAAATCTAGCGAGAATGCCTCAACATTCTCCCACGAATTACAAAATCTGCGCATATTTTTTTCAAGAACATCTTTCTTTAAATATAGTCTATATTGCAGCGGTTCTCATTTTTAAAGGAATTTATAGAATGCGGTAAACAACTTGCGCAGTACAACTTGTGCAACATTGCTTTGGCAAACAAAGACTCGTAATCAAACACAGGTATTATGTTGATTTTGAAATAGAGGAAATAAATTATCTTTATTTTAGAAAATAACATAAGGAGAGAATTTTTCGTTATATCTTACCGCAAAATTCAAATTTTATTGTGTTCGGTAATAATAAGCCGAACATTACTACGCTGCATATTAAAATTATCTTGAACGATTAAGCTGCATTGCAAAATTTTCATAAAATATTTTATATATTTATCACTTTTTTGGCATTTATTTTACTTTACAATTAACAACAATTAAAGTATTCTAAGTTTTTAATATATTTAAAAATTATTGAAATTTTACTATAGATATATCTTAGGAAAATTAAACATATTTTATATCTTATTGTGGTAGATATTAACCAGAGAAACTTTTATAAAAATTCTTCCAATATCATATTGTCCTACGTTTACCATAAATTTTAAGAGAACATTCTCTGTGTACAAAAAAAACGCTAAAACTCTAAAACAATCCTATAAATTTTTAAATATATTTGAAGCATGAAATTCGTGAGAAGATCTTAACACAATTTTATTGGAGATAAAGTAAAAAAATCTATTGTGTGTGATATCATCAAACGCGATTCTTAAAGTGCAGATAGGCTTTATTACACGCGCTGTTTTAATGTATTAGATCCTCTTTAAACTTGAAAATTCGCATGTCGATATAATGGAAGAATCCCGTCAAATAAAGCACTTTATCGTTGCGATTTAACAGAATTGCAAAGGATTCAAGGAACTTTCCACTGTTTTTGTCTACACATAAATATATGTACATATGTAAGCGAAGGCATATCTCTTATAAGGTCTGTTATTGGAGATAATAAATGATAAAGAACTATATCTCCCCTACAAGTGCTATATTCCGCATCAAAGAAATCGATATACTTAATTCGGTGTCTATTTGTGATAAGTCTCGACATCAATCATTGATAAGAAGAACTGAAAGTGTTACAAATATTCTAAAAATATTTTTGAAACTCGTATCTTATACTTATTTAGAACTTATCTCTCTTCTTATAATATCTGTAGTTTTTCATTGCTTTCGCACATAAAACTGTTTGTAGGAAATAAAATAATTTCTCTAATATCATTATATAACTGTTTATATATAAAATTTTCAATTTCTTGAATTTTAAGTTTAAGGAAAAATTGAATTGGAACAAATGGCAAGTTGAAATACCAAATAAATGAAGCAACAAATAGAAAGAAAGAGAGTCAATTATCTTTATACAAGTTATATTTAAAAATTTCCAAGGAATGTAAACAAAATTATTCAACGAAGAAAATAGAATTAAAAAATGATCGTTTATACTGATATTCAGGATTAAAATATTCATACTTTTTTGGTGTTGACTACTTTTTTGCAGAGGACGGTATTCGTCCGCGAGATTGGCAACCGCGAAGATCAAATTATAAAGTGCCTTTGAGAGTGATGCGATTATGTTTGCTGGGGATGTTTTTACCGTCTGTTCTTGTTGCTGGACCGTTATACCTGCGATATCGTGTGTATTCCGAACAATTATATGCTTTAACGATATCAGATCAAAGACTGATTGACGCCAAAATATCGACCATTTGGTGTCAAGTAAGGCATTTTGTTCCAATATTTATTAATATTTTATTTCTGATAATTCCTGTCTTATCCTGCCGGCAATTTTATGTCAATCTTTACTTCCTTCAGAAAATACACATATATATAATTTTTATAATTATTATATAACAAGTTAAAAGATAATAAATTTGAATATTTAATAGTCAAATTATTATACTGCATGTAATTTCGCTAAAAATGATATTCGTGCTTCAAAAACTAATAAAGAATACAATCAATAATAAAGCAATCTATTTATAGAGTCAAGTGGTCAAAGTTAATACCACATTTAACGCATATCTAATGAGCAATGAACCAGTAGTCGAAAAAGAAACAGTGCCGATTTCAATGACGAGACACCTTGTCATGGAAGATGATATGAAAGAGTATTGGGGATTTTATCTTCTACGTGGTAGCAGCGTCACCGTTTCAACTTGTGTAAGGTAGAATTCTACACATGGGGGCTTGTTTGTTATTACGAAAATTTTAACAGTAGAAGAGACAGAATTTTAAAATTAATTTTTTATATAAAAAATTAGCTTTCTTTAAATAAAAAATTTTAACACATTTAAGATATATAATATTATCCTCCAAATACTTACGTGATTAAATTAATGTAATTGTTCCATCATTTTCAGATATCCAGGTGCTTATTTAACGATAATTCGTGGATTCAAGAATCTGCATGAGTGCGCCTTCATCGGGGATGATAGCAGCGAGGAACTCGAGGAGCTTCTCGAAGTCGCCAAGGAAGAAGGTATTCTTGATATGAAGGAGACTACAGAGGTGTGCTTTTCTTTCTGTCGAGAATATAATATTCTATTTGTTTCCATTTCAATCGATTTGCATTTTCGATCGTTAGGCGGCACGTCTTAAAAACATACATGAAAAAATGGGACGAGTAAATCAGGATGTACAGTTTCATCATAAGGGCAATGCCTTGCGCTTAAACATTTCCCAATCATCCGAGAGTCAGCTGGGCAGTCACGAATTGGATGCTCAAGCGATGCGAAATATACTCACTCAACTCTTGGCCAAGACTATCGACACGAAAAAGAAGCAGAAAGAGAATCCACATCATCATTATGAGGCCGTCTTCAGGGACATTGATAATATCGATAAACCAATGGCAGCAAATCATCTTGGGAATTCAACTGGAAATCTTTGGCCTCTGCGGAAGTCGATAAGCAGATCTGGCGACAAAGATAAAGAGATACCTAAAAATCGTACAAAGTGCGTTATTTCCTTAAAAACTAATATTTTGATGAATATTTTAAGTCATTCTTTTTAGTAAGAAAAATTGAAAGGCATTATCTTAACAATAATTATAAAAAAATTCCATCAATTATTGTTACATTCATCATATTTTATCATAATACATTTTTCTTCTTCAAATTTTCTTTTTATAATTAAGAATGATGTACTCAAACGTTTTAGGTCTGATCAATTGTCTTTAAATATGACGTTTACCTCTGAGAAAGAACATGAAATCAAACGGAATTCCACATTTTTCTCCGATCCAAAATCTACAATATCTAGTACACAAATGAAGACCAGTACGCCAGAAGAAATTGCGAAGAAGCAAGAAGAGTCGCCCAAACAGAATTCGGGAGAGGTGTTTCAAGAGATCCTGCGGAAGATCATTTCCTTAGGTGATCGTGGCAGAGAAAAGTTGCGTAAATTGATGGACGAGATTGATGCACGGAGCAATTCCGAAGGCATCGCGTTGAAACGGCTGGTAAATGAAACAATGAATGACAAAAAATTGTCAAAAGAAACCAAGCGAAGAAGAAGAAGAGACCTGGTTCTTTCTTCCCCGCTCCATGAATTGTTAACAGTGGAGGATGAAGACGGCGACGCAGCATTAGAAGAGGTATTGTTCTATATTCTACTTTTTCTGCTTAGTATTTTTTCTGTGCTTGTAAGTGCAATTAATTAATCATTTATTTAATTTAATTTATGTAAGTCTGTAACTTGTATCTACATATAATGTTGTTAAAAATATTTTGTTTTGGAAAGTATTACTGATACAAATCGCAATAATTAATTCTATATCTGTTTACTCAAAAGTATCGATATAAAATCTCAAAGAGAATTCGTCATTCGTGAAATATATTATTTTTTCTTTATTAAAACGCGATAAGAGGGGTTTTAATTTGTTACTGAAATGAGTGGAGAAATATACTTCCAAACTTTATATATTCGTACAATTATATAGATAAACAAATCACATAATTACTTTTACGTAATCTAGATCTTTCGGTCGTATATTTATGAGATTTTCTTTTTCGGCAAAGATATATTATACAATAACACTTGACAAATCATAGCTATTTTTATAAATACATAGAACATAATTTGTTTGCAAAATGTGAATATAATTTTCGTCCACATCTTTCACTTCGAATTGAACTCTTTAGCTTCGTAAATTTAATTAAGGGTATGCAAAGTAAATTTATTGACGCACCTCTTTATCAGGATACGTTGCAGCCAGACGGTATCGCGGAGCATCGAGGCTCCGTGAACGAAGCAACATTGAACGACAGAAGTAATTCTGAATTCTGGAGCTCGTTTAGCAGTTCGGAAGAGCGGTTGCTGGAATGCAAGGGTCTCATCCTGAATTTACCTCTGACACCACATCCTTATTGTACACCTAAACACGAAAGTTATCATTCTACAGCTTCCTTTGTCAATACTGTGACATATAGGTAAGTGGACAAAAATTATACAGTTTATATTTAATTTTTCCTTATAAAAATGCGTCATATTCGGTTGTTATTTTCCTTTATCGGCTTTAAAACGTTACACTTTTTTCTTCTTTTTTCAATAAATATTTTTACATGTTTTTTTAAAAGTTTTATTAAATTTGTAATTTCTATATAAAAAAAGAGAAAGAGTGAAACATATTTTTATAATAATGTTACCATAATATAATACTCCATTATATTTGTATATAATTTGTTTGTAGAGTACCTTTAAATGGATATTACTTTTTCGTATTTAATTCGGAGAATGAAATCCAACCAAATTATGTGAGAGTAAAATTTGATCTTTTGAAGACGGTTTACAATACCTCAAATTCTGTGTACGCATGTAAAAATAGCACGGAAGAGTGCTCGTTACCGTTTAAAATTTTTAGCAAAGAAAGAACGGTATTAGAATTGCCATTAAGCGATAATGATTCGCAATGGAATGAAGAGTATGTTGGTGTGTCCATTTGTGAGCCACGAACAACAATTTATACCATTTGTATTATTATGGTACCTTTGCTGATCCTTTGTTTTGCCTTTCTCTAGAAAAAATTGCAACAGTATTTTTCTATATTTATCTCTATCGATATGATTGACAATATCAATTAACAATATTACATCAAATCTCTGTTTGAAAAAGAAAGGATTATTATAATAACAGTTTAGTGCTTTATTAGAAGTTATTGAATCAATAATAAAAAATACGGATGATATTTTTACTTGTAATTAAAATAATTAAAAAAAAATGAGTACAAAATTTTGATTTTTTTTTAAATATTAAAGAATCAGTATCTTTAATATTGATAATATATTCTATTGATCCCTAAAAATGTTAAATGTATATATAGTTTTAATAATTTTAATTCAGATATATTAAGTATATATTTAAATATATATTTAAAATCTTTCCTTAATTTGAATAAACAACATATATAATATTTTAATCTATTAATAAATTTTATATTTAAATCTGTTGCGAAAAATCAAACCTAGATTTATTATACCAATTGCAAAACTTTTTGGATGAGAAGAATATGCTGTGATCATGTTTTTTTGTGCAATAATCATATGTACATTTCATTTAATTTTTACTATATAATATTACTGTGTACATAGCATTTACTATATAGTATTACTATATAGTATTACTATAGTATTATTATATAGTATGAATAGTATTTATAGATTATATAATTTTTTAAAGATGTGTGAATTTTAGATCATTTTAGCCACTCTTAATATTTGAGTCTACTTAAATCGAATTTATCTGATGTAAATAAGGATATTTGATATAATTCGGAGTTATATTGTAGTATATTTTCGGTACCAAATAAAGTTTCTATATAAGAGAATAAGTAAGTTGTCAATATCTAACTTTGTGTATCCGAGAGTATTATTTGAATTGTCGAATATTAGATTTGAAACTAACGAGAAAATTCGATGTAATACGACTTAATTCGCATTTGGCGAATGCTCGCACATCCTTGAAAATGTTGTATAATATTTTGCATAATCATAAAATTATTGAAGTCTGTTGCAAGTGTTACATACAAAGTCATATTCATATTTGCTAAAAAAAGTTGTGCGATCGAAAAGACATTCATTAATTGTGTTACTTAATTGACTTAATAATAATCGATAAAGTTGCATCTTAACATAGATCTCTGTCGATCGCGATACTCAGATTAGGAGATTTTCTTCTTTATTTAATTAGTTAAAAATATATATTTAAAAGTTGTATTGATACTTTAAAGCTATTTTGAAAAATCGTGATATAAGACTGGTGTCGAGATTATATTTCGCGCAATCTGGTTACTTTGACGTCTTGTAAATATTCTAGATTACATATTTGTGATTTGCATTCGCGTTTCGAGCAATAAAAGATCGTGATATATCGAGTGAGATAGCGTTTCCAATACAATGTAGCTTTGAGACCTTGGAGTTTATCGTTAAAGTTGGTAATGGACGATACAATAAATTGTTGAAATGTAATAATGACAATATAATTGATTGTTGAATTGTATATACACAAATAAAGCGATTCGTTGAATGATTACATTCAAGTGTTTAATTTATCAGCAGCTTGAGTTTACGAATATTCGATAAGGCATAATCACAACAAATAATAATAAACATATGTATGCATATATGTATATACAGACTGCATCATAAAATGTTAAAATTACTGATTAATATTGGAGAATCTTATTTTTTGAGAGAACACGATCTAATTTATCAAATAGTATTACAAATTGTCAATTTTATATATCTTAGTATTCCAAAATAATTTTTTATTCCACTTTCATTGGATTCTAATCCAAAGGTAATTAACGGTGTAACAACAAACCGAGTTAATGTACGTTTTAAATATCTTGTACGAGCTCGTTTTGATGATCGATACGTCAGCGGGCGCGAATGCCATACGTGGAAAACAAACACTAATAACGGGATTTAGCGTGGGGCGGCTGGTTGACGGCGATAACGAAAATTGATTTCACCCTCCGCGTCCCTTTCCGCGGCACGGGGATGCTCTATTCGAGCGCGTTGATGTTCATGGGACGCTGCGCAAAACCAGTGACACGCCTCTCTCTCTCCATCGACATAGTTCGTATCCCCTTCGTACCTAGACCCACACGTGCCCGGTAGAACACTGGTTTAACCCATTCAAGGATTTAACTCCGTTGGCGGAAATCAATTGTTGCCCGCCGAATAGAAAATAAAAATATCTAGTGTGGTTGTAAAAGCGTAGCACATATTTGAAGCAATATAAAATTGTAGAAAGAAATTCAACTCACCAAAAATAAAAGAATCTTAAATTTCAAGAGTCAAACAGAACTAACTGGCTAAAACATGCCAGAGTTGGATGTTTTTAAGACGTCTATGCTCCATCCAATTTTAACAAAATCCAGTAAGAAATGGTATTGAAGCATGCATTCAGAGGTGGAGGACAATTTGTATAGAATCTGAAATTAGAATTTTATATTAGGAACATATATTTTTAAACAATAAGATGAGGAATTTAGAAGAGAGATGATAAAAAAAAAATTATTTTAGATTCCAATTTAACTATATAATTTTTAATCTTATTATCTTAATTACTGTTATCGTTGTTATCAATATTTATAACAATACTAAATCTAATATTTATTGCAACAAGGTGTTTGAAGATGCCTATCTAACACGGCGACACTCATACACAAGTGAAAGTGTCGCCAAGATTTCGGGTAGAACGTTATTGAAACGATGAACGGAGGCTGCGCGAGTGTTCGCTGCTGATAAGGGATGCCCCGCCCTACAGCCCTCTCGCGACAATCACCCTCCCGCGTCCTCCTCACGGTCGTGGAATCGCAAGGGTCAAGTTGTTGGAGGACCCAGTAACGGCGTGAGGTATTAATCTTGGGGATTAAGCGGACAAATCGACGGGAGATTAATTTTTAAGATGCCGTAAAATGAAAAGGATCATCTCGACGCTTAATTAACAGTTACGCTACATCGTTTTGTAATTAATCTCCTCGCGTTTCTTTTTTTTCACAAATTCTTTATGTCGATGTCTTGCTAATCTGGATGTACTAGAAATAAAATAAATGCGTTAGATTTGCGAAATATCTCATAATTATTGCAGTTTTTAAGATCGCGATGCATTAAATTTGACATTTATAAGGTATAATAAATTTTCGGTCACGTTGTATATATGTATGTGAATAGTCAATATTAATGATTCTTTGAATTTTTATCTAAAAATGCATGGAACCAAAGACCGCGATAAGAATCACGTGAGTCAATCTCACATGCGGTGGTAGTGATATTAATACCTTATCCTTATTCATTGGCACGCGCAAATTGGGTCGCGAGTTGCCAAGCCTGTGGGAAACCGCTACAAAATATCCCCTATTAAATTCGATAGGGACACCCGGGAGTGCCTTTCTATCGATTCTCGTAATGGCATTGGTTATTTTTCTAATTTTCACAGTATCCGCGATAATATCACATACAATATATTAAAAAAAATATTACATAAAAATAAAATAATTGCAATTAGATTGATTCTGAAAAAATATATAACTAATAAAGAATATGTTAATAAAATTTGTATCTCGAAACAATTTTAAAAAACATTTTTCAATAGAATAAGAAAATAACAATCTGTTTGTGTATATTATTATATTATACATATATTGTAATATATATTGTAATGAGTTGAAGATAGATACAATTAATTATTATTAATCTTAAATACGAGAAAAAATTGATATATTTAGAAGAAATGATAAATGATGCATTAGTGAAAAACTTTTCCCAAACAATCAACTTTCGATTAGCCGATCTCCGTCATTCGAGAAGCATAAAAAAACGTGAGCCCTGCTTACTATACATTAAGGGTGAGAGAGCGGCTACCCCCTGTCGTCAAGTGGCCACCGGGTTGTTTTATTATGACACCTCGGGAGGGTGCTACAGATTTTCCAGTAGGATGCGCCGGGGTGTCATCGTCGCAGCCCGATTAGATGATCGTATCATTCTTGATGTTCATTCGAGCGCCATTACGAGCCAATCTGCGTGGGACCTGGTCTTGATCTGATCCTGAATAAATCCAATACATGATGATTATTTTTAGATATTCTTAATAGAAAAATTATAAACTTTAGATTCTGTGATTAATATAAATTCTATTATTTCAAATTTTTTCAACTCTAAAAAATTAGCAAAATTTGTATGCAAAAATAATTTCAAGGAAATTGATGGGAAGAGCAACTATAAGTATTTATATAAACTGTAATATGTTTTCACTACTATTGTTTATGACATTGTTTAAAAATAATTCACAATCGTGATAAAGATATATTACTATAATATCTCAAGAATTGAATATATAAAGGATGATATACATATATATACATATAATAAAAATAAAAATTAAGAAGGAAAAAGAGAAAAGTTGAATAATTTGCAGAGCATATGGTCAATAAAACATCGTTCGTTTTCCTAAAAGTTACTCATCACCTTATCATGAGGAACAAAAAGTTGTTCTAGTTGGACGACAAGAGCGATAAGATAAAACTACGAGAGACTTGACACGCATCATTCTTTATGCAAAGCAGGAAATATCTTCGAAACACATGGCAATGAGTCGAAGCAGGAAAAGAGTGGAGACAGATTCGTTCTTTTTGCATACGTAGATACACGTGCACTGAAAGATAACAAGCAATATCTTGCAGCTGTCTCTATTATTCCATGTCTATTTAAAGCTTAAATATGCGATTTCGTGCAATTTAGCAATAGTATACTGATTACATAAATTGTAACAAGTGTTTCTAATTAAATTTGAAAATGTTAATAAAAAGCAAGAGCACGATACATAAAAAAAGGTCAAAAATGTATATAATAAAAATAAAAAATATAATAAATATGTATATGTAAACAATAAAAATACATATTTCCTACATATTTATTATAATTTATTACAATAAACTATTTATTTACTAAATGTAGAAACATTGCTTGTGTGCGTGTGCGTATATGTGCACGATGCTAAATAATTTTAAATATAAATTATTTAATGCCCGACTCCCTTTCAGATATAATAAATATGGCACCTTAATCTCAGAATAAAAGGCATATAAAGGACACGTGCGTTACCCTCGATTGTCAAACACGTGTCCGATCATAAAACGGATAACTTTTTCTACATTGCCAATTAATCCATCATAGATACAAAAATTGCTTGTAATTTAAAAGTAAAATAAATTTTATAAACTCAGAATATGCTTTCTACAAGCTTTTTTACTTGACAATCTCTTAAATGCCGATGGTTTAATTTACACATAATAAATCAAAAAAATAAGATACATTTTTTTTATTACTGTTATTATTATCGGAATTCTTTAAATTATTAAATTATTGTTTTAAACTAATATAGAAAGATAATTGATACTTAATCTCTTAACAATCATAAATTATACAAAATTATGAAAAGTATGAAAGTGGCAGTTCTTACTACGTGCTACAATGTTACGTATAACATCTTTCGAGCAAGAATATATTACGCAAATCGCGAATCAATTCCGAATGAAGCATGATCTCGCGTTTTTACTGGATATATGAAGATATGATCCGCGTGGAGAACGTCGATACAGGGATGCTGGATGGAGCACGGATGGGACGGACCTGATACGAGCTCCACCCATAAGCCTGCGCTCCGCCCTCGTGAAATTCATTTACCCGGAGGGTTACCCTGGACTCGCCACTAGTCAAATCGTCTCTTTCAACATCGGTGTTACTCTCCATCACGATCGCAATGTGAGCTAGAGATCTCGTTCTTCAAGTCAATCTGTAGCATTTAATTTTACGGTACTATTAGCCTTTTTTGTGCGCGACATGGTGAGTATTAATTATTTCGTGTGTGTTTGTGTGTAATGATTATCTGTGATCGCTCAAAAACGTGTGTTCTACAAATCTTTCCATTTCTATAATTATGTGGATCTCAAGATGTGATTATGTACAAGTGTTTGTGAAAATATGTGACTAGAATGTCACAATTGTTTATCGTAGACAGTTTAAAGAATCCTGTCCTTGATTATGATATAATAATTGTAATACATAAAAATTTCATTTGTTGACTCATTATTATTATTACAAGTCAGTTTTCAAAGATCTTATAGATATTATATTGACATTCTTAATTGATAAAAATACAATTTAAATGACAAATCACATCCCTTCTAGATTTATGAATTTTTTACATTAACAGGGAATCACGTATTTACATCATGGATAGATATTTTTAACGAAGAATAATTTGAAATAAGAAATAGTATTAATATATAAAAAATATTAAAAGAAGGCGCAAATATACAAGCGGAAATGCTTCCTTCTTCGTATAAATAAAACTGATATACGAACAGCAAGTGCATATAATGACTAATGCCATAAAGATAATTCGAATGGCACATATATCTGTTGAATGTCAGGGACAATTAAAGAAAACGTGGTATCAACTTCCTGTTAGCGTTATGTAGGCTAATTATATTCGAAATTTGTCGACATTGCCCATCTAACAAACTTGCTTTATTATTCTTGTTACTGTGGAGACTTTATTCTTGATTTTTTACGAATCAGTTTTTAAAATAAGCTTATAGAGTATAGAATTAGTGTATAACTGTAATGAATTTTGAAGCTGTGATAAACGTAATACAATAATCTCTACATGGTTATTCGTTTCGACGGAAATGGAAACGTGATGAATGACATTTACGAATGATAGAGTAAAACTTTGATTGCATACATTCATCATGTTTGTTCATACTTATCTATCCTTGCAGCCAATGTTAACGTACAGCGGCTGCGGAATAGGAGTCGCGGATGCTGAAAATGGCTCCCCAGCTGGATCGTTACTGTCCGGCGAGGGAGAGCTTCCGGAAGAAGCCGGCGATTCTCCAGGTACATCGAGAGACACCGAAGAAGAAGCGACACTCTCCGATGAATTCTATTCTCACGACACCGACGACGAGGAAGATCAAAGCAAAAGACGCCGGGATCGTTCTAGTTCCGTGAGCGAGATAAAAAATCTTTCCCTGCTAAATTATAAAATTTCAAAAGAATACAAAGTAAATATAAAATAAATATAATTATAAAATAAATATAAATATAAAATAAACAGAAAATAAATATAAAATATAATAAGTTTTACCATAATCTCTCCAAATCTGTGGAATATCAAGACAACAGAATGTTGACTTAGAGATAGTTCAATGAAATTCATAATAATCTCGTAGCTAGACGGCATTTCGTCTTCTGGAAGTGGTCATTTGGGATCGCCTACGCCTCGTGTAGGTCACTTGGGAGTCAGAAAGTTATTCACCAACAGTCGCGAACGATGGAGACAGCAGAATGTGAGCGGCGCCTTCGCCGAGCTTCGCAAATTGGTGCCGACGCATCCGCCGGACAAGAAACTGTCGAAAAATGAAATATTACGAATGGCAATAAGGTAACTTTCAGCTTAAATAAATATTAAGTATAAACAGATATTAATATCCATCAGTTTCAGTCATATATTTTTTTAATAACTTGAGAAAAAAAGACAAAAGTATTTCCTTTGTTTTTAAAAATAATGAAAAAATATAAAGATTTGCATATCTAGATATATATTCTCGAATATTAAAAGAAATGTTAACAGAAGTGTGTGATATATAATATAGAGACATTTTTCAATAATATTTTAATAAGGAAGAGAAAAATTAAAGAAGAAAAAATTTTGAATTATCTGATATTCAAACTTGAAATGATAATAAATCTTAATTTCGTAGATACATAAGATTGCTAAGCAATGTTCTCGAGTGGCAGAAGGGTCAGGATCGCAATGGGATGCAGCAGCACGACGTGCGCATCAAATGCGAATCGCATTTGAACAATCAAAATTCCGTGGCGTATCACGCGAAGCCGGCCGTGGCATTTCTGAAACAGGAGAAGCAGAACGTGTCGGAGAATTCTCACGTTTTTCGCGTTAATTATTCCGCGCAGAGGCATAACGCGACGTGCGACAAGAACGGCAGTAGTTTGCTGATGATTGCATCGACCGGGCTCAACGTGGCTATTCCCACCGGAAAACGCTGTGTCACACCTTCCATCATTGTTACCCAAGGCAACTTTCATAGGTAAATTTTGACGTTAGTTTAGTTCTCTGTAAAAAATATAAGAATTAGAAAAAATCCGTAGATATTTGATTTTTTATAATAGAGTACCAAAGTAGCAACCATACGTCATTTTGACGTTGAATGACGTTAGTTTGCTACTTGAGTAGATCATATTCGTTATAAATATTTATTGTTTACAACTTTGTAATATCTACAACAGCAACAACAATGGAAACCTTATACGTTCTCCATCGGGCGGACGGTCCTTGAGTTTCCCGAAATCACCGCAGATCTCATCGAACACCAATGTAATATCCAACGGATCCTCACCGTCTTTGACGAGTCATGCACCAGTCACGAACGGGGTAGGTTCGAGCGGGTCAAACTGTGCTCAGAAAAGATTCAAGATCGAACGAGAAGATGACGAGCAGACTTCGAGGGACTGCCGAGTCCCGCCACCACCCGCTCACAGTGTACCGGTCAGGAAGAGAGTCAAAGTCGCCTTTGTCAAGGACTCGAATTCAGGATTCCGCGGTGATTTGTGTGGCGCGGATCGCAAATGAAAAGCATTGGTGAGAGATACCTGTTTATGAAATAATCAATTTCATTTTAAGCACATAACATACATTGTGTAAATATTGTTTTCTTGCTGTATTTGACAATAATACGATATAAAATCGAATAACTGAATTTTTGAGATGGAGATTTTGAGTTAATATATATCTACTATATAAAAATTTTATCCCCAATTAATTAAACTTTAAACATATATTTTAATTCGTAGAAAACATGTTTTTGTTATATAATTCTGTATTGATTTAATAAAAATTTTGTCTTGTTATAGAAAGAATATTTTGCTAAAAATATCTTATTAAATGTTCCGTTCTGTGGAACATTAAACTAACATGTTTCCAATTTTTTTAATATTTTGATTATTAGAACTGTAACGTGAACAGATTTATAAAATACACTTTTGTTAAAGACAAATTATTTGCTGAAAAAATGGATTAAAAGAATAGCTAATTCAGTGAAATATTTTATATCTAGATGGCAAAGGGGACGTGTTCCTCAAAGAATAGTTTATTATGTATTTTGCGTTACACACCGTTTGTATTAATTATTATATCGCAGTTACGCTTTGGACAGTGACATGAAAAACACGAATAGGAAACTTCTGATTACGTAGTAAACCGTTGTAAATTTGTTACAAATACATTTCATTTATCAGGCTTCCGTGTCTCCGTTGATCGTAGATGCTATATTATTGTAGAGCTCTGTAACAGAATATATTGAGTTTCGTACATCCATCCGTTTACATATCGTATTATTATACGTTGAACACAGTAAACGATAGTTGAACAGTTATCTATAGACAACGGATTCCATTGTATATTCTTCGATAATTTATATCTTATTTCATATTCACCTTCGAGATAATTTATATCTTATTTTATATATTTACTTTCGTAAATAACTTATCAATCTTTCCTCGTCTTCATACGACAAAAATGATGGGACATTGTCCAACATAAGACTATTTTGACACATTGAATATCGTCGCAGTAAACTTTTTATACAACATATTTACACTTACAAATGTTATTAGAAGAAATCCATCTCGTCGCACAGCTGTTTTTTCCTCTGTTTCACCTACATCGAGAGTTATGTACTTCTGCACTTGTACCTTTTGTCCGTAAACTTTAATCGAAAACTCTGCGAAAGCGGTGTTCGTCTCGCGAAACAACCGCTCTCGCAGGCGTTCCCTACGTCAGGTATACTTTGTATCTGGTGCTGTCTCGCTCTTCCGACGACAGCTTCTTGGGGACGTATCGCTCGTCGTTAAACTCAATCGGCGGCACCGGGGTGGACGGTCGTCGCTCGTCGCTCTGGCTGAAGGCTCTCCTCGGCGGCGGCTCGTGGGTTTTCGCGCTTTTGCACTCAACGCTGCCCCGTTTATCGAGGTTCATGCTGACGTAACTGGCGTCGCTGGCGCGCGGATCCCTCTTCGAGAAGTCCACCTCTACGTAGCTGACACGCGAGTCGCGCAATCTCGCACTCACGTCTGAATTTCGCATGTTCTCCTGGTTCACCAAAGGTCTCCTCGTCGGTGTTTCCGGTTGATTTCGCCGTCTGATCGTCGGCGATTCCAGCGGTTGCCGGGACGCACGTCGAACCTTCTCATCGTAATCGTCCGAGTATGTGCGTCCACGAGCTCGATTACGAGCCCGTTCCATATTGCGATCCTCGCTGTATCGCACCCTGTCATTGAACCTCCGTAGACGCTCGTCCTCCTGTTCGTTCGTGAACACCTCGCTGGCATCGTGAACACTGCGCTTTGGATATGGTCGTCGTCTGTCGTCCTCCTCCTCCTCATCGACTTTGGTCTACGAAAAGTACAAGGCAAAAGAGATGTATATTGACTCCATAAAGCGTATATCGTTTAATAAACTTGAATTCGCGTACCTTGAATATATCGATTCTGTCATTGAATTCCAAATCTTGACTGTTTCTGCGAACCGGCCGATAATTGCCTCTTTCCTCTTCGCTGCTACTCTTACTGATCCAAGCGTTATCGCGCTGAGAGGTTCCCGCTCTCTTTGGCCACTCGTTCTCCGTCTTGAAATCGTACAAATCTCGCATACGTTGACTGAGTTTGTTCGCTCGTTCGTTAGCATCGACAAAACTCGAAGAGCGATCTCTGCCGACATCCAACTCGTCTGCAATTAAATATCGCAGCATGAATGGAGACGTCTATAAAAGTTCTTGTACATTTTATGTCTTACCTTGTCTTTGTAAATATCCTTTTTCGTTCTTCGCTGGTGAGAACTTTCTGGAGGGTTGCCACTTAGAGGCATCCGCGTCCTTGCACGACTCTTCGTCCTTTTTATTGTGCTCCGAGGAATCTCTTCTGTCGGGATTTTTTGGTGTGGGATTGGGTGATGGACTTTTGGCGGAGGTTATCCATCGGGTAGCCGCACTCTGTGTAATCTCACAGCTGTCTCTTGCGAGAGGAGACGACTCTCGGCGAAACTTTCCACCGTTAACTTGTGGTATCCACCTAAAAAAAGATCAGATGTTCCAGGTCGAATCTTTTGTTTCAAAATCAGCATTTACTACTTAATCTGCACATATAAAGCAAAAACCTCGAGTCTCAACAAAAGGCTAATATTATTTATGATTAACAATCGCAACAGATTACTTGTATCAAGAACACTTAGTTGTAATTAATTATTAAATTAGAATTCGCGAGAAAGCTATTACAGATTCACAAAATCAATATCAATTATATTCATGCACATTTGTAGGAATTTTTAACTCACAAAACTGTTCTTCCAATTAATTCCATGGAAATAATTATCCCATGAAAAAGGGAAGAAGGAAATACATTTAAACATTGAGATATTTCAGTATTCTATACAATGGAAAGTTGTATCGTTAATTAGTTACTTTTATCAATCTATTTGGAATCGCGACGAATCACAAACATATACGAGGAGCGTCACAACGTGAAAAAATATTAGCGACTAGTTCCGGTCGGTGGAGCAAACCAGGCACCACTATGTTTTCACGTTGGATCATTCGACAATGTTACATCGACCAACGTGAATTTCCATCAACAAAATCGTCCAAAACTAACTCAAAATCGCTACAAACAGGAAGAGACGAACACGGAAGAAAGAGAGCAGAGCTACAACATCTGACCGAAACTAGACGCCATTACCCGTTGGAGGCTCCGTAACGACTATCAATCGCGTCTACGAATCTCAACTACAATCCCGATCAGAGCATTTCTCGCTTTTGGACATGGAAAATGTGTGTGGTCAACCTCGTGGCGATGGTACGCGGATCGCTGCAGTCCGTGTGTCTTCGCTGTTCGACGATGCTCTTTTCGATGTGCCTCGTGGCGGTCACGTCGGTGCTGTAACTCCTGGAGGAGGGTTGAGATCGACCGACGCTCTCGGGCTCGATCCTGGCGTATCGATTCTCAGCTGACGTAGTCGTCGTCTCGTCGATGCTTTCCTGCCGCTCGTCCCTCGACGCTCTCTTGATGGCCCCGGGTGATTGCAGCCCCCGCGGCACGTATCTCGGCAACGGCATCCATCTCGTCGTGTCCAATTTACTGGAGTCGGTGATCTCGGTGTGCCGTCGATCTTCCACGCGACGTTCCGTGTATTTCTTCAAGCAATCTACATCTGCACTGCGGCTACGCTGACTGCGCGGTGATCGAGATGGTCTTCGTTGTTGCCCATTGTTCGGGCCAGCCCTTTCCTAAAGTTTTTAGGCGAATGTATCGAGAGAATTATGTGCTTTGAAGTAAATGCTTTTTCGTACACAGAACAGATTTGAACGATATTTTCGTGCTAGTTTAAAATTTGTGAGCTGTCACTTTATCTAGGATAGAAATAATAGACAAAAAAATAATATTATGGAATCTATAATAAAAAACTTCGATCAATTGTGCAATTAAAAAACATGCATATATTTGATAAAGGTCTTTTGTTTTTTTTTTAATTTTTAAAGATGAGTATCAAAATCATGTATTTTTTTAGCAAAGAATTTAAATTAAGTATACGCATTTTATATTAATAAAAGATTTTTCTTGTATAAATATGTAATAATAATTTTTGTTATCAATTTATAGACAATTTTATAAACATCTTATTCTAATAAAAAAATTGTTTTTATTACACAAGAAGATAGAGGAAGTGGGATAAGAAGGGATAAGTCATTTAATAAACTCCTAACAATTACTTTGTCAATAATTCAATTTTTTCGATATAAAATATTCTCCGATAAATACATGCGATATCATCATCAATCAATGTATTTATTAAAGAATTCAAAAATAAGGAATGAGATATTTTTCGCATTTTTTTTGATTAAGCAAAAGTATGGACAGCTGCATGAAGGCAATATCGTTTATCATTTCACACATCAATTACGATTACAAAATCGAACTTCCAGCAAAGAAGACTGGCGCTGGCAAGGAGGCGCGTGTCGGATATTACCTAAGTAAGGTGAAGCCTTGCGTAATCGGATATGTGCAGAATTCCGTGCTCCGCGGATGCGATGTGCAGGCTGGCGCCGCACGCGCGAGGATTGATTCTGGAATTATGCAGCTCGGTTATTTGGGTGCTGCATGCCGCCGCTGGATCGCCGCTGGATTCTAGAAAATTATTCCAGAATTCGTTTCCTGCAGAGAACACAAGTAAAAAATATTTTGCATAAAATCTTCCTGCCAGTATAATAACGAGTTTATTAAGTACAGCATTGCAATTAATAGAATAATAAAAATTACGGGGAGAAAAATTTCTCTTGGAATTTATTCTGAAAATCATGGTAATCGTGTGACAATATGATATTGGGAGAATTTTATAAGAGTTTCTCTGATTAACATTTATCACAATAAAAATATTAATATGTACATAGTAAAATTAATCGAACATATTTTATATTCTATTGTGGTATAATATTAATATTTTTTATTGTAATAAATATCTTTTAATCAGAGAAACTCTCATAAAATTCTTCTAATACCGTATTGTGCCACGATTATCATGATTTTCAGGGTAAATTCTAAGAGAAAATTCTTCGTGCAACAATATAAACAAAAAAATTAAATAAAATAATCAGAATGTTTATAAATACCTGGCAACGCGTTTCCATCCCAGGCATAAGTGACAATGAGCAATTTGTTCGCGTCGTTAGCTCGAAATAGCCTGCTGTGTGGTTCTCTTAAGGCGAAATGAATTTTTATATCTAAAAATTTCATTTATTCAGAGAAGAAAGAATGTTTATAAATATTACTTACTATAGGAGATACAATTATTATTTACTAACCGCCCAGATAATCGCCGTTTCCTGCGCCGCCACATTTCTCCTGCCGAAAGTAAGAGAACATGATGTCAGAAACGTACTTGAGCTTCTTGTTCATCTTTTTAAGCGCGATTTCGAACGTTTTCAGGAAATATACTTCTTGATCCGGAATTATTTTCCAGACACCTAAAAAACGTCATTTAATTAATCGATTAGCTCGAAGAGAAACATACATAATGACTTTAATAATTTATGAATATAAAGTTCAAACTTAATTCGGTTATAACGATGAGATAATTGCCACTAACCGAGGCCAAAACCGACCACGTGCAAGAAAGCGGTCGTGTTTTGCTTCTCGGCGCGAGTGTTTGCCTCAAGCAATATTATCTCTACGGAAAGCAGGGTCCTCTTCATGTAATTCTCGATATCGAAGATGATCTGGCTGGTTAACGACAGGTAACGTCTGTTGTCTTTCGATTTAACGCGTTTTACGGTTTCCTCGTAGAGCGGATGATAATCGGCGCCGTAAAACTGCGCCCATAAAACACACATCCCGCGTTTCTCTTCGGACGCACCATCCTTGGCTCCATATCTATCTCATATAAATTGATTCTATCAAGAAAAAAATTCACTTCTATGATGTAAGAAAGGAAACTTTACACACACACACACACAAGTTACATAAAACGTTGTATTAAATTTGGCTACCGTCTCCCGAAAGAAATGCTGCTGCATCTTATATCTTTATTATAATCACAATAATGACGATTAAGCAAAAACATCGAGATATCTGACGTCCTAGCATAATGAGAATTTGATTTTTAAATCATTAAGCGTCGCTATTACAATTTTTATCCTAACGAAACATAATTATTGCGGAAAGTTGTTGCTTACCCGTTCTCTACATTGTTTTGTAACGGCATGATGAGAATATCCTGATATTCCATAAATCGGGGCTTTTCGAATCTACGTGATAGATAAAATGGCACACAATTATACATTTATTAATAAAATATTATAATAAATTTTATTCTCTTTATAGAATCTCAATAGAAGATAATTATATGTATATACAAGAAAAAATAGAAATAAAAAAAGAGGTAAAAATATCTCGTTAAGAATTATCGGTATTTTTTTTGTGACGATTTCAACAATCAATTATAAGAAATTTTCGCAGGTATAAATAATCGCACGCGCGAAGGTGATAAAAATAGAACACGCAATGTGCACAGACACGACAAGATGAACGTGTCGCAGTAGTTCGCGCGTATAAAAATATTTCCGCAGAAGGCAGGGTTAAATAAAATGCATAAAAACCTTGTGCCTACGACACCCATAATAACCCCACGAGGTTGGATTGCGTCTGGGTCACTGCTCACGATACCTCTATTCTTTCGCGAGCCGTCGTTTATGAATTCCGTGTGAGACGACATCACCATCATCGCCGATAATTTTATCTCATCGTAACTCAAGCAATTTTTCAGGACCTATTTGTCAAATAGTAAAGATGATTAACTCAGCGACATCAAAAGGATAGATTTACCTATCGCAACATCAAAAGGATAGAAGATGTTTGACGTATTATAAGGAAAAGGTAACTCTACATTATTTTTTAATATCTTATATATATATTATCTTTAAACTTCCAATATTGGTAAACATATGTGACGTTATATCGATATACAGAGGAAACTCAATAGACTCCAATCAAGTGCAAAATAAAGATGGAGAGATGAGAATTTTTTATTAAAATATTATTATATATACAAAAACAAAACTGATGTATTTCTAGAGTTTTGATTATATTTAATTCATTCAGCGATTGAAATAGAGAGAAATTTGTGATCATAATATATTTCTATTTATTTGATACTTTATATAATTTGCTTAATTGGAGAAATTTCAGAATATATAACTTTCACACACATGTAAAACAATTCTCATATAATTATTTTCTACATTAAAGAGAAACGTAATAACACATTTTTGTTGTAATATTTGTTATATATTGATTTTTATTTTGGTTACTTATATCATTATATTAGTTAAATATTTATTATAATTTTAAATATTATATATATAATATAATTTTAATTTATAAACTATTTCTTTTATTTAATTAAAAACAGAATATATACATACCAATGGTTCCTTCTCATTGTTTGTACCAACGCTTTCCCATCCGTCGACGCCGCTCTTGTTGTCAATTAATTTCCATCGATCATTATTACCTAAAAAACAAACAGCCCTCTTTTCCAGCAGGCGATGAATAAATTCGCTGAGGGTTATATCCTTGTATAAAGCTTTCTCGACAGCGCTACCATACAACCGCTTGTGTTTCAACCATCGAGCAATCAAGGGCAGCATCGCCTCGTGTATCAGCGGATATGTCGAATTCGCGTTGAACTGAATGAACAACGAAATCGAAAGATATCGAATTTGCAATTGCATTGGATTTAATCAAAATTATCGTACATCGTAAGGCCTATGGCAGAGAACTAAACGTAAGTTCTTACGTCTGTAACGATAGATATAAGATAAAGTAAGGCAAAAAAAACGTATACGTAATATGTATGTATGGCAAGTGCACGATGTATATTTTGCACACACGACTTATTTAATTACGCGTATTACGTATATATTTTTCTTGGCCCTACTTTACGTCTACGACAGACGTAAGAACATACGTTTAGTTCTCTGCCATAGGTCTAAAAAATTAAAAAAAAAGAGTTCACAGATTTAAATCAACACAGAGAGAATTTTCTCTTAGAATTTATCTTGAAAATGATAATTGTGGGACAATATGGTATTGGGAGAATTTTATAATAAAATGTTACTATATATTTTAGTCAAATTTTAAATAAAAATTTTATTATATATTTTAGTAAAATTAATCAAATGTATTTTATATCTTATTGTGGTAGATATTAATATTTTGTATTGTGATAAATATTAATCAGAAAAACTTTAAAAGTTTTTTCAATACTACATTGTCCCATGATTACTATGAATTTCAGGATAAATTCTAAGAGAAAATTCTCTCTATGTACGGAATTGTAATCTCTCTCTAAGAAAGAGAAATACAAAATAATAATCTTCACAAAATCAAATAAATAAAGTAGTGTTTTCTATCGAATTTTCGAGTAGGTAATAATATCTTTTTATAAATTTTTAATCAAGAGTCTGCTACTCTTTCTAACTTATATATTTCATTTAGGTCTGATTGCACCAACATTATTTTGATTTAAGCGGGCCTTTAAATATGTATCAATCTTTAGTTTCTCTTTCTAAATAAATAAAGGTGAACACATATTTAAGTCCCGCTTAAAATCCAAATAACGTGGATGCAATCAGGTCTTAATGGATAAAATAATTCGCTGGATTTACGCAAACCTCAATGGTCTCTGGGCTGACTCCCCTGTTCCTCAGGGAGACGCATCTCATAGTGCTAATTGGAAACTTCACGGGAAACGCTTCGCTCCGCTCGATTAAATCCACAAAACTGGTCGGTGGCGGCACGGAGACATCGAGACAATTTTTCAGCAACTCTATCATGTCGTCGTCGAAGGGCACGCCATGGGGCGAGCCCAGGGTGTTCTCCCACGATATCTCCGGCGGATACCGTAACAGCATCTGTTGCCGTATTTCTTCCGCTCGTCGATTATTCTACAAAGAAATAATAAATTGATATTTTACGAAGACACAAGTATTTGCACTCTTCCTGGATTAGATAGGATCAATCAAAGGACACTAAGGATCTAATATCGAATGGAAATTTCAATTTTTAGTAAAGACGGTAAGCATGTTTTGGATATGGGCATCCTCAGAAGGGAGTAAGAGAGAGCATTTGCTCCCCCCTTTGGAAACAGTAAAAAAAAGAAAATAAAAAATAAAATTTGAAAGAATTAAGAAAGAACAAAAAATAAAAAACAAAAAAATTTAATTATGCCCTCCTGGAATCAGTAAAAAAATTAAGCATTTGCTCTCCTTTCGAAAACATTGAAATTTATTTGCATATTTAATATATATATAAAAAAAATGAAAATAACTAAAAAAGAATTTGAAAGTATTAAGAAGAAAAAATAATAAACAAAAAAATTAATTATGCCTCCTTCTAAAAAAAATCCTGCGGACGCCCATAATTTTGAAAAAGATTTTTTCGAAAAATTTACATATATTATATTTTTTAAACAGCGCGATGTGTTGTAAATAAAAATAAGAATTGAAGAAAGAAAGCAACGTAAGCTTTTGCTGAAAATTAATAAGCAAGCAATTCGTTTTTAAATGGTTAAACAAAATAATTTCGCGCGTTACATCGATGACATCGAAGCCAAGAGCTACGAAATCGATTCTAAGAAAAATTTTGCAAAACAGCAAAACGTCGTTCTATTAATACAACCCCCCGCTGATTACAGCAAGGACGCCGGTCCCTTTGACACTTGAGCATAAAATCCGTTAAGTAGCGTAAAATGTATCCGTTCATCCTAGCGAGCGGCTTGACGTTCACTCTCTTCGTGGGCGCGCATATGTGCATACGAATACGTACGCGAACGCACATATACAGACGTGAAAAAAATGCACGCATTTGTTTAACGCCCACGACGGTCCTGCAATTTACTTCATTTTACTGTTTATCGATTCTGCCACCTGAGCGATAGGGGTGAGAGCGAAGTAAAATTCACAGGTTTTCTCGCATTGTGAAACAATTGTCAATGTTGTTTATTATTTTGCTCTAGCCTTTGTACTCTTGTGAACGGAAAGCAAGGTAATGCGTATCGATCTGTTATTCTAAATTTTTATTTTTTTCTGCCGCTTAACTTATTTCATAATTAATGCATAAATACTTTATAATTAACTTATTTATTTAATATTTTATTTTTAATAATATATAATTATTTAATTAATAATATATAATTTTTAAAATATAAATATAATAAAATATAATTTTTTTTTTTAAATTATTAGGTGCACTAATAATTAAATGTGTATTAAATTTAATATTTTCATAAAAAATGTATTACTTGTCATAGATAAAATATTAATTTATCCAAAGAAACTTGTAAAACAAAAAAATTATTCAAAATTATGTATAAGATATATTTAAAAAAAACTATAATATTGTTTATGCATAAAAAAAGCGTTCAGCTATTTTGCGTTCTAATCAACAAATGTTACAGAAAAAATTTATATAATAAACAATAAAGAGGAACAATATTATAAATAAAAAAGATGCCTCCCTATAATTTCTATGCATTAAATATTAAGTATAACATATTAAAATTATAATATATAATTATAATAATAATAACGAACAATAAAAGAACAAGAATTAAACAACGAAAGTGCTGTCAATTTCGCGCATTTGACATACGAGTGGCTGATCAGCTGATTGTACTATAAAATTACAATCTTTTAATCAAATTAATACAATATATGTCAAATACACAGAGCAGAGTTGGGTAAACTAGTTAATTAGTTAAAAGTTAAAACTTAGTTAAAAGTTAATAACTTTTAACTTAGTTTAGTTAATTTAAAATGTATTCATTTTTAACTTCAACTAGTTATTTTTGACCTTAAACTTATTAACTTTTTTCCTAAGTTCATTTTTTTTATCTCTGAATATCATTATTGTTTTTTTATAAGTTATAAATTAACGTATTTTTAAATTAAGGTATTATTAATTTTTATGTTCATTTGTCATCAATTGTAAGTACCAAAATATATATTTCTATATATAAAAATCAAAATTTCTTTGTTATTATAAATTTTAAAAGAATAAACAAACTTTTAATTTAATATAAATAATGTTTCTAAAAATTAACTTTTGATTTAACTTTAGTTAATTTCATCTTAACTTAACTTTAACTAAATTAATTTTTTGTTCATGCAACTTTTAACTCAACTAAATTAATTTTATAAGCAACAAACTTTAACGTAACTTAATTTTAAAAAAACATTAACTTATCCAACCCTGCAAATACAGATAAGCAATTGAGCCTTTTATAATTAAAAGTTAGATTAATTATGTTTTTTATAAATTTCTTAATTTTAGTACGAGAATACAGCTAATTATAATTAGCGCTAATAATGTGCTCTGGTATAAAAGTTAAGAAATTTATAAGAGATGAAAGTTGACCAGTTTTTTTTCATAATTCATAGATTTTCATGATAATATAGAAATAAATAACAACTCACCTGACGAACGCAACAAGCAAATAGTGACATGCCCATAATTGTTTGCGTTGAAGGTGAAAAAGAACAAAAAACTTTGCTTCTTTTCCTCTAACGGATATTCTATTTTAGAGCGCGCAGTATCACAATTTCTAATAACAATGCGATCTCGTAATTAATTATCACGATTCGCTCATAAATCTCGTCTCTTGCAATTTTCTCAAAGTTTTAGTTCTCCTAATTTTTAGGCATGCGATCTTCTTGATTAAGCTTCTCTCAAAATCCTTCGTTATTTCTTAAGAGACAATTATATATTCACATTGCGTGTGAAACAAAATCATATCCGGGATCTATTTATAAATCGATCTTAGTCAACAATTATACACACAGAATGACGCGTTAGGTTGAAACGAACTTGCCTCGATGCGATCTATCTTAACTTTGGGATCGATGACGATCGCGGACGTCGCGTCACATTGAATTTCGCAAATAATTACGCGATGCGAGAACACGTAAACATTTCTCGCGCTAAACGACCGTGATACGTCTAAGGATGATGTGGCTGGCATCTACTGGACCGACGTCCAGACTGCGTTTAGAGAAACGCATGCGCTCCTGCAACGCGGTGCACGCGCACACAGAGAGAATTTTCTCTTGGAATTTATCTTGAAAAAATCAGGGTAATCGTGGGACAATATGATACTGGAAGAATTTTATAAGATTATATAATGCAAAATAAAATTCGGCTCGTATGCAATTAAAATATGTGATAAATTAGAAAGCCAACTTGACGAGCTATAAGGTATTAATTACAATTTTTTATTATTATACGTCATATTATAATGTTACAACTGATAAACGTTTCAACTGTACGACAGTCTTTTTCAATATCATTGTCGCTAATATGTCAAAGAATTAAATCATTTAGTTACTAAATGATTTAATTCTTTGACATATTAGCATAGCGACAATGATATTGAAAAAGACTGTCGTACAGTTGAAACGTTTATCAGTTGTAACATTATAATATGACGTATAATAATAAAAAATTGTAATTAATACCTTATAGCTCGTCGTCAAGTTGGCCTTCTAATTTATCACGAATTTTATAAGAGTTGCTCTGATTAATATTTATCACGATCAAAAATATCAATCTCTATACACAATAAGATAGAAAATATATATTCGATTAATTTCACTGTACTAAAATTTACTAAAATTTACTATGTACATATTAATTCAATAAAAAAAATTAAATTAATAATTTTTATTTCAATACTGCCTAATAAATAATTTATTTGAAACAAATAAATATTTACCTATTTTGAAAAGTATTTTCTTATATTAAATAAATATTTTTCACATCAAATCAATATTATATAGTTTCAAATAAATGATTTATTAGGCAGTATTAAATTATTTCATCTAATTCAATAAATTTTTTTTCAGAGTATTTTTTATTGTGGTAAATATATTTTTAATCGGAGAAACTATTATAAAATCCTTCCAGTACCATATTGTCCCATGATTACCATAATTTTCAGGGTAAATTCTTCCGAAAATTCTCTCCGTGCAAAGATCCGTCAATGTCTTTAAGAAGAACATAAAAGTCAAAATGATGTCACTTTAATGTCACATTAATTAAATTTAGACAAAATTTATGTCCAAATTTGATCATAATATAATGTTAAAATTATATAAATTTGATTAGTATAACGTCAAATTAACATTATTTTGATTTTCTGTTCTTCTTTGGTGTCTACATTGTACTATTATATATATATATATATTTTTCGGCGTGGCAATGAAGAAAAGCAAAGATCCTATTTGTTCGATTAAATGTCATTTGGCTCCATTTCTGCGTCATCAATCTATGCTCAATTTGTAATCAAAGTGTGCAGATCAATAAATCTATTTTGATCCATCATTTTCCCTTTCTATCTTCCTATTTTGTTGGCATCTTATAAACTTTGCAAGTAGAATAACTTTCAAAAATGTATGATGCAAGATGTTGATTAAATTCTTCAATTTCTCAAATTGCGTAAGTTATTGCAATCTTTTTGGGTTAGTGATTCGATTAATTCTTTGTGAAAAAACTATATCTTCTCACATTTTTCAAAAAATCTTTTCAAATGTGAATGTTTAATCGCTCGAGAGTAAATATAGGAATTAAAAGTGTTTTCCGGTATATAAACTTTATGCCATGTGAGGGAGCTTTCAAAGTATGAAAAACTATATAAAACCACGGCGCAAAAATTCTAGATAATAAAAATAGATATAATATACACTATTAATCAAACAATAAACCTGAAATGCAATATAAAGTATAACACAATATTTTAGAAAAGAATAAAGCATCTCTAAAAAGAAGCATATATATGCATACACACATTTTTGTATAATGGAAGCGTTAGATAAGCGTATATGTATATAAATATATGTATGTTAATAAGCAATGATTTACATGTACAACTATTAAAATGTTAAATTGCCTTTAAATGCCTTCATTGCCTACCATGACGCAATAAGTTTTGCGATAAGTTTTGCCACAACACGCTTTGCTGCTGTTCCGTCAACTAGTGACTTGACAGCCGGCAGTTGGAAAACAGGTTTGTATCGATTACAGGGACGTATCAAAACATTCGGCATGCCAAGACGATAATTTGCCTTTTAATATATTAATCAGAAGTGAAATTAAAAATTTAAATATGTGTATACAGAATCTGTTATGTATATATATTACATATACGTGTAACTGGATCTTTTCCTTGCTTTTTTGTCAAATTTTTGTATTGTTTGTATTGTTATCCTAACTTTATCGATAGCACTTCATGTTGGCTGCTGCCATCTGAGAGATCTCTTTAGCAAACCATTAATTATAATCAGCGAAATAAAGATTGGTCGTTCTTTCCTTATGAGTCATTACATTATCTATATTTTATACACTTGAGCAATTTTTATCACTTTCACAACAATTGTTTAAAACGAAATTGTTTAAAGATGCGAATGTAGAAAAGAACGATTTTATTCTGGGAAATTTTGAAGTATAATAAATTTATAAAATATATAAATATATATAAAATGGTTATAATAATAGCTTCAATATTTTAATATATGACATATTTATAATTTATTGCAGAATATATTTCTCATTAAGCAAATATACAATGACCGCATCCTTTTAAAACTTCAATATTCCCTTTAAATTGAGATCTAGAGATCTCGGTATAAAAAAGTGAAAATCAATTCAAATTAAATTGCATTTAAGCAGGGATATTGCAGTGAGTCTTTAATTCAACTTATGCCTAAGAGTAGTAAAATTATTTTCTAACTTCTCTTTTTCTTACTATTACTGCAAGTGATAAAAATGTGTCTCATTAAATATTAGAAGAAATTAAATAATTTGTGTACTTTTTTCGGTAAATTTTGATTGATAAGTGAACAAATAAAACCGAGTAAAACACCGCGAATTAGAAATTTGTGTGAACAGTCGACATCTGTGAAACATTATAGAAAGTACGAAGTCAAGGAACAAACGGTAATATTATTCTCGTCACAACAATGTAGATTATAAATAACAATTTAATAAAATAATAAATCTATCATTTGTATAAATTCAAAATTTTTTCGCGCAAATTGTCTAAACTACACACACACATATATATATATATATATATATATATAATTATTATTTAAAAGAATATATTATGCATAGATAGTATTATTTTCGATATTAAGAGTTTTTCAAAAAGTAAATCATTCAATTTAGCAACAGTAAATTAAATATAATATTAGTGACAAAATGAATTATTAGATAAAATCGCGCGCGCGCGCGAGAAAGTATATAGGAATTTATGATAAAACTGATATAAAATGCTATATAATATTACTACAGTGAAGATACAGAGACGATGACTAGCACATTTTTAAAGATTTCTTTTATCTTTGTAGTAATTAAAATAAGAGATAAAACAAGATTGTATACATGACATTTGAAAATTTAATGACAAAGGGTTGATAAAATAATCTCGAAGAATGCGAATAAACGGTACATCTTGCAGCGCAACATTATATGCAAACCGGAACCGGTTTTATCAATTTACATCGTCCGGTAAAAGTAAACCGCATGCCTATAATATAAACAAAGTGTATAAAATAATTTCTAATCGTCTTGTTAAATGCATATTTAGCAATTTCTCTTCGTAAAATCTCAGACGCTGAAAACTCGTTAAACCGTGCTTCTCTTTATCGAGAACACGAATTAATCTTTCCAATTCTCGAATTAAGAAAGATTTAGTCATCTCCAAACTTGGCTCTGCCTCATTATGCTATAATAAAAGAGAAACGAATTAAATATTTAATTATACACATATAATATCTTTATAATAAAATATGACATTTTATTTACTATAAATGTAACAACGTATATATATATACGCGTTTTTAGCTTAAACAATTATAATATAAACGATGATATATAAGTGATATAAATGAAAATGAAACAAATATATATTAATGATTCAATTTTTGTGAATGTCAAAAATGGCTGGAATAAGAAAGAGAAATTTGTATGTTGAATGTTCTAGTATATACGTACCATTTCCCTGGAGATCGACGGTCTCTCTAATTCGTTCGATACCGTTTACACTTTTTTTTTATTTTACGTTTGCGGTCGACGCGACATTGGCAGTACGCGAGGTAGAATGCGAGGAAGAATGACAAAAATACACCACGATAAAACTCAGGTGAGCGACGAATGGTGAACGTACGGTACGTCGCGTCGTGCCGTTTTGGTGTCGCTAATCCCTCTCTCTTTCTCTCTTCTGTCTCTTTTACTCTTAGTGTAACTCAGTGCCGGATTAGTGAGTGTTTTAGCAAAATATTGACACCAGAAAAAAACTTGAAAAAATCCTAATAATTTTTCTAGTGAAAGATTTGGTCATTTAAAAATAATGCAATTCAAATAGAGCCCATGATATAATTTGAAATATATGTTTATGAAATATACGTTCTAAAAAGAAATTTTAACTTATAGTTTGCTACTTTTACACTGTACCGTTATCTTTTTATATTTTGCATTTGAAAAAAAATGCACATTCAGACACATTGGGAAGAAAAAGATTGAAAGAGAAAAATAAGACGTCATAAAAGATAAAGAGAATATACATAACGAGAGAATATATATTATGATTCAGTTGAATATTTATTAACATATATACATGTATCAATCAAAAATTTTGGTTTTTTATTTCCTGAAAAGTATTCGTCTTCCTACACAGAGAGAATTTTCTCTTAGAATTTATCCTGAAAATCATGATAATAGTGGGACAATACTAGAGAAGAATTTTATAAGAGTTTCTATGATTAATTTACCACAATAAAAAATATTAATAATCTCCACAATAAGATATAAAATATGTTTGATTAGTTGTATTACGTACAAACATATTAATATTTTTTATTGTGGTAAATATTTTAATCAGAGAAACTCTTATAAAATTCTCCCGATATCATATTGTCCCACAATGACCATGATTTTCAAAGTAAATTCTAAAAGAAAATTCTCTCCGTGTATAATTAATTATCTTTCTCACAAAATTCTCTTGCTAAAGATATTCATCGTTAACGTCTTTCATCAATCTTACTTTACATTTATTACAATAATTCTTCAATTTAAAAATGCGATTTTAAATTAATATTGTCCAAGCAGGTATAGAATTCAGCATTCGAGCATCACTCAAAAAAATAAGCTACCATAGCTAAATTTTAGCTGTTCCTATGAAATTTAGTTGTCATATTTAAATTTTAGCTACGATAGCTAATATTTGACAGCTATAAAATTCTTCGTTAAACTATAGCTAAAAAATATGAGTTCCCACAGCTAAAATTTAGACGTGATAATGAAATTTCAGGTTGCAATATATAGAAGCAGCTATGGCTAATTTTGTTCCGCGCAGGCAGACTCGATTGCGAAGATAGCTGAAATGATGATAAGGAGACGCCACGTAAGGAAGGGTATCGGTATCGAGTGGCGTCATGGATCGTTGCTACGAGCCTGAGCTGGTCTCACGACTGAGGGCCTTTCAACTCGGCCCGTATTTCTCGTACAGTCTCTTGCAAGGTGTGGTTCTTGACGCTATATAGAGACGGAAGTATGCCGCCGCGGGATCAACAAGTGTCGTGCGAGATCCACGTCCGGCGAACGATCGAGTCAGTGTCGCGTCTCTCCTCCTGAGCGAGTCTCTCGCTTCCTCGAGGTCGGCAAGAGAAAGAGAGCAGCCGCGCGATTAAAACGCGAGTTTGCGCGTCTCTTCCCGAGTGTGCAATTTATCGAACTCTCGATCGCGGCGGAGACCAGCACCAGGACGACGCGATTCGCGAGTGTCGAACCGGACCCGTCCGACGTTGGAGAACGGACGATCGACTCGGTTCAGGTGATCCCGGTTCTGGTGTCCCATCATTCGTGAAGATCGAATTAGTGCACGCGTGACAGCCGGTACTCGCACGCACACGTGACCCCGACGCGAGTTTGTTTGGCGCGCGTGTTACACGCTGTGGTGAACGTCAAGGATCTACGACTGCAGATATGAGAATCAGTGAGTACCTGTGCGCGATGATCGCGGATTTTATTCTCAAATGGGATTTCGTTCTCAAATCAATTACTCATGATTTTTACGACACTCTACACAGAAACAAATATATGTACACAGAGAGAATTTTCTCTTGGATTTTATCCTGAAAAGAGTAAATAAAAATATTAATATCTAGTACAATAAGATATAAAATATACTCGATTAATTTTATTACGTACATAGTAAAATTTACTACGTACCTATATTAATATTTTTTATTGTGGTAAATATTAATCAGAGAAACTCTTATAAAATTCTTCCAATACTATATTGTCTACGACTGCCATAATTTTCAGAGCAAATTCGAAGAGAGAATTCTCTCCGTGTACACATACGAGAGAAAAATGCAACATTTATAAAGGCAGGATTTTTTAATCCTTGGAGAAGGTAAAATTGATCCTCGGTTCACCAGTTTTGAAGAATTAATGTTCGCGAACACGTTGAGTTCTTTAACCTAACTGTGATCGAAGAAAGAATAGATGTGACACGATTGCTTAAAAATTTATACCCTTGGAATACTATCTTTTCTAAAAGCATGTCGAGGTTCGCGGAAACATACGTTATCCGCTATCACCTATTTCCACATAGTTTCCAGTATCTATTTAAAGCTTCGTAAACAAACTTGTCCCTTGCTTTTTTTCTAACGAACCAAATAAGACCAGCTGTCGAAGATCTCAAGCCTTTTTTTATATCGCGATAATCTTCCTTTAAAATTAATTAACGGTCCCTCATAGATCACTATTTTTCATCTAAGGATTAATAGTTTTCTCTTATTAAGAAATATATTTTAATTTTGCGTTTTCTAATTTTTATTCAAGATATTCTTGTAATTTATAATCAAAATCTAAATTGTTTAAGTTAAGAGTTTAATCTAAATTGTTTATCATATTTTTCCTAAACAATAGTCAGAAAAATTAACATCTCCAGAATCGATGATCTAGACTCTAGACTTTAGACGATAAAAAAAGTAATGTCTTTTTTTACGAGTTTTCTTTATAAATCAATTATACATGTGTAAAAAAAATTAATATTGCATCAAAAGGCTAAATCGATAATGGACACAAAAAATTTCTATGTCGCATATATAATGCACTATATATATATAAGTGATTAATCACATAAATGACGCTGAAGACATAATTGTATTATTGAAAAACATATCTGTCAGTATTAATTATTATTAATTTTTGACAGAAAGAGAGAACGTTTTTACGACAATTTTTTGTTCGAAGCTAACTGAATCATATATATATATATATATATATATATATATATATATATAAGATGCAAAATTAAAATGGGAAGATAACTTGTGCATCAAAATACACATGGATAGACATTTTAAAATTCATGAAATAGCCTTACGAAGAAAACTCGTAGGAAATATTCATAAGAAATTCAGTCGCTACTTCTTCTGTCCGTTTCAGAATTCTGAATATAAACGTGACGATGATCCAAATCTTTTCGCTATACAAAGATTAATCTTGTAGATATTTCGTAAAATCATTATCTTTCATATGTTTCCCTCCCTTCATATCTCACATTTATATCATTACATATATAACAATTATTAATCTAACGGGTCATATATATTTATAATTATTTTATATATTTTTATATGAAAATATATATTTTATATTTTTATATAAATATATATATATATATACATATATTTTTATATAAAATATATATGTATAATTTATATTTTATATATTTATTGAATAGCCTTCATATACAGGCTATTTAATAAATCTTCTCATGTATAATTTAAAAAATTTGTACAAATTTGTTAGAGAGAAGGCTTATTAAGCAGTTTTTCTTTAATTCGGGTCTTTGAACGTCATGATCGATGAGTGCGCGTTTATCTGTGCAACGATAAGCGGAAAATCGAGTGGATCTATTGACTCTGAAGTCCTTCGATCGTTCTAGGGCTGATTTCTCCGACGTCAATTAACTTGAATCGCGAGGCAATCGCGTCTTTCCATCTTCTCCTACATATAGAGACAGAAACTCGAGAGAGATGATTGAATTACGATTGAAGTTAATCAACTTTGGAGAAATCGGCTCGCAAAATCCTGTTGATGTGTACTTGTTAAAAAATTGAGATACAAGTGCCATTGAAATAAGTGTATATTATGTAGTTTTCTCACTTTAGTTTTTCTCACTTTAGTTTTTCTCACAATCAATACATTATGCATGCGATTATTCAGTGTTGGGTTTTACCTAGTCTATAAGAATTAAGAGTCATCGCCGATCGATTAATTAATATTTAATTGAATGGATCCATTTCGAAACATGCAATGAGACATGTTGTATATTCATGATTTACCTCATCTTAATTTGATCTATAACTTGGATAATCTTCGGTAATTTATTTTCGACCTGCAAAATAATTTATAAGGGAATGAATGAAAGAGTAGAGATATAATACGAAATATAAATTCTAGGTCATTACTGACAGTTTTCTATATGATTATTTCTGTAGAAGATAACTTTATTATTGCGTTATATTGTGTTTTATTGATCAAACATTGCTACGCATTAAAAAATGCATGGGAAAAACATAGTTACTATAGCTGAATAGCTATAAGAGCTAATATTTTGTAGCTATAGAATTCTTCGTTCAATTGTAGCTAAAAAATCTAAATTTTTCACGTTGCAATATATGTATAGAGACGGTTAAAATTTCGCTATGGTAGCTAATTGTTTTTTCTCCTCTTGTGTGCTATTAAAACGAACAAATTCTATTCTCATTACACACGTGGTTTTGAACATATTTAAAAGACGGATTCGGAAAAATAAGTTCATTTATGAAGATCTTTCAAGGTTTACGATTAAGGTAACGGACCTTGCAGATTAGATATGCGAGAATAATGTTTAACCATGTTTATGTCCATCCTTGGACAGACAGGTTGGCCTAATTGACTCAACCTGTGCATAAGATAGAGCGAAACAATTGGAGCAAGATCGATGAGTTGCCGAGGAGCGTCAGACTCGTTAAGGTACAGAGGCCGTTAAGAATAATTGCGGCAACGATGAATGGCGTTTCCCTGAATTCTTGTACGGCGCGGTCTCTGGTTTATGTAACCGATAAAATAATTTGCGATTCGGCGGTACTGACGCGAGAGTAATGCTCGACTCGACGTGGAAATTCTAGGACAACAGGGCATCGTAACCATGACGATACGTTCAGCAAACACGTAAGAGACGAGACGCGCAATACTTTGTTTACCTAATGACATTCGAAGCGGTAGAAACTTACGTTGTACGAATACAATTAGCCATTCAAAAGGTATATGTCATGAATACTTAACTTGGGTGCTTCACAACGACGTAGTATTAACCTTTAGAAGACTGGTCCCTTTAGGGACCACCTATTTGATCGGAGATTTGTCCTAAGTTATACATTCGATTTATATATGAATTACACGTTTTAAAAGAGAACGATTTGCACTGAAAATTTCCCGTCCTCTAAAGATTAATATATTTACATTAATAACATTTGGATATTTAGAATTGCATAAAAAAGTGCCAATTTTATATTAGGATCTACAAACTTTTTTGTAATACAATAATAATAATATTGTGGATATTAAATATCATAAAAATTTCTATTGTAAAATAAATCAGGTAAAGTTGAAAAAAACTAGTTCAGAATAATTAAATAAAATTAAATAAATAAAACAGAATTTTCAGAGAAAATGCACGAGATAATTCTTTTATATATTTCCAGGACACTCTATATCACGTTAACTTGATGTTTCATAATGGAATATTCCATTTTTTTTAAGCGTGTTCTGTATGCTGTCAAATAAAAAATGCTGCAATTAAATTGAGAGACAGTGAAATATTAGAGCACTTCCAGCACAAATATCCATGATAGTGATAACCTCATTATCTTAGTGTCCCTTAAAACTTACGTTATAAACGTTATTTATTGATCCTTCATCAATTATATAATATTCAGATTTGTTAATCTGTTTCAAATGACGCCATAAAAATCGTTTAATGTTGAATCAACAAATTAGTAATCACTTACTAAGAAAACTAAATGCACGACTAGGCGTTATACAAAAGTGCATCGTATGACGCTCACGTTGCATAATAAAAGATAAATATGCTACTAAGATCACACTGCGAATATATACATTGCCAGGATGTATCGAGTAACTCTTAATTATCATAGCGTTAAATGCGTATATACATGTAATTGTAGCGAATAAAATCGGGGAAATTGACGTCAGAAATATCGACAAAATTACGAATGGAATTATTCCGTATAATTTCGATAATCGTGATATTTGACTGAAACGATATACAGTACACTGTGCATAATCAATGCCTAAATTGTCAGCAAACGAGGTCGGTTTTAAATCAAGAATCGTAGATAATAATGCAAACAATACTGATAAAAATAAATGCGATACAAATATATTCCCTGTTTCCGCTTAGACCTTTTTTTTAGAAAAATTTAACTTTAACTGCTCGATGTGCATTGTCAAACAAAGAGCGTCACGAGAAAATTTTAATTCTTTAATATACTTTTATATATATTTAACAAGAAAGCAAAATAATTAATTAATAATATAAAGAGGTTATCCATGCCGTTTTGTTTACTATGCAATAATACTGATCGATTCTAATTTTTGAATACATACATACACACACATATGTATAATAATATACACACTTACATACATATATATATATATATGTGTGTATATATGATGGGAATTTCCTGCGCGCTCACAAAGGACCGCGCAGGAGGAAAATCCACCTGCAGTGAACCTGTCTGTGTGAGTCCTGCGTACATGTGTATAGTTATGCGTGCGCGTGTGTGTATTTATATGTGTGAGAGTACGCGTGAGTGGGTGTAGAGCGCCACGGGTGAGTCACACACGCGTTATAAACCGCAAACCAAAGCCTTGTGCCCGTTTCCCTACCACAATGAAATAATGATATATGATAATCCTAGACATACGCGACACGCGATTATCGCGGTCTTAATTCCTCCTCGATATGTCACGCGCACAAAACGCGCGAATGTATGGGGACTCGACTGATTTTTTTTCTCCACGCCGATATCGTCACCGGTCGTTTTTGCGCGACTATAAAAAAATGAAGTTCGCGCGATTGTCCTGGTTTCCTCTCCTGGTGTATACGTGTAATTGATGTATCAAGGTGTACGTGTTCTCGGATTCGCACGTGCGCGTACACGGTGGTCGTAGCGGTTTGCAAATTGCAGGCTCCGTCCGCGAGAGAAATTTCGAGTGCATCTGCAATATTGATCTTGGACGGTGTCGACGGACTCTCGCCTCAATATATTCGTCCATGATTGCCGCATTGTCGAGATAATTGTATTCTTTGCGAATGCGTTCCCAATTAACGGTTATTACGTCTATATGTCGTTTATCATCGCGTGAATATATGTGGAATATAAATATGGAAATGAAAAATAAGTACGGACGCGCCAAATATTGCATATTTATAGTCAATTTTGCATTTGCCGGGACTAAAATGTTTCCCAAAATTGCAATAATATTTATTGTTATTGAAAAATAAAACTTTCATTCAATATCATCAATAAAATTTGCAATAATTTTGTCATTTTATTTATATATGCTTGCATGAATATTGATAATAATAATAATAATAATAATAGCTGTATCAAAAATTAAATATTTTTTCTATAATGCGTTGAGAATAAATATCTTCTTGTTTTTCAATTGCAAATAAATTTAGGAGAGAATCACGCGTGAAAACAAGCTGTAGGCTATACTTTTTTAAAATAGTTATGCGTTATACTATATATATATATGTAATATACATTCATCATTATGTTATTATGCAACCACGCTCTTATGCTGATTAACTGCAATTCTTCAATCTGCATCAAGAATCTTGAGTCATCCTGAGAATCTTCGTCTCAGTTATTACGCATCGCTTAAATTGTCGTTGAATAGTCTACGCCTTCAACCATACTGTGTCTTTGACGAGGCGACAATAATTTCTCGTGATAAGCGGTCTAATTCTAATCGACAAACTTGGAGAACATGTACGTGTGTATTGTGTGTGTGTGTGTGTGCGTTTACGTGTCCCTGTATGCGTGAAAATGCAGAACGGTGAGACTAGCAATTATTTGCGAGTGATCGACCTTGTGTCTCGAATATGCACGTCGACTCGTGCGAGTTACGCGAGTGATCGAAATATTATCGCGCGTTTTATCGCGCGTTTTATCGGCCAAGCTGCTAATTCCACTTGCTATGAAGATACGATCGTAGAAATGTGCAAAAGTATTCGTGTCAATGACATTTCCTTATTACACAACGCAAGGCGATATTTTACATCGAAACCATCATTTGTCCGATTGATTCAATAGATTTTGAATGCAGATTACACCTGTCATACTTTGAATTTCGCATTTAAATTTATTACAATGCCTATCTTCCTTCTTGATTTCATCTTTCTCATCACAAAGAAATATTTACGTGTAAAATTTGCGCGAAATCGCAACAACGCCGGCTAAAAATAGTAACTCAACAGTCAGTGTTGTGCTTAAATGATTTTAAAATTAACTAGATAAAGACGATTTTGTTTTAAATACATTTAAATAAAAGATAAAATTATATGGCGATTTATCTAGATAACTTCCAAATATTATTATTTTTAACACCGTTTATGTAAACATACAAGTATTTTTGTGATATGATTCTAAATAAAATTATTTGAACCTTATTCTAGATAATTTCGTGAAGATATTTTTTTTTATCTAAGATGCAGATGTAGATAATACATATTTTTATCATCTACACGGAGAAGACTTTCTTAGAATTTACTCTGAAAATCATAATAATCGTAGGACGTACAATATGGCATTGGAAGAATTTTATAAGAGTTTCTCTGACTAATATTTACCACAATAAGATATAAAATATATTCGATTAATTGTATTATGTACACATTAATATTTTTTATTGTAATAAATATTAATTAGAGAAACTCATAAAATTCTTCCAATACCATATCATAATTTTCAGAGTAAAGTCTAAGAGAAATTTTCTCCGTGTATATAAAGATAAGATGACACGAAATTTTCTGTAGATGATCATTTATATAATTTCATTAAGATAACAGAGCTATCTGACAGATACAGCAAGTATATAAATATAAGACGAAGCAATGTTTTTGAGGCGATCTCGTTTTTCGAGTGAACGTTATTGTTGTAGCAAAACCTTTCCACGGCTACGTGGCATTTCAATGGCGAGGGTCAGTCGACGGTTACATAACGGCAAAAATATTTCAGTTGCGGCGGAGCGTTTAGGAATGCGCGAGCTAAGAAACTCATAAGGAGTAAACTCCCAATAGGTGAAAGTCAGCTCTTTCAAGCGTGGGCTGCTTCAAGCGTTCCTGGGAGTCATTCACTCCTTGCTCGTTAATATCTCGATAGTTTTCCCTCTTTCTCACCACCCACTCCCTCCTCTAATTATCTCCCTGATCCAATCTGATGTCTCACGTAATGGAACAATTAACTTTTGCACTCGGTGTAACACATAAAAAAAAGTTTATCGACGATTAGATATACGATATTTCTCACGTCGCCAAAGATTTCCTGATTTTATCTCCCTTGTAGCAGTTATCATTACAATTCTATATGTGTATCAAAATTGAATACTGGAGATATAATTTTGTATAATTTGGAACATCTTGTTAGACATAACAGAAACGTTCATTTGCGTGTTTATAATAACTAAAATCTAGATGTTCTCCATTGTCTTGGTACAATAACCGATAAATATCGAAGGATAATTTTTTTAGATCACTTATATCATCAAATATTATCGACATTTGAAAATCAACAATTGAACAAAATTATGCGATTGTGGATAAAAAAATATACCAAACTAGACGTTTTATCTTTACAAAATTTCAGCGTTATTTACTAATGCATTCGTCGGTTATTAATGCAAATACGATTGTTAAAATTGAAATTCATGTAGTATTATGTTGCATACATATGACTATACACACACTAAGTGAGGAAATAAGACGTGCATTACGGATAAATGACATAGAGAACCGCCGTCGGATGCACATTTCTGTTTACGTCATACCGGATAAATTCAATATTGATGCGAACATCAAACAGACCTATTGTCTGCACTCTGTTTAAACAAGTGTGCTGTTTCATTTAAATGTTTTCCGATCGTCTCATTACATCTCCACTGAGGGATAAGAGAATCTGAACGATATTGTAATTATTTCTTTCACGGTGCGTTGCTCCCCGAGAGAAGCTAATTGCAAATTCAATACCAAAATAATTAAATCTCTAAAAATTTAAAACACAATTACGCGATACAAATCAGCGCCTTGTTTTAATACAAGGTGTCCAGCAGACTCGATGAAAAAAATTCCCTGATTTTTTAGTTTTATTTTTTCCAAATATATAATTTGCATATACATATATGATAAATCAATTAAATGTTTAATCATAAAATTCTTGATATATTTTTGTCAACAGTGAAAAGATTCGGAAGTTAAAACGAAAATTTAAATCAATTATACAATCTGCATTATGTACGATAATCGAAACAAACATGTCACTATAAACTATTATATATCAAATTTTCTAGTTTAGTCTCTATCAAACACATTGAAATAAAATAACACAACGATGAAAATATAAATTAACAAACACGCTGTAGATGAATCGATTTTTAACACATTGCAGAAAATTAGCGTGCTGGGAGTCAAGAAAAAGTTTATATTTATTTAATAAAAATTTCCAATTATTGAAACAAATGTAGAATAATGTGAAGAAAAATCCAGATAAAATGTCCTGACTTTTCCCTGACAATTCCAGATTTATAAAATTCCCTGACCGCTAGACACCCTGTTTAATACGATGTAAATCAATGCTGAACATAAAATAAAAAAACCGAAAAAAAAGAGCGAAAGTCCGCAGATTCTTTCAATCCGGAATCGATTTTTTATTAGCGAAAATGCGCGACACGCCCTGTACATCGCGATACTGCGCATTATATATTTACACCTATCCTCTAAAGCGTATCTCGTTTACGGCACGCTCGTCTCGTTACAGAAATGACCAGGATGTTGCTGTTCCTGACCATCGGTTTGCTCGCTAAGGTATCGGGATTACCCAACGGAGCACCGAGGGAGGCATGCTGGGATCTGATACCACGTCATTCCGGCAACTCCTTCCAATCGTCGTATCCGCCTTATCAGGTGCTACCCGCAGCCGGACGAGGCAGGGTCCGGCTGATCCTCGGAAGTCCCCAAGGTCTCGCCTATGAGGGCTTCATGATCCTCGCCAGGGACGTCAGCACCGGCGAGTTGGTCGGAGAATTCACCAATCTGCCCGATTCCGCGAGAATCGTCGAATGCACCCAAGGCGTAAAGGTACTTATTTTTATTGCGATGTCACTTTTTATTTTATTCGCATTTCGAATTTAAAAAATTAATTTAAAAAGAAAATTTGAGTGTCCTTTATTAACGATTAAAAAAAACTCGAAACGAAAATCGTCCGACAACTTTTTAAAAAACTTGCAAAAATGAATAATTTTATAAAATTATTGCATTGAATTTTTTATGCTTATGATTTATGATTTCTTCGAGTTCTCTCGGAGCGGAAAAATCACTATTTTATCGAACTTTTGAAAAATATTAAAACAATTGTAAAATCAATTATTCTTGATTATGGATTTCTATTATATTATATATATATTTCATGAGATACGATTGCAGCTGTATATGATATATTGATGATATATCAGAATGCTCCGTTTTTTACTTGGAGAATATTTTTCTATCGTTAATGGTTTCTTCAAGGTTGCATCATTTATCGGGAACTCTTTCGTAAATGATGTGCAATTTCTTATCTCAGGAAACTTTTCCTGTTTCTTGTGTCTAGAATGGTGTGACTCATACGAACACGGCGAAGAAGCAGAATCTTGAATTCGATTGGGAAGCTCCGGTCGATTACGAGGGTATTATTATCTTCAAGTAAGTATCGTATAATGATAATGATTCTTTAACAAGCTTATCAGCGATTTTAGTTTATTATTATTACATCAAATATCGATTCTAAATATAAATTCTGCCGGCAGTATATTCAAATCTTCCGCCCTGCGCACCTATCATCCAATCGATGATGTTTATTGATTAATATCTCTATCTAAAATGTATACAAAAAAATATTATACAAATCATACTATGAAATATTCAAAGAAAATTACGACATATTTTTCTGATTTAATTTTACTTGTGTGTGTGTGTGTAGGTATGTATTTTTGGTGATTAATTTATACAATAAACAAATTAGTCGTCACAATCGGAAAGATATATATACATTATATAAATTAAATTAAAAATTATATAAATTATATATAAATATATACATATATACATCTTTAAAGGGAGAAATTGCAGGAATCTGCTTATTTCCGCGAATTTGCGAAATTGCGAAGTTTCGAAACACCTGTAAAATTGAGAACAAGAAACGTCAGCGTCTGTGGAAACGGTTTAATTGTTGAGTCACGATTTCCACGACTGATCTTGGTTGAACGCACACACGCACGTAGCTATACAGGCGCGCACGCGTGCACACAAAAGCGCGATGTGTATCACACTTGTGAATCACAATTAGGTATTACCGTACGCGCGGCTGCTCGCGTTTGGAATTCAACGTGCTCGTGCGAGCATAACGGTATACGAGAAGTGCGCGAAACATTCCTTATAAACTTTTCCTCGTATAATAATCGATACCAAGTAACTAATGCATGTTTAATAAGAAGCGCGCACAGCTGCGCCCTTGCTGAAACTATCCTAACTTATTTCGAGAAGGGCTGGAATTTTATTTTAATTTTACGGCTCCATTTGGGAATTCTTCTTTTCTTCCTCATATTTATATTTCGCAAGCAGTATTAAAGAAAAAACCGATAAAAAAGATTTTAATAAATTAATTTTATGTAAATCTTATATCATTAACAAATATCAAGATTCTCGAAATTGTGATTTTGAACATCTGTGTAAAGAATAAATGGATTGAAAAAAATTTATAGGATTATTACATATTGTTAATTTTTAAACTCATTAATTTTATAGATTTATCAAGATTGTTTTTATCCTTGCTATTTTTAGTCATCTATTTTAATTCTCGCGTAAAACAATCGAAAATTAGAAAAAATGAGTCTCTTATTAAGATTTAATGAAACCCTTATTAAGATATATTACAAAGAATCCTATTTCACGCGTTGAGCATTTAGAGTACTCTAATTGCTATATATCGTATATGTTTGAAAATTTAAAAAAATAAAAAAGAGAGAAAGAAAACAAAATTTAAACGCATCAATTTTCGTCAGGCATTTAATTTTATAATATATTTTTTTTTCATTTTCTATTTTAAATCATGTGTAAATTTTTTCTATATATATTTTTTTGATCAAAATTATTGGTTAATGTTACAAAAATATATTTTATAATAATATTATTTTTTATCATATTTTTTTGCAATGCCTTATTTTAATATTATTTCAATTTTTTGTATAAACTTTTTGAATTTGAAAATTCTGTTTTAAATGAATTAGAATTTCAGAAGTTTTTTTCAGTCTCTTTAACATTAAAAAGAAAACAATTTTAAATATTTAATATAAAAATATGTAATATCTATGTACAAAAATGGACATTCTTCACGTCTAAAATTTTTCGATTTCTCTCCGTTTTAAATGCAGCAGCATATTTCAGAATGTTCGACATTAAAGTAATAAAATTGTAAATATTTAATATAAAAATGTACATATACATATATCAATGTGCAAAAAGGGACATTCTTCACGTATAAATTTTTCAATTCTCCCTCGTTTTAAACGCAGCATAGAATATTTCAGAATATTGGACATTGAAGTAATAAAATTGTAAATATTTAATATAAAAATGTACATATATATGTCTATGTTTATATCGGTATGTACGATTTCAAAGTAATATATCTGGAATGTTACACACAGAGAATTTTCTTTTAGAATTCACCCGGAAAATCATATAGTAATCGTGGGGCGATACTGGTACTAGAAGAATTTTATAAGTTTCTCTTATTAATGTTTTATTAATATTTTTTATTGTGATAAAAAATGTTAATATGCGATAGCTATTTTAATTTTATGACCACGTGTCGCCAAGTTATGTTTATATTACACAAGGCTTAATAACATTTGTTTCTTGTCGGAAGTTAAGTTTGCAATGTAATCTAAAAATACAACTGTGGTTTCCACGAATCTGTTTTTTATAGAACGTCAACTATTTTATTTATATAGCAGAGGGTTTATTTTTTAAGATTTTTTTAAAAATTATTTGGATGACAAAAATACGAATTTCCATTCTAACGTTCCCTATTTTTATTCCTTATATATTTTATTCAGTTTGATAATTTAATAAAACGGTTTTTTTTATTCAATTTTATAATTTATTAAAACGGTTTTTTCTTCTGTATCTGATTTACTTTATACATTTAACGAAAGTGTCATTTGTAATTATTATACACAGAGAATTTTTCATCTTGGAATTTATCCTGAAAATCATGGTAATCGTGGCCACAATAGAAATATTTTTATTTTTTAATATTTTTTACATTTTATTTTTATATTCGATTAATTTTACTATATACATATTAATATTTTTATTGTGATAAATATTTAATCAGAGAAACTCTTATAAAATTCTTCCAATACCATATATTATCCCATGATTATCATGATTTTCAGGATAAATACTAAGAGAAAATTCTTGTTGTGTACTATATAAATAAATAATATATATTCCGCAAGCTTTCCGCATCGTATTGATTTCTCAAATAAATAAAGTCGACTTCGATTTAATTCCGGAGTTTGACATTTCATCGCGCGCGATATGTACGGCTGATCATTGACCTCTCATTGTTTCTTTTGCAGCTCCACCTTCGCTCAGGATTACAGCACATATTGGGTCGGCGTGGAATCGCCCAGAGTCACCGTCAACAAGCGGTCCATCGACGTATTGACCTCACCTACACCCGTCACTACCTTCAGGACCACCACGCCGCCCTACTACGGCCGCACCGTCAATTATGTGGTGAGTATTATATTTCCCGTCGTGTCCCGCCATTATGAGGTAAACGCGCGCGAGTATTATACACAGGGCGTTAAACGTTGTAAGCGGTCTGTATGTAAGTCCCGATAGGTGCGGCTTTGCGAACATTGCTCGTGGGATGCACGCATACTGCGATCCGACCCGACCCGATTCAACCAGAGGATATATTCCGTGTAATCATATTCAAAGAATATTTATTCAGTTTACATATAGAGCCTATAGAGAAAATTACTGCATGTTCTCTTCGTTGACCTCTTTCAAATACTTTTCCCAATAACCAATTTTATTGCAAATATATCTATTACTAAAAAAAAATACAATTTTTGATTAATGATTGAAAATAAAAAACAATACATACATGTGCAAAAGAAAAATAAATAATTTAGTTGTAGAAAAATGCTGAATATTATAAAATGATAAGTGGTAAATGATAAGATGTGACTTAACGTTTTTGTAAAAAAAAAAAAATGTGAGAGAATTCTTTAAAAAAGTCTGTTATTAGAATTAAATCCGTTCATATATATTCTGCGAATAGCAATTCTGTATACAGTTGTTTTTCCATCCCCTACAAATTATGTTTGTATAGAAAATTTGCTTGTTAGTTTGTATGATGTAACCTATTAATTTTTTTTCAGAAGATAATAACTTGCTTTCAATGAATTGTTCCGCTGTATTTTGTTTTCGCACGGATTAACACGCAGATTCTGGGTTAAAACGCATTTAAATTCTCATTCGCATCGTGAATGAATTGCAACGATATTCTAATTAATGAAAATTGTCAGCCTCCAAGTAGGTTATACATTCGCGAGATAAATAAATAATTATACTCATCGTTGATATCAAATGAGAGAATTAAAATAGTTCACTCATAAATCACCATTTTGCAGTTTTGTGATATTCAAGTTTAATTAATATTCGTTTAATATCCTCTTGTTAAGCATTTATACTCGATCAAATGCAACTTATAACCGTAAAGTGGATCATTAATGAAAAATACGGCGTGTATCCTGATTATTCTCTACCATCTTTGTTTTTATATTAGTCGCATAAATCGACTCGATTTCCAAAGTTTCGACTAATGTGAAAAATATTTGAGAGATCCTCCATATCTCACACAACGATAGCGATCTATCGTTTCCACTTTCGTGGAAAGTAAAAAATTTACGATGCGCGCACGTGCACATGCACATGAACACGCATACAGAAACGAAGATATATACATAGTAGAGCGCGTGACGCGTGATGCAGATGCATGAATTATGCATCTATATATATATATATATATGCGTGTGTGTGTGTATACATGCATGCATATGGATCCCTTAACCGCATACAAGCGCATAACGCGCACGACCGCAACTAACGTTCTGGAATTTATGCTTTATGTACTTTCACCGTTCACTTCCGCGGCCGTTTGCGATTTCGTATCGTGCATTTTTTTTTTTTTTACGGATTCGCATTTTTTTTTCCCTCGCGGATTTTTTGCGCGCTCCAGAATTGTTAAGTGGAATGATCGAGGAATTATTGGATACGGATCGAGGGTAAAAAATAAAAGACGAAGGTGTTCTGGATTAGGGGTTGTAGCAAGGATCTTGGCAAGGCTTCGTCCAATCTTTTCCAAATCCTTCGCGAAAGCACTATTAATCCTGCATTTCTCGTGCAGGCTTTTTACTGCATCTCGTTCTTTCTTTCATATTGTGTCGTCTTTCAGCTCTACCATTATTTTAACTTTGAAAAAATATATACATTTTTCTACAAAATTAGAAAAAAGATATTTTGTAGTCTCTATACGAATCAATTTTTATATTGTCTAGGAAAAATATAAAAATTAATCCTTAATTTTTTTATGAAAAGTCAGAAAAATCTATGATAAAAGAAATTTAAGAGAATTTTTATCACGATCTATTCATATTTTCTAGAAAACGTAGCATTAGTTTAAAATAAAATCTATACATTTAACTATTGTAGAATAACTTCGTACACATATATTTGCATTTTTTAAATTTAGTTAAAGTTAGAGATTGTAGATATATATCTCGTAATATAGAATTTGCAATTTATATACAAACTTTCCGCATTATGTAGATATATCATAATATATCACAATGAATTCGCTCGCATTTTCCAAAGTTAGTAAATAAGCTGATCGAGCAGAAAGACTTATCGATCTCCCGCGATTCTGCGTTTTTTCTCTGCGATATCTCAAATTGTTCGATTTTACAGCATTTTCTGAATCGGAAACCTTTGATCATCGCGATAAAAATCGTTTCCTGTCGCGAATAAAATTTTCTGCCAAGAATAAATTGCTTTTCGATTCGTGCGTTTGAACAATATATACGCGCGATAGGTTAATTGAATAATTACATCCTGCGTACGGGCGAGTGGCCTTTCCTTGAAAACCGACGCTCGATTATTTGCGATAAAAAAGCGTAAAAGTACACCAAAGAGCAGCGGTAATGGCGAACGGAGGCCGCCGGAGCGTGAATGCGCGCGATTTCGCGAAGCGTATCTAAGTTGAAACCTGGTCGTCAAACTTCTCTTTCTCTCGCCGCAGATTTCCTTTTCGTTCGGTTGCGAGCCGCACATTGACGTAAATTGTCGCGCGCGATTTGCTCCGCAAGGTCTCCCCTTATTAGAATTTCTCGTCGAGTCATATGTCATATAGAGATTTTTACTACAAACAATTGCGCGTTAAATCTATTTTCAAATCATTTATTTAAACATATTTTTGTTTATTCAAATTTTATTAGATATTTTTTTATTTACGCATATAAAATAACGCGCCATAATATAATTCAAAACTATTGCTACGATTTCGTAGAAATTTGTCATAATTGTATTCAATACTTAATATGCATAAATGCATATTTTTTAATATTTACAATTTCAGAGGTAGAAGAGAAATTATATAAAAAAATAAATAAAAATGATTTTGAACTAGAAATAAAATAGTGCGGTAAAAAATGTATACAGTGTATATTGATATATTGATTAATATTGTCACATTGTCATATCAAGAATTATAATTAGTTCCTTATATCTTGTTAAACTAAATCTTGTGAGATATTAATCGTGCTCTCGTACATTTTAAAAGCTTTAAAATTAGGTTGGCATTTTTATGTTATCATTATGAAATCAATATATATATATGTATGTCTTTCTCTTGTTGACTCTTACAACAGAAATAATTCTCCACGTGCAAACACTTTGTATTTACGTTGTCATGACTGTGGATAAGCTTATGTCATAGATAAGTATTAATATGCGATAGCTATTTTAATTTTACGCCAACACACAAAACGTGTCGCCAAGTTATGTTTATATTACACGAAGTTTAATAACATTTGTTTCTTGTCGGGAGTTAAGTTTGCAATGTAATCTGAAAATACAACTGTAGTTTCCACGAATCTTTTTTTATAGAACGTCAACTATTTTATTTATATAGCAAAAGGTTTATTTTTTAAGATTTTTTAAAATTATTCAGATGACAAAAATACGAATTTTAATTCTAACGTCTCTATTTTTCTTTTTATATATTTCATTCAGTTTGATAATTTAATAAAACGGTTTTTTTACTCAGTTTAATAATTTATTAAAACGGTTTTTTTCTTCTGAATCTGATTTACTTATTTATACATTTAACGAAAGTGTCATTTATAATTATTATACACAGAGAATTTTTTATCTTGGAATTTATCCTGAAAATCAATAATCGTGGCCACAATAAAAATAAAATTTTTATTTTTTATATTTTTATATTCAATTAATTTGACTATGTACATATTAATATTTTTTATTGTGATAAATATTTAATCAGAGAAACTCATAAAATTCTTCCACTCTCATTGTACCACGATTATCACACGATTCTCAGAGGTATAAATTCTAAGAAGAAATTCTTTTCCTTTATAATATAACGACGAGTGCTTTTTTATCCCTATAGATATCAATAAGGAAAATGTCGTAATCGAGCATCTCTCGAGCATAATCGAGGATTCTAAATATCGAAAATCTCTCTTCTCCTTCCCTACATTTTGCTTGTCTTTCATCCGTCGCTCAATTTCGCGGATAAGAACATTGCGCAATCTCCGCAAATCGCGAGAATAAGGGAGAGACGGTGGTGTCTATATCCCTCTCGCGAAATGCCACATTTCGCGCCTTGGCAAAATTCCCGCGTGTCACTCCCAGGTGTGTGTTCTCATTGCAGACGCAGAATGAGGAGGACCCGTTCTACAAGGGCTGCCACGTGACGAAGAACTGCTTCGGCGCGCCCGCGGGCTGTATAAAAACGAAGGACTGCGCCGCCGTGGCGGCCGTGATCGTTCAGGGCGACGAATATCATTTCGAGATGCAGGCGCGAGGAGAGGCCAAATATGTCGCTGTCGGTCTGTCGGACGACAAGAATATGGTAATTGCGCGAGGAGCTGTCCTAGCTTTTTGCCTCCCTCCGCACGGATGCAATTTATACAAGCGGGAGAACTCGCGAATAAAATCCTTGCGCGGGAACTATTTTATTAAGAGCGCCGAGAGCTATTTCTCCCACGTTTCACGTTTTCAATCATCTCTCTTTTCAGATTTTTCATTATTCCGTTTTAACTCGAATGAAATTATTCGAGTCTTTAAGCATTCTTTTTTCCCCTTTTTTCTTAATTATCGTCTCGAGATACTGACCAAAATTTTATTCTTGCTTTATAATTATTTTCTGAAACATTAATCGCGAGATTTTCGTATAAAAAAAAAAAAGTCTAAACTAGTTTAGTGACTGTATAACGTCAGAGAGAGAACCTCAATTAAATTCTAACTGCACATCTGAAAATTTATTACGGGAACGCGAGCGGATTTCTTTGTTACGCGAACTTATATTTATATAATAGTGGAGTGCTCTCCAACATTTATTCGCGACAATTAAAATCGTGCCGTGCGCACAAGTTATACATATATATATACTGCAATATGTATTTGCCTTACGTAATTAATTACGCGCGTAATTGCGCGAGATCAATGATTAAGCAGTAATGGATTATAATATCTGAATGCATAGGGCGACGACAGCGTAGTCGAGTGCACGAACAGGGATGGTGAAATTGCGTTACATACATCTTGGAATTCCGGACAACGTAACACGCGCCATGCGACGGTGAGTATCGTTTACATTATGCTATGCACCGACAGATGCATCTCGCTCGCTCTCTCTCTCTCTCTCTTCCGCGCTAATTAATTCGCGCTACGTTCTGTCGCGGGCCGACGAGTCTGGCCCATTAGATCCCAATTATTACGCCCGCCCCGTGCATAATCGTATAACGTTGTTGTTGTTGTTGTTGTTTTACGATAATGCATAAATCTTTTTAGCTCTGCGAATAATTGCCAAGCTCGTAAGAGATATTTCCACCTACTTGCTGCGGAGCTTATCAAAACTTTTGCCGCGTACTTATATCGTATATACGTCCTCGCGAAATAGAGCGTATTAACATGCTAATCTTTATTTCATTCAAAGTAGATTATTTCGAGAGAAATTTTTCAAGAGTCCTTCTTCGAGCTCCTCCACTTGAAATTTAATATACGAGTGTGCAGTGGAATATTTTTCGTCCAGGCGAAATTCGCTACATATCGAGCAAAGAATATTCCCTGCAAAATACAGCAATATATATCTATGTATATTAGAATTATATCGAATGTTGCGAATTATTTCGCTCACGGAAAAAAAGAATTAGCTACCATAGTTAAATTTTAGCTATACATGATAACTAATATTTTTAGCCATAGTTTATCTGAGAACGTTATAGCTAAAAAATATTAGCTGTCATAGCTAAAATTTAGACATGATAACTAAATTTCATGTGTGATATATGGACAGTTAAAATTGAGCTATGGTAGCTAAGTTTTTATATGTTCGACAAATGTTTCCTTGTTCTATTCGCGATCTCATCAACAGCCGGAAGGTGCGATTGAATTGGAAAGTGCCTCGCTCAAGAATGACGTGATCTACTGCAAATTTCGACGGGACAAGCTCACTGTTATTCAAGGACGCACCTATGACCTTGTCAATACTCCGTACCATCTCCTCGTGGTCGCCGGCAGCAATTTCCGAGGTATGTATATCTCAGCGCGAATGTAAGCGAGCGTATCTGTTATACAATTCCAATGTTATTTCTCATTGATATATAATTATTAAAGAAACAAAAATAGATTTTACTAACAATCGCGCTAATGCTAGATTTATGACGTAAAGAAGAAACGTTGTCGCAGCTTCGCGAAGTTTGCTTTCCGCTGAGAGCAAAGTGTGTGTTGAAAACTTTACAACTTTTTCGCCGAAAATTGTGATAACTGCAAATTCGATAGCTTCTTTATATTTTTGCTCAAACTCAAATAAGAAGCGAATAAAATGTCATTCTTACACAAATATGTCGCGTTTCTATATACATATATAGAAAGATTTTTTCTTAGAACTTACCTGAAAATAATAATCATCGTAATCGAAAAATTTGATAAAAGTTTCTCTGATTAAATATTTACCACAATAAAAAAAATTGTAAAATCAATCGAACATAATTTACATCTCATTGCGGTAGAAAATATTAAAAATTGTTTTGTGATAAATATTAATCAGAGAAACTCTGATAAAATTCCAAAGGTAAATTCTGAGAAAAAATTCTCTCTGTGCATAATTATTTTTTTTTTTAAAGAAGAAAAGGGGGCTCGAAGAGATTGTAATTAATTAAAATAAATATTCATATATATGTATATACGCATTCGTCAAGGAGAAGCATAATTATTTTTTTATGTGAATGTGCGATTATATCTTTCTTTCCTTTCAGAAAATAGTGTTGACGATATTAGCTTTCACAACATCGTCTATCTTGGGACTAGCACCGCGAAGAAACTGTCCGACGTCGGAGAATGGATTCCAGCCAGCGACCTACTAATTCGCCTTCATGGTGCGCTTATGTTGGCGTCGTGGATCGGCACAGCCTCCATCGGGATGCTACTCGCGAGATATTACAGACAGACATGGGTTAACTCGCAATTGTGTGGAAAGGATCACTGGTTCGCCGTAAGTGCGCAGTTTTCCCGGGCATTCGCGCAGATATAAAATTAATATTCGATACATATCGTTTCACGCTTTTGCAAAATTATAACTGTTCTCCATTTATCTCCTCTCGTCGAATATATATTCGCAATTATACAGGAGTAATGAGAATTAAAAATACGAATGTTATTAATTCATTCGCTTAACCGCTGTTTCTGATTCTAAAAAATTAATGCATTTACCAATTTTGCGATAATTTTCAACCGCGCACGAGTATTTATTTTATGTTTCGAAAAAGAATATCTTTTTTATATAGATTATTAGAGAAAATATATTTTCGAAAACCTACAAAAGATTTCACGCAAGTTCTTTGAATTGATAATATTTTAATTTCATTCAACAATTTCATATTAATGTATTTAATTTCTTTAGACTAATTGAAGCACTCCGACTGCGCCGATATAATATTCCCGTTAATTTCGCGATAATAAAATCAAACTGTACATCATTAATATTTGATATTAAAGCATGCAAAAGGAAAGCGATCGCCATCAACACCTTTCTCGCGTTCCTTTCTCGCTATAATGAAACCCTATCGATTTTTCCTCAAGTGGCACAGGTTCTTCATGGTCCTCACTTGGTCGATGACGATCGCTGCCTTCGTGATAATATTTGTGGAATTGGGCACATGGAGTTCCGCGACGATACACGCTTCCCTCGGTCTGGCTACCACAATTTTGTGCTTCATCCAGCCCTTCATGGCAGCTATGAGACCACATCCTGGCGCACCCCGAAGAGCTCTCTTTAATTGGGCTCACTGGTTCGTCGGTAATGTGGCAAAAATATGCGCCCGTAAGTTGAATATATAAATCATATAAATATGCCCCATATTTTTTACCGCATTCGATATCACGTGTTTTTTATTTATTTTATCATTTGACAGAAATATTATAAATATTTTTATCTTCTCTCTTATTTGATTTGATTTAATTTTTAATCATTTTGACCCCATTTTATTTGATGCTAATATAAGCATAATCCATTCTTGAATCTTTTCAAATGTCTTTAGCATGAATTATATGCAAATTCATATCTATTAGCTTTCCTTAATAATTTATTCAATTTAATATAAAATGCATCATGAATAGTATCAGATCGTATATATAAATATTCAAGAATTAGTTTTTCTTTTAAATAATATGAAATTGTATAAAATTATATAAAATGTTCCTTCCACAGTAATCGCGATTTTCTTCGCGGTGCGACTGAACAAGGCCAAACTTCCGGAATGGGTCGACTATATTCTTACCGCATATGTGGTTTTCTACGTTCTGACTCACCTCATTCTAACAGTAAGAATCTTTCTCAAATTTTCGCGCAGTTCTAAAAAATCTAATCGAATGATTATAATGTAAATCTTATAATGTAACAACCACAAAATTTTGACAACCGATCTAAATCGAATAAAAACTTTTTTTAGGTAAAAAATTAAAACTTTTAATTTGACACGATATCTCGAGAAAAATAATTCGATATCTAACGGAATTTGTGCTTCAATATCAAGTTGCATTATTCGAGATTTAATCCATCTATATCCGATTGCAGTTGTATTTGTTATATTTTTGCCGATTTATATTGCAGTTCCTTGGATGCATCTCTGACAGACAAGCCAGTCAGAGAGTGAATTCATTTCCTATGAAAGACATGCATTCTCGCGGATCAATGGTGCATCCAGATGCGAGGCGAGACGCTCCCGTAAGATTTTCTAAAATAAGAATGACGTGATCGAGCAATCTTCTAACGCGCGTCAATCCGCCTCAAAACAGTAATAAGATTGCCAGTAAAACAGAGAAAGAGATAATACGTTAACAATAATTGATTTTTTTCAATGACTTTCTGTCGAATATTGCGAAATCTATCGATAACAATTGTGAAATCTAATTACATTCCTTTATAATTAAAATATGAATTTTATGCGCTAAAACCGTGAATATTTGACGTGCTAAAATATAAGATAAATTTAATATTTTATGATTGAAATATATCCAATAATCTTTCTTATCCTCTTTCATTCTTAAGGAATTTGATTTTTATTCGAATTAAAACTCTGAGCTCTATAAAATTTCTTTGGCAAAAAAATTTCCAAGAAATGAATAGATAAATATTTGATCTCCTCTCTTTCTCTCTCTTTCTCTCTCTTTCACTTGCACACACATATATATACAAAAATAAATCAATAGCGTTTGATATTATATATACATATATGTCGTGGACCGAGATCGCGTGAAAAAATAATCTAGCGTACAAATATCGGTGTGCAAACAAAAATCTCATTAAATATTTTCTCGACAGCACTCCGGCATACGCAAGTTCATTTTCGGTGTGTACTTTGTGGTTATCATCCTGTTCGCCGCGGCCCTCATAGTGATCACCGTGTTGGCACCTATCGAGGATGCGTGGGCAACCTTCACCAACGCTATCTCGGGCTAGTGAGGCCGCTAATTAACGCCGTGGAAATATTCGTCACTCCCGCGCGTCGAAATATGCCGACCAGATGGACTCTCTCGGAGATCATCCTGACTCTTGCAGCGCGACGATATAATATCCCGACTTTCTGTATGCAAATTATGCATGCGAAGAATGTGCAAATCCTATATATTCGTGTAAAGATGCAAATCGTGTCGCGTTGCAGACGTATATGCGCGAGAACGAAGAGATTGTTACTGCATACTGACGAGTATTCTTTACCTTTTTTTTAGATTTCTACGAAGTTTCTATCTTCCCCATTTCTATTTCGATTATATAACGTAATTAAAAATCGAGATTTCTCTGTATATAACGTTCTTGATTGGAAGACACATCAGGATTAAATTTATTTTATATACTTTGTTATTATCAACTAACGTTTTACGACACACGGAGTATCCTATTGTCTATATCTGGTGAATTTTTTATTTTCAATAAGGAACTGCCATTAGCCGAATTTATAGCATGATTATAAAACTAGAGTAGAAAAAACTCGATAATTTTTTTTGCAGGATTTTTTCTTATCGTATGTAAAATATAAAATATAAAAAATAAAATACGTAAAATGATATTATTATCCGTAAATAATATTTAGACATCAATTTTTGATATTTTTTGATATATCGATAATATTAATATACTGCATATTTATCGCATGTTTTCTACAATGCATGATTGATATTAATAAACATATAATAATTATTTGTATGATTGTATAATAATTATTGCGATTCAATGTATGTTGAATTAATAATTTAAGTACATGCGCAAAACTGTAAACTGTCTGCGATGTTTTCCTTATTGATTCTTATATTTACGGCAAACATAGTTATGTTTGCCGTATAATAACTTGTCTATCAATATGATTTTTTATAATTTGTGATTAACATCACACGATTGAAAAAACAAGGATCCTGTAAAAGAACTCATTTAATCACAAGTATCCATACACCATATATGGAGAAAGCGCAGAAACTATTTTTATAGTATGTTTATATTCACATTATGTTATATTCATATTAAGTTTAATTAAGTTTTATTTCATAAGATTAATATTAATTGTTAAGAAATACAAAAAACGATTGATTTTCATCGACTTTCCTCTTGATAAATATTGCATTTAAAAATTTTGCAGTAAGATTCATTTTTTTTAATTGTGTATTAGTGCTAATTGTTTTAAAATCACTTTTACTTTAACTCGTAACTAGTTTTTAACTTTTCGACAAGAATTTGAGAAAGGTCTGTGAAAGTGGAAGAGTTTTTATAAGATTTTCATATTAGATAGATGCAGTTATATTATAAAATTTTAAAAATTTCTTTTCATGATTTGTTACTTACATAATGCATTATTTATAATAAAATTTGCAGTATTAGTTATTTTAAATATTATATTTTGCTATTTTATTAAATTTTGGTATTTTATATTATATTCGACTTTGTAACCGATTGCGATTGACATTGCCAATGATGGCGAATAATATACTGTTGCGTTAGTTTTATTGATTGTTAATAAATATATATATATAAAATATATATATAGATATAGTATATTATACAAACAGATGTGTATCGGCTTTGGATTCTGTCAATACGGCCATAAGATGGATTCAATGGAGAAGTTTGTTATGTCCCGGAAATAAATTGATAACGCAACATATGGGATGTTTGTAAAAAGCGCGTGACAAAGTTATAATTCAATTTATCATTCATTTTTGATATACTATATTGCAAAGTGCGTAAAAGCTGTTCGTCAATCCATAATTGTCGAAACAGTTTTTCAGATGAAAAACTATTGTGACGAGTTTCACTTGTTTTTTATATATTAATATAATAAAACAATTGGCAAAATAAATTTATATTTTTCAATTATAAAATTAGTTATATGTTGCACTTATTGTTTCTATTAAGAAAGGAATCTCTGCATTGCGATTAAATTCGGGGTTTTTTCTAGCTTAAATAGTAAATATTAGTACTAGTAAGTACTAGTTGCATTAAAAATTACTTCTAAACATATAATTTAATATGATAATTTCGTATACACACACACACACACACACACACATAAAATGTTGTCATAAAAAATTGTTTGACGAGATAAAATAAAGACAAATATACATTTGTCTTTTTTTTTGTTTTTCTAGAAAAAAAGGTTTTCAGAAAAACTTAAACAGAAATATTTAATATATATAATAAAATTCATTAAAATTAAATTCATAATAAAGTACGCAGTTGACATGCAAGTGCAAAAGACTTTTCCTCTATTTATTTGTTGCTTTAGAGTTTTTCTGTTATTAATTTTTGATTCTGAATATAACGATAAAATACATATATTTCATGCATAAAATCTCTCAATTACACTGAAACCAGATGTTGCAATTCTGTACTACAATGCTGTGGAGACATTATAGAACTGCGAAATTCTAATAATGTAACAGCGACAATGCCTGTATTACAATCTGGCAATAATTATATTTCTGCAATATTCCTTAATTTTACGAGTTTTCTTATATAGAATTATTTAGATTTCTATTATGAATGAGATATATAAAAATATATCAGCAATTAAATAACTACAAAATTTTCAGAAAAAAGAGGGTGATAATTTCTTGTAAGATTGTTAGATTTTCGTAAGGATTACTTCCTTCTTTATTATCCCCGAGATCATCCGTTTATCGTCAGGATTCTACAGAATAGGTCACCGGTTGAACACGATTAACTATGAGGTGCTGCTGTTAACCGGATTATGTGGAACTTGAGTTTTCTAAAGTAATAAAGGGGAACTCCACGGCAAACTGATGAAATTCATAGCGCTATATATTGGGTGTCGCAAATAAACTAAGCGACTAAGGGCATTCGCGATCGAGATTAATTAATGTTTAGCACGAAAGAGAGTGTCATCTTTAAGAATTTACATAGGAAATTTACTTACTTTCAGAAGTCATTTCTTTTTCAATATCATATTATCAACAATGCATTATTATTAATAGTATCTTATTCGTAATATATCTAATTGATTTGTATTATTGTTTAAATTAGTTTGTTTCTTTGATATATGTTTATAAACATTAATATATGTGCATATAAAATTAATTTAAAAATCAAGTCAGTGCAAAATTTTTACGGATTAAGAAATTTATTATCAATTTTTATAAGATTAAGAATAAATTTACTATATTTATTATACTGATATATACTTAAAAATTAAATTTTCAAAGCTCGACATACTTTGTTATAAATTGCAATATATTTTTATATGATATAAACTTTCATTTATTTAATCAAAATAAATTAAAATTTAATTAAAGTCAAATTTGATTAAAATAATTAAAGTTAGAGAATTGCACTGATTTAGTTTGGTAGTATGTTTTTTTAATATTTCAATATACGCACAGTATTAATATAAATAAAAAACCGGAATAACAAATTAATAAACATGTGTAAGACAAAAGCGAATTGTGCGCTGATAAGATACAGTCTATCGCTAAACATTTTTATTCTATTGGTTTTGGCTACAGGCCATGAGTTTTAAAACTACCATTGATCATGATAGACAATTCAGTGAAAACATTCAGATAATAGTCAGACTCACCCTATTCAACAAAGCTCGAAAACGTACACCGAGGATTATTCTTTTATGTGCTGGAACACCTGCAAAAAATATTAAAATAAATTTATTACTTATATAATATAAATAATATATATTTATTTTCAAATATTTAATAATAATACTAAAGGATTTATATTTATTAATATTATTATCAACGAGCTTCATTATTATCTTTTACAAAGACAAAAATTGAAAACACAAGACAATTTTTCGCAATATGTATAATTATTTAAATTGTTATTAATAATAATTGTGCAAAAACATAAAATAATATGTATAATACTTTTAGTGATATAATATTTATTCCATTTCAAAAAAAAAGAAAGATATCACATATTACATGAATAAAAGTATTAATTCTTTTTAAATAGTAAGTTATTTTTAATATTTGTAGAAAATTTTTGAAATGTTTTGCAAAATTAGTTATTGTGCATATATACAAGTGCATATTTACAAGTTTAACAGCATTATATATAATATTTCGAAATAAAAATAAATTGAATCATACATCTTATACATTAAAACATATACTATAAAATAAGACAAATTAATATATTTATCAAATACATATACCTATTTGTGTACAAATCTATTTATAAAATTAATTGTTTAAAATAATAAAATATTTGCCTACAATCTATAGAAATACAAAATAATAATGTGTTATAATACGAAATAATACGATATAATATGTAATAATTTTAATTAAATGTAAAAGATTGATATGAAAGATTCTCGTGCAAGATCACTTTGAATACTTTCATGCTTGAACTTTAAATCGCTCTTTAATCTCTTGTTCTCTCTTTAAGGGAAAACTATTCTTAACTATTAAAAAGTGATTAATCCAGCATGCTTTTACTATGTTTTAAATCGTTTTACAGAAATATCGTTGTATTTTTAAATACTCTATATTTAAACAATTGAGTGTTTTTGTTGAATTTGCTGCATGTAACGGTTAATTTAACCCTCAACCAGAATAGTGAAGACATCTAGCGTAACTGGAGCGCACGGGTCTCATAGACCAATCACCTATTTTCACATATAATAAAGGCAGCGAATATGGTAAAAATAAATTTATAACACGACGGGTTTTAAGAGAACAGAACATTTTAAAGGTATATAAAGTACGAAAAAATATTAAGCATTTTTTGGGCATAAAAGATGTCAAAACTTTTGATGACATTTTTTAGCTACAACTGAATCTACAGTCAAATAAAGATTATTTTTTTAAATAACAATAGCAAAATTATAGAGATGGTCTCTTAAACCCAAATTTGTACAGTTTGTTAAGGGATTAGATCTTGTTAAAGGATTAGCTTTAAATATGCAAAAATTAAGATCAAAGTTACATTATCGGAGATTGTTATGAATTATTGCTTGAGAGAGCCAGTGGATCGTTGAATAATATATTACGATTGTAAACTAAAATAGTTGCCGAGCTCAGAATTTCGGTCTCTAATCTCAATCACTGTCCATTTTGAACTTTGAACAAAAAATCGAATTTCCCTGAAATCTTCACACATCAGTACAGAGTTTGTATACGCATAACAAATAATTTGTATATAGTCCCAATATTTTGTTCGTCATCCGCGAATGAGAAGACATCGTTATTCTCGAGGCGGCAAAACGCGACATAATCCTGACACACGCCTGACACTCGCGCACGATTTCGCACCCCCGGCGTTACACCCCTGGTTCTCTCGCGCACCCTCGATCGGAAGGCACGCATTTCGAGGCGGAATGTTTTCGAGGGGGTTAGTAACGCACGCGACGGCTCGGGCAAAAAAATGGCGGTGGCCGATCGAAGGCGGCGGTGGTGGTGGTGGTGGTGGCGATGGTGGTGGTGGCGGCGTCCTTCGGCGGCGCCACCGTCGAGCTACCCCCGCAGTTCGATTGGAGACACCGGCCGGCACCGACGGCCGTCGCGACGCTCCCGCGGCGCGTGTGTGCGTTGGTTTGTGCATTCGCATAGAGATACGGAAGTAAAGAGGAATTGAGAAAAAAAGGAGAGAGCTTCATCTCCGCGACAAGAGAGAGAAAGAGAGAGGGTCGCGTGCGACAGGTACGAGGACTCACCCCGCCGGGGCTGGCTTTACCGGCGCGCGACGCGAATCCTGCTGGCGATCGAGTTACGAGGGGGTTGCTTGCGCCGCGAACCCTGCTATAGTCCGGGAAAAAGCCCCAGGAGTTCGGCACCTCGCGCTCGGCGTCGCTCGGGCCGCCGCGCCGTGTCGAGAATCGTCGAAGGGCCTACGTTTTCCCGAAGGGCTACGCGTCGCGACGCTTTTTCTCTTATTGATTCAGCCCTGTGCGGCGCGATCGCTCGATAAGTTGCGTGTTCGCCCTCGCACGCATTCATCGCGAGTAGACGCGGATATGTATTTTCGACGATGATGATGAGTCGCGGCGACCAACTTCAGCCCCTACGCTCTCGCACCCTATATCGATCAAAAATTACTCCTCACACACGTAGGATATTCTCGCGACGTAGGTGGATGATTAATCGTTTCTCTCCTTCGCCCCGCGCGATAAAATATTATCTCGCTCATTCGGAGCTAGTTGCTTGTTGCTCGCACGCTATACGGTCCGTCGATCTCTCCCGAGAAACGAATTTTACGCTTAGTTACGTAGATTATTCACTAATCTTTGAATATATTAGTGCGCTAACACGGTTTTAGTGCACGGAAAATTACTTTTTTCGATATTTAATAACGTACTTTACATGTTACGATACAGGTTTATCTGGATTAAAATCGTTTTATCCGATCAATATTTTTTCTTTTACGAGAAATATTTAGCCAATTTCCCAATCTTCAGGATATAAACTACGCTCGAATTAAACTCCAACATCGATAAGCATCTTTATAGTCTGAAAAATATCACTGTGCGTGTGCTACAATCATGATCGAAGATTAATTCTTCAAATGATGTGCGCTAATAATGTGCGAAAAATGTGATTTTTATCGGGCGTGATTTGAATATTCAAGAGCGTAAATAATAGAAAATTTGGAGACTTTAAAATGGCTTTAAGCCTCGTATCGAGTGACGTTGAACCGTCAGTTTGTTAAGGTTTCAAATCTGTTTGTTATCGAGCCGCCGGATAATGGTACAACGGTGCAACTTGATTCTCCCTTTTCATATTGCATTTTGCAGCTATCTGTGTATAGAATCGCGCAAAAAAACCTGTTCCGGGATTCTCGACGAACTGTTTTGTGCAAATAGTAAATTATTACGAGCTGTGGTGAATGTAAGCTGCCTTCGTACCGCGCATGTAATTATTGTATTTGTGTCCCTTAAATGGTAGCGTACATTAATTCGCGAACGGTTATGATCTAACTTTGATATTAAAAATACGAGACATTTCTCTTTGAAACGTATACATATATACGCAAAACGTTACATTTCTAAAAGGGGTTTTATCATTGACTGTCCATTTAATTATCGTACAGTAACTTTGTCATATTCAATATTTATATTTGAGATATTTGATATTTAATTACAATATCATTAAATATAATATCAGCTTATGTCAGAAAATTGTTCATTTAATTTTACATGTTATTTTGTATTCACATACAATACCTATACACACAGACACGCACACACACACACATCGGCATATTATGCGTTAATATTTAATGTATAATTACTAATTTGATTTGTCATGTCATTTGTTCATCTTATTCAAATAAAGATATAATATTAGTAATGTATAACACAATAAGTTATTAACAAATTTTCATCAGTCATAATAAATCATATGATGACATTGCGGGGCAATTTATTTCGTAGGACATAATTCGTATGTATGGAATATATCACTAATAAATATTATAATATTCAGAATCGCGTACCTACATTAAAAATGAATTGGAAAAAATATTTTCTTTTAAAGCGAAGAAAAAGTTTAAACTACAAAAATTTTACTACATGTCAAATTGAAACTATTATATTTTTAAAAATTTGTTAAAAAACAACATAAATCTGTTGCAAAAATAGATGTTAAAACTACAAAAAAACATTTTACGATTTTAAACTAACCTTTTATACCCGATAGACAATTTAAAAAATACAAAGTTTTATCACACACACACACACACACAAATACTAGTTTTACAAATACAATGTATTAGTTTTCATAATTTTGCAATCTTGCACGTTTGTATAAAATTTGATTTTATATTTTACGTTTTTGATTTTCTTTCTAAAATAGCCGATTTAATAGAATCGATAAAAATTACAGAAGATTAGAAAACCCAATTCCTTTTTCGTACCCTCAATTCTTTGGAGAATTAAATTTTCTTATTCCAGTCAGGCATTTGAAAGAAGATTTAGCTCGTGCTATTTCTGATCTCGCGAACTCAAAGTTGATAATCTGAAATTGACGAAAAAATGTGGGATATAAATGACGTTTGCGATATTCGTAAAATATCGGGGTGCAACGCGCGATAGATATATGAACGATGCGCTTTAGCCCGCGACTGCTGCAGCTTACATCGCGTGACCCGGGAATGGAAATTTCGGCCACCACCAGGCTCTGCCAGGGTAATCTTATCTCTGCTGCAACTTCGTGACATCAGCCGGTGACTTAAGCCGAAACGTCAACTATCGACTACGACAGTCGATATCGAGCTTCGCGTCCGCCTCGATCCACGTCGAAATCTAAAGGCCGCGCATCCAAGGGAGCGATGTAGCTTGCCTGATATGATCGACAAACCGATTACTTAACTTTTTCTCGAATTTTATGAGCCACAGTGGAGAGATTGCAACGATTTTTATTCGTTTTTTTTTCTTTTTAAACTTTACCTTGCGAAAGTAATATGTTTTTCTTACACAGTACCTAATAAACTCTCTTCTGCTTTTCTCTTTCTTTCTCTCTCTCTCTCTCTCTCTATTTTTTTTATTATTATTTCCCTCTATTATAAAAGTTTTTCTAATTTAGATAAAACGTCGTAAAGTAAGAAAAGCGTGAGAAATTAAAACGATGCGCCAACAACGATAAAATTAATGTCTACAGGACGCGGCATTTTTTTTCTCAACCTTAAACTAAAGTACAATCTAAATTGACACAATCTCGATGAGATAAAAATTGTACACGCGATATTAAGTCTCTCGGACTCTATATATTTTTACGTAACCAAGTTACGTGTGCTCCAACAATACTCTCGAAAATTAAATTTTAATCACAGTATATACGCGGTTCATTCTTTCGCAGTGTCTACTGCAGCGACGTCTTGCACATTCGCGTCTAGCGATATAACAATCTGCCGTAATGAAAGCCCCGAGAATAAGCGGAAAAAACCTAATTCGAGACGCGTTAATATTCGCGAGTCTGCGTTAATCCGTTGGCTGTTGCCAAGTAATGCGCCTGGCATTTTCCGGGACGCAAACATCCTGTCGAGCGTCCGCGACGCGTCTGAAGGGGATTCTCACGGCAGAATACGCGATTTATATCCTATCTCTTCGCTACGTGAATTTTGTAAGACAAAAAGATATAGAGAAAGAGAGATGAGAGAGAGAGAGGGAAAGAGAGGGAACGACAGAGAGAACGAAGCGAAAACAAGCCCTTTGTGCGAGCCCGCGGGAAATATGCATACACGCATTGATATGCATACGGTGTCAAGTAAATTTGCATCGGGTATCGCGTGAAAATAAAGACCTATCATTTGCTATGATATAACGAGTATAGTAAACGCCGCGGATACTTTGTTACGCGCCATTTGCAACTGAATCAACTCCGATCTGTATCAATTGACTTTAGCAGAAACACAAGTGATCATCATCGTCACATATGATATACTTGGCTTAATTCACATTTCGAAAAGTGCCACGTAGAATAATTAACAACTTTTACTATTCCTTAGATATATCTCTTACAATTAGATATATTTTCTTTCATTAATTTTAGGACTTAATTATCGGGTTTACCCATTTGAGAACCAATTAAAAAATTCTTGTACAAAAAGGAAGGGAACGCGTTGCTTCCGTATAAAAGTGTTTCGCATCATACCCGTAATTAAAATGATTACACGAGAGCGCAGTATCGATTTTTAAATTTATGAAAATTGCTCTTGCAAAAGATATTATTTTCCCTGCGGAATTTTAATTTAATAACGCTGTCAGATTTTTCAGTTATTGATTTTCTTCTCGTCGATTTGCTTCACAGAGTGTCGTCCGCGTTGTGAAGAGTGTCTCGGGCCGGTGCGTCTCGAATCTAGCCTGTGGTGCTAGTATATAATAATCGCGAGAAATTAGTGAAATACTACGGATTAAAAGTGTGTCTCGCGTGTGTCGCGTGGTGATTGACAGGAATTTCGCTGGATAGAATGCGACAGTAAGGACTTCATCGAGTCCAAGCGACACGTGCATGTTTATCGCCGGACGATGGCTGGACTACGCTACGTTTGCCGGCTCTTCGTCATCCTGGAATACCTGTCGGTCGTTCTGGTACTCGCCCAGAACCCCGTGGAGGAGAAGACCACCTTCGAGGCCGCTTTCCAAGGCAAGCGCTCCTTTTTATTTGTGTCCCCATTTCTTAGGATTTATGAACTCTTCTCTAGATGCCCGTAGTTACGTATGATATATCGGCGGCCTGACTTTTCTTACTTTCGTCGGCAGTATTACTGCGAAAAAAAAAGCTGGCGCGAATCCTATCTCGTATGCCCGAGATTGATATGGAATATTGTGTATTTTTAATCCGCGAAAGTTTTAACGCACAATACCGTCGTTATTTAATAATAAATTTTTCACGTTATCACGGAAAGGATCGAGTCAATTCGCCGTTTATCATGTTACGTATCTTGATATGTGTATCTCGTGTAATTCAAATTACTTGTTTTTTAACGCAATTGAGCAGACAAATTGTATTTATGCAGGAAAAGAACCGCTTGTGTCTATAAAATATAATTCGCTTTAAATCAGTTTTTCTCCGTCTTGTTTTACTTGTTTGTTTTGTTAAATTTATCATTGATGTAATCTTATTATTACATTTAAAATCATGTATGTATTGCAGTTATGCATTTGCAATTAATAAGTATACTGTAAATACATATAAGACTCAAAATGTAAAGCAATAACAATAAGTCTCTATTCTAGAAAAAAAATAATGCGAATCTATTATTTCTTTTGGATATAATGTATCCTTTTTCACAATGTCCTATAAATTTAAAATAATTTCGTCTGGAAAATATTGTACATAATAGAAAATTATTAAACACGTTAAAAATGGAAAAATATATATCGTACGCAAAATACGTGTGGTCGAACAAAATATAAAATAAAAAATATATATCAAAGATAAAATAATAAAAAGAGACTACTTTTCATACATGCCTATTGTTAATAGTTAACAATGAGTCTGGAAATCACGAATACTTCCCTGTTTATGTAACGGCGAGAGTTACTTATTAATATCATATAACGTGATTCAATTTACAATGCAAAATCGATAGACCGTACTAACCGCTACGTTAAAAACATTTCGAGATTATTTAATATCGATGAAAAATGCAATCCAGAAACTTTAATATTGCGCTCATAGTTCAAGTCTATATAAAATCCTCATTTCCGATGATTAGTTTCTTAGATACTAGATAGCTTCAAACTTTTTGCTTCGATGCAATTTTCCTCCATCTTAAGATGATCACGGTATACTACTATTACAAGATAGACCAAGGTATACCAGAGTATATCTCCTGCTCCGAGCTGTCTTCCACTTAAGACTTCTTTGACCAATTTGAAATCGATTACTCCTTAATAAAAGCATTGAAAGACCAATAATTTTTAGTTGTAAGATAAGCTATCAAGAAAAAAAGGCAGAGAGAAAGAGAGAGAGAGAGAGAGAGTGAGAGCGAGAAAATTAAACGTTTTTAGTCAATTAACTCTTTATTGGAAAAAATAAATAAAATCACAATAAAAGAATAAAAATATTTGTAAATAAACTTTTAATGAAATTTTTAAATAAAAATATTATAAATTTATTTTACACATTTAGATATATTTTTGTTCTCTTAAAAATTACCTAAAAGTTATTAATACGAAAATATTATTATTTTATATATGGATCTAATAATTGGATTATTTATATAAATTTAAATTTGATGAGAATGTAATATCAATAAAAAGTTATAAAGTTTATATTTTATACATTTATATTAAAAAAAATATTATAGTTTTTTTATCAAATGAGAGTTTACTAAATCTACTTTACATTTCTCTTATAAGTATTTCAGTAAATCTTGAATAAAGATAAGTGAAAAACTTTCAATTAAGACAGAAAAGAAAGTTAACATTATTTTATAGCGAGCAACTAGCTTATAATGCACTTTTTTGTAACTTACGATTTATAGAAGTTTGATAACAATCCACTGTTTATGGGAATTATTAGATTTAACTTTTTATGATTTTTTCTCACTTTATCGTTGCACCGTTAGTGAAATAAACGTATCCCGTCGTTGAAAAAATTACATTGTGTAAAACAAAAAAGTCGTTAATTCAGTAGTTACTTTTCGCTCTTAAACTGTCGACTTCGAAACGTACCGCTTTAAATAATTAAATTTATTTTTGAAATACGTCTCGTATCGAAAAGCCATATCTAAACGCTCGAGAAGTTAACGACAAAAGTTTCTCTCGACGCGTAAAATTTGTACGCGGAATAAAGAAAAGCCTTGCACAGCGTTCTTTCGTTATTTTAGACAAAAAAATTCCGTAGGTTTACGTTCATTTTATGCGAAACGCTCGTTGTTCTCGACGAAGGGGACGGATAATTTTTCAAGAATTATTTCGTGCACGACGCGACGGAGCTGTAAGCTTCATGACACGGCGAGGTATAAAATTCGCCTAAGCAAGTGGGATGAAAAAAAAGGCCGAGTCGGCGAGATATTTCGCGCGTGTCAGTGAAATATATTTGTCGGCGACTGTATCCAGTTAATTGTAGTCTTCGTATCGATTCTCTCAAGCGAGAAAGAGAGAAAAGGAGATTAAAAGAGAGAGAAAGAGAAAGAGGGCAAGATGGGAGATCGCATGATAATGCTCACAATTATCAAACACTGCCGTGTGCAAACACTTTCTCGGGCGCTCGAGAACGACCAGCTTTTGCTTTCACAGCACCCGTGCATTTGAATATTCAAAATATTCCGAGAATGTGTTAATGCCTTTCGATGATGTGCCAATATGCATGCGCCTACTTGCGAGCGGAACTGTGCGATAACGCTAATCGCGTTAGTATGCGATCGACGAATGCTTAATATGCTTACGCTTTCAATTAACGCGACCTATGTCCGCTTTGTTGTACATGTCAAATATTGACATTCGTTTTACAATAAAATTGCGAATTAAAGATTAAGCCAATATAATGTAAACAGTCTATTAAGGATAATAAATGCTACTGAATTGCATTATATAAGTATATTATTTATGAGGTAAGATAATCCGCAATTTTTTGTCCCACAAATATACGCATCGAATCTCGCATCAAGCCAAATTTTGAAACAAAGAATTGGACGAATGATTGACAGTTTAATGAATCAATCGATGGGAAAACGATGGTCGAAGATCGTCGTTCTGCACGAAATGGCATATCGCGTAATGTATTCCGCTAGGATATTTCGACGCGCCGCGAAACACGTTGATCCGATATAGTGGAAACAACACACAGTATATTGGACTACGCGCGTTAAATTGAATTATATGTGACTCGGTGAAATGAATTGAATTTTCAGTAAAGGGCGACGTTTATTCCGCGCGCGGTACCATTCGGCGGATTCGTTGCGGCCGCACGCGCAAGTATATTTATGCAACATTTACGATCGATTAATGCGCCCGGAGCCGCATGAGGGAAATCGATACACCCGGAATCCCGCCAAAAGCCATTAAGAGCTTTATATTTCCGCCATTTTCTCCGGATCGACATTGGCCGATATGCCGTATTGTCGCGAGGGCTCCCTCGCTCCTTCATCTCCAGCTGCCAATATTCCGATGGCAATAACGCGAATAATGTCGACGTGATTTTTCATCGCGCATGAATGCGGGGGAGAAGATATGTCAACGCCATTGCGCGAAACAGGATGACTTTCATTTATTTCATTCATGGTAATCGACGACCGTATATTTCATATTAGATGAAACTGATATAATTGTGTGCATGGGCGAACTATAGTGCAAATGACATCCACATGCAACTCAAATCAAATGATTTCGCACGCAGCTGTGGTGTTTTTGGATCTTAATTCCTAATTTCATATTTTCGACTCTTAATTCTCAATATTCAACATGTTTAAATAATCAATTTGTAAAAATCGACATTTTGTAAACTTTGAAAATTTTATATAGAAAGAGAACGAGAAGGAAAAAATATTTAATATATAACATGATTAATGTGCGATATATTATTGTGCATTATTCATATTAGTATTTTTATTACAAAGAAAATTCAGATTTTTTTAAATAGGTATATATGATATTGGAGCAGAATTTTATGTTTCTCTCATTAATATTTACTATACAATAAAAAATATTAATATATATCTACACAATAAGATACACTGAGAAAAAATTATTAAATTAATAAATATTTATTTCAATACTGTCTAATAAATTTATTTGAGACAAATAAATATTTATTTATTTTGAAAAGGATCTCTTCTATCAAATAAATATTTTCCACATCAAATCAATATTATTAGGTTTAAATAAATGATTTATTAGACAGTATTGATATTGAAATAAATATTTATTCGAATTCAATAATTTTTTTCAGTGTATAAAATATGTTCGATTAATTTTACTATGTATATATTGATATTTTTTATTGTGGTAAATATCAATCATAGAAAAATTCTTATAAAATTCTTCCAATACCATATGCTGTTCCACTATTATGATTTTCAAGATAAATTCTACGAGAAAATTCTCTCTGTGTATATATTTATAAAATTTGCAATAAAACAACTAAGTTGAAAAAAAAATTCAGTATTTATCATGAAAAATATATATAGTATCCCTGCATGGAGAATTATGAAACTTTCCAAATTATGAAAATAGAACATCGCAATTTTAATAATTCACACAGTATGCAATGAAATGAGAATACGCATACCATACGAGACATTAAAGGCTGTGTTTTCATCCACAATCGTTAAACACGATTCGTGCTGCCCAAAGGGGGCACTCGCGCATAATTGGCATGTGTAACCGCTACTATTCTCAGAAAGTTCCCGGTATTCATTCGCGCCTAAAGGGCACAAAACGCCTGCTATATTAATCGCTCGCTATCCATTAGCAAATGGGGCCCAGCGCGCGGCTATATTGGGGCCGCAGAGGGAGCATGCATGCGTAAACTCGTGCTCCATTAACATTAACGCATACCCTTTCGACATTGCGTTATGCAATTCACGCGTAAACCGTATATCGCGCATATATATAATATATACATACGCTATTGTTTAACGCATATCGCGGATCGTTAAAAATCGCGCCGGAAGAGATTTGAAGAGCGCGATAACG